TTCTTGCGGTGCGAGATACCTCCTCGGTTGTCCTATGTTCCTGATACAAATCGAAATTTTCAACCCTTAAAATTGTTGCTCGGGAGAAGGTCCGTGCCACCTCCTCGGTTATCCTATGTTCCTGTTACAAATCGAAATTTTNAATATATATATATATGATATGTATGATTAATATTTTATATATATATATGATATGTATCATTAATATTATATATATATGGCGCGAAACTCAGACCTAGTCGTTACCTTCGATGTTCACCCTGTCGTGTCAAATTGGACAATGAACGTCCTCGTCTGCACCTCTGGAATAAGTAAAGTCGATAAAATGAAAATACAGGAGTTTCAGGACCTACCTCACTACTTTAGGGCTTCAAAAGGTACCCCCGATTCGGAGAGTACTCCCACTAACGATTTGACCTCTCTGAAATACATAGGTCTTATTTATTACCCTTATTTTTATGCGACATTAATTATCACCTTAAGGTGACGCGAAGAGGTTTCGTTTATAACCTTTCTCCCAACTCGGTTTGCCGAATGGTCTGAAACTTTACAACGTGAAACGTGGAAGCTGCGAAGAAGGTCCTGACGATAAATGTAAAATTTAAATTTGATAAAATTTCAATCTGAAAAATTCGTTCATAGGTGCTTCCAAGATTTTATGATAAAAAAAGGGGGAAAAAAAAAAGAACGAGTCTCAGGACCTACTTCGAGGCATCTACAATAAGGTTGCAAAGTTTGAAAGTACTCGGTACACCCGGAGGAAAAGCTTCGCGAAGGATTGGCCTCTAGGATGCCACTTAACGAGCAGGATATCCTTTCGTCTGACCAGGGCGATCCTCGTTTCAGAATACAAGTTCTCGATGTACACGCCGAGCATGATCGCGGCGGCGAGCGTCGCGGTGGCCCTCCACGGTCTGGACTGGACGGGGAAGAGCGGCTACGGGTTGGCGGGACTCCTCGACGAGCTGACTCGGATCACGGCGATCGAACAGGTACGCATACTCGGATAAGCCCTGATAAGAGGACCCCCGAAGAATTCCGGCGATCCGGGGCGAATCGCCATTGACGAGTCCCTCCGCCGTTCCGCAAAAACCACCACGGGAAGCCGGCAGAGCAGGTGCAGGGCACATGTCCCCGCAAAAACCGTCCGGTACACCCGGGCGAATATGCGACGACCTAGGCCCGATGCGACATAAATAAACGGCATGAATGGCTCGGCATGGGGTCTCTGCCCCGTAAACGCGGTATGATTCTAAGGACGGATATCCTGTCGAAGAGGTAGGAAGGACGAGATTTCAAGACTCAAGATTTTTTTAATATATTTTTTTTTTTCATTGTAAATTAATGTCGCATAAATAAATGCCATGGGGTCTCTGCCCCGTAAACGCGGTATGATTTTAAGGACGGATATCCTGTCNACAAAATTCCTGGACCGGGATTTTGCTTCGAGATTCGAAGCTTGAGATAAACGCGAAGATTCCTACTCGACAAAGTTCCAGGACAACAAAATTCCTGGACCAGGAAACTGCACCGAGATTCCGAAGATTCTAGGATGCCGAGTCGAGATTCGAAGTTCTAGCCGAGGAAGAGGATTCTAGGGCCACGGAAGCCCGGAACGGGAACGTCGAGGTGAGGATGGAAGCCCGGGTGGGAGATAGAGGTTCCGAAGCATCCAATGGCTGGATTCATCTTTGCTGGTCGTCGAAACGCCATTGGATGCACCAGACACGCAATGCCTCCGAGGTGATACGAAAAAAAATGTCGGATTAGGCTAGAGACACGGGAAGGTTGAATCGAGGAAAACCTGGCCGATGAAAATGGGACGGTGGACGAGAAGAAGGCCGCCGCGTCGAAATTCATATCTCCATAAAAAGTTAAAAAATCGAAACCTAACCAAACTAAGTCCATAGATTACGCAGGATCGAGAGGGGGTTAAAAAAGATTCCGTGAGTCTAGCCGACCGGTGAGCACACTATAGGTCTTTTCGTCTAAAGTCCCGCACCATCGATCCAGGTGGGAACATGTAAAAAACCGGGTGGAGAAAAAAAATAGAAAACAGGGGAGGCTTGCTGGGGGAAGGCAACGCAATACGCTTCACGCAAACTGTAACTGTATAATTAACGTGTAAGAAAGGTTAAAGAAGGAAGAACGGCGAGGAGGAACTTAACTTTTAGCGAACGGGTGCAGAGGCCGACGTGTACATGGACACAAAAAGCACAGAAGTAAAAGTAAACACAATGGGGGAACAAAAAAAATAATAATAATACATATAGTCATATCCAAGTCACTTAGCGTTCGGTCTAGATGTAAATATAATATATATGTATATCGCCAGGTGCACGTACAGGGCCATATACATGCATATACGTATATTATATGTATGCGCGCCTCAACGAAGATAGATACGAAGAAAGCAACGAACGAGCTAGGTAGAGTAGGTTTAATTATAACGAGCATTAACGTATAAACGAGGAAGAAGTCCTCTCTCTCGACATTTTCCTCCCCCTTTCTCGCGTCGTCGGATAGACGCGATTTATCATTTTTTTTTTCCCTTTATTTTTCTTTTTTTTCTCTCTCTCTCTCTCTCGTCTTCTTTCTTTAATCCCGTTCGGTTCCTAACAAGCGTTTATCAACGCCGAGTCGCTAGTTTTCGTACGTCTAATTCCGAGTTACGTGTGTTAAGCTTGTAAAAAAGGGAGAGAAATGTTAACCGATTAAGTGGAGGAATTGTTATAAAAAGAAAATGGCGCTCGCGAAAGTGGAGGTCTCGTTTATGCGAAGGGAGCGGTACTCCTGAATTTTTATGGCACATATATATATATACACATATATATATTAAAGAGCGTGAGAGAACTAAGGTGCGAATGTTGATAAGATGTTGATGGAAAAAAAAAATAGGGCCCGTCGATTCTACGATACCGTGTAAATATTGTGCGAGCGTAAGATAGAACGTACGCGTACATCGTTCAGTCTTACGTACCTAGATAGCGTATAAATCTATAAATAAATAAATAAATATATATTAATAACAAAATTGAGGCCCGCGAAGGTGCGCGTATAGGGGGGAATTTCGAAAATGTCGTTCCCGATTGACCGTCTCTCGAAACGGGCTGCGCGAGAGAGGAATATACCCCTAGTACTTAATGCGAATGAGTGGGAGCGAGTGAGAGCGATGCGCCGGAGCGTGCGCGAGAGGAAGATAGAGTGATAGCGAATAGGGGGTCGAAGGAAAGTGGAAATGACTTGGTTATCCACTTCACTGATTTCTGGACTAACTGAATATACACCGGGGGTCTGTTCCCTCGGGAAACAATAAAAACAATTCCCTTTGATCTCATATGATGAAAAATCCGATCGGACGAGTACGCCGGTATTAGAAATTAATTTTTTACTCTACGGGTCTTGCTTTTGGCACTCTATAAAAAAGGTTTAAAAAAATAAAGAAAAAAAAGGGTTGTTATTAAAATCCAAGGGCGGGAATTAAGAGATAATATGAAACACGTGGGAATCAGCTGTTCAGTCGGTACAGAGATCAGTGGTCCCCCGCTCCGGGGGGTCTCTTGTATTGGTCTTCGATAAAGCGAATGATTAGGTTATCAATGACCAATCGGGGAGGACGTGCGAGAGCCCAGTGCCCACGAGGATGACCCTAGTTAGTTCTTAACGATGTCATAACCAAATTGTAGTACAACATAGGAGAGCGATTAAATATGGCGAGCCGTTTCGCGATTAAAAGTTCCCCGGGGATGTCTAAGCCGGACCTAAAGGCGATTTAACAATGTTTAACTACGCGCAAAGTTGAGCATCGTCAATACGCATGCGCGCGAGGGGGGTAGTTCCGAGCGGCTGCGCGCGCAGCCGCGCGGCAAGTTCAAAATCATTCTCGCCGGCTCGATTTCCTGTTAGCGGCGTTAAATTACCGAATTTCGCTCGAAGCGATAGCGGCGTTGCACTAGACGGTCGCATTTTGTATAAACATGTATATGCATATTAATCGAACGGAAGTCGAGCGTCGTGGGCTCGTTTTTTGTTTTTTTGTTTTTATAGTCAACGCGATATGGCCACCGGGAGAAATTCTCCGGTGTGTTTATTTCGAAGGAAGCCCTTACTCCGGACGCGAGCCGACACTAAACGGAGTGGCTCGTTATTTCCTTTAGTTTTCTTTTTGTTTTTTTTTCCCTTTTTCCTCCCTTCACGAAGTGCCTTTGTAAACGTTTAATGTATCGGAGCGCGCGGCGCAAGATGGCGGCGCTCTCGAATGGAAGGGAATACCGAAAATGTCGAAAAGGTCCCTTGTTTATGACACGGGCATGTTGTTAACGAGTAATTATAATGAAAGAAAAAAGAAAGAAGGAAAGGAAAATGAGCAATAGAGACCACTGATATATACCTCAGATATCGCGTACACGTTTTTCCCCATGATTTAGAGTCCGCGAGGACCGATCGGTTTTTAGTTTTTACCCTTTTTTAGGTTCCGTGCCCGCGCACTGTGCACACTTCCTCTTTTTACTTTAGCACGTTACGATTAATATTTTTATCGCGGTACCGACATTGTACTAATGTAAATGTCCGACACCTCTGTACATATCTCGTGCGCTCTACGGGCGCATAGTCGATTGAGAATAAAGTATTGGTATTTTATAGAAACTACCGAGAAAAAGAGAACACAAGGCGCGGTTTCTTTCATTCTTCTCTAGCCTTGGCCAAAGCCGGTCATTTGTCCCTTTGAACACGGAGCCATTTCGACATACGGGCGAAATTCCTCTGACCGTGCAGGCGATATTGGACCAAACGTCGGGCCATTACGGATGACGGAAGGAAATAGTTAACGTCAAGTACAGGTCGCGTACATAATGAAGAAAAATTAATTTAGTAAATTCTCGAATGACTTACCTTCAATAAATTACTTGAATAAATAATAACTGGAAATAGGAGCAAGGGCATTACCTCGTCATTTGAATTTCCCATCAAGGCGAGGGTTTAACAAAATCGAGTTTCCCTTAAAAAACAAGCCTCCACTTTTTATGTAAAACACGTAAAAATCCCGGCAATTGGTCTCGGCCTCCTGGAACGAGCAATCACTTCTACGAGGCGACAATAATTTTTTAACACTCACACCAACGTCCGTCAATTTTCCTCCTTTCGAGATAATTGTTGCATTACTCGGTACATCGTTTTCTTTTTCCTTTTCTTTCCTATCAATTTCGCTATACGACAATGAGTGTACACCATGGAGCTAGAACTGCAATTACAGGCTCGATGAAAGCGTTACTCATTTGGTCCGAATTTACGCTATCAATAAATAAAACAATAAAAGGAGGATATATGGATCAAGCTACACAGTGCATGTGTCGTGTCATTATAAATATAGGAATAAAAAGAAAAAAGAAATATTATAAAGAAACTGCAGTCAAATCTATCGGTTAAGACGCATCCACGTCGGAGGAGACTCGACGCGAATCCGGATTAAAAGGCATTTAAGAATAATTACCCTACGAGTCTTAAGACTGTAATCATCTCGGAATAATCAATTAAGCCTTTGGCAAGATGTGCAAAAATTAATTCCACCTTAAACTAGGGTTGGCGGTAATTAAAAATAATCATTGCCTGCGCGAAGCCTGGTTCACAATAAATTCCAGAATTACGATCGACCCCCCTTATCATTTTTATCTAATTGCCAAAGTTCATTGTTTTTGCACATCTTAGCAAAAAACAATCTGACTAGCCAGAGTGTCGAGACGATGATTGCCATTCCAAGGGCAGTTTCTAAAATGACGAAAGTCCAACGCAAGCGATATAAAAATTACAGTGGAGAGAATTGCTCACATATTGTCACGTGTTCCGCTCTAAGTGTGTGTGTGTGTGTACGTGCGTGTTTAGAAAACGTGTAAACTGGAGTAAACGCTATTCCGTTCCGACACAGTCGAATGATTTTACATACTAATCTTCAATCATTTCCGATAAAACGAGTTCTGGTAAAAGTGTTAATCCTAAATTGGCAAACTCCACGGAGTATCGAACGACTTCCTCGAGTAGGGCAGACACGAAACACAGTTTACAATTCTACCGGTTAAATAACACGTGGCCGAAGTTTAGAGACGCTCCTACGAGATCACCGAAAAAGAAATAAATGGTATATCACCTTACGGATCGGTGAAGAAATCAAGAAATCATCGACGGAGCGCCTCCCACCCTCGGCCTATAAGGGGATATGAAAATGACGTCAGAGGTCTCATTAATGCAACTTTTCTCACTTAATTAGTTGTACCGAATCATTTCAGACATTACCACGTGAATTATAAGAAAAGTTTCATACACCAGGCCTCTTAAACACCATTTTCGCATCGCCTTAAGGGTCCTTTAAAGCCAGGTCGGCCATATTGAATTTTTACGTTAGAGGGAAACGGATGAAATTGCCAACCGATATTTAGCTACATTTTATCCGATTCTCTTAGATAAAGAAAATCCGGAATTCCTACGGGCATTTCCTTCTCTACGGAGTTACAATTCAATATGACTTACGCAGCTTTACAGTGCCCTTAATAAATTGACTCGACCAATACGTACATGTATAAAAAAGCGGGTAAAATGAAACTACGTGTACAGGATCGCGTAGGATTGTACGTAAGACATCTACGTATTACGCTCGATTCCCTATCTAATATATACACACGGTAATATAAGGTAGATCGTTAAAGGACTAATGTCATGTCGAGAGATTCCGCGGCATCGCGCAGGTGGCGCCCGATGCGGCGACAACAGTAATAATATCTTTGGTGATCGATTCATCTGCTAACAATTCTCCTTACTTACAAATATGTATAGATCTGTATATATCACTTAGTGGTTTCTTACTATCTAGATTATTTGCTCTGAACTAGCAACCGTGGGCAAGGTTGGCCGGATAAACTTTGTATCGTCATTCCCGTCGACTTGCATCTAGGGACAAACCGATACCACAAAACTATTGATACGTTTACGTATTACTAGAATCCAAAACGTAGATACATATTCGGTATATAAAAAAAATATATATATCGAAAGTATACAAAAACGTCACGACATTTCTTAGGGCATCGATGGTTAAATGACAATTAGGTACCTTTTCTTTTTTATCGATAATTTAAGGGTATCTATGCACTTGGCATTGAAATTAAAGTATCGAGTAAATACGAGTATTCACTTGGATCGGTTTATCCCTACTAGCATCGACTCGTTATCGTCCACATAGGATAAACGAGGAACGACATATCTCACGAGTATCTTTACAAAACGCAATTACCTATCAGTTTGCACTGTTCTAAATATCTTGCACCTCTGTGTCTATCTTCTACCTCGTCTTCGTCGAGTATTTCCTGACCGACGATCCGCAGACTTGCTCACCCGTTCCCGCGCTAACTCGTAGGAAAATTATTTCTGGAAAATAACATTAACTTATCAGCCCGATAACTTCTTAAAATATTTTTCTTAAACTCGATTAGCGCAGCCTGATAAATGGCATGCTCGGGTTTGTCGTCGAGTATATAAGTTTTTCTTACCTAGGCGATAGGAATGTATTTACACACACGATTAACACATACTGGAGATCCCGTGCGTTAAACTTTTCTCGAGGACTATGTGGAATTCACTCAGTGGCTCCAGAATGTGAATAAGAAACGACAAAAGCGAGGGGTTCCTCAGGAACGAGGCTTCCTCGTACATGTCGACGGTGGAACGAGCCTCGCTCATTGGTCGTAACATCAGATGAAGGAGTTGTTCCCTGGATGCAAAAATTGAATTAGCCCTTCCCTCTCTTCATTAACCAGTTAGCTGTTTTTGACAAGTATACTCGTACAATAAAAGATACAATAGAATTTAACAGTGCGATGAAATTTAAAACGTTACATTTACTGGGTATAAAAGAAAATTTTATTCTTTAGTGCTCACCTAGCTGCTAGGCAGACGAAGAGCTGAAACTTTCCGTCCTTGCCCAGGGTTTGACTAGAAGTATTGATCTGATCGATCAGGTGACAGTAACACCGAAGTATTGTGAACCTCTGATTGCTTTCGGCATGTGCTCTCCTGCCTCTGTTGAGTTTCTGCGAGTACTCGTCCATCTCCTCCAATAACGAGATCTCAAAATTCTCCTTCACTCGGACTACGACAACGTAATCATCATAAAGACATCGGACGATCTTGAAAAGAATAACCTTGTGAAAAATCTACTCACCGAAATAGTCCCAAACGTATAAGTTCCTTCCAAATATCCTTTGGTTCTTAAAGCCATACAAGAAAGTCTGTTCGAGAGATGGTACGAGACCACCTTCGCCACACAAAAGAACTGTCAACGAACCATCCTGAGGCTCTCTCCTGTAATGGAACTTCACAATCGCATTTACAGCTTCTCCTAGAAATGATATACATCAATTATCTCATCTACCAGGTCGTTTCATAATTAGGAAATAATACATCAAACGAAACCAATGGTGTATACTAACCGAGCATATGTTGCAACTCGACTTGAGACAACGTTGGCCTCCTCGGTATGCTTGGAGATCTACATCTCGGAGGTGTGGAACAAGATTCCACCAGTTCTTCGCTGTCTATACTACGTGGAACCAAAGCACCAACCAACAGCCTCTCCGTAGAACCATCATCGATTCCTCTTCCTAACCATCGTCCACAGGGAAACTTGAAGGTGTGACCGGTTACCTCGTTGCGAACAACTATATGCTCCACCATCCACTTTGGCGAGAGCCCGGTGTTGTCATGGCCTATCCGCAACGTGGACAACACTCCCAGATTTTTGTGCTGTAACGGTCACCGATGTCACATCGAGGAAACATAGCGAACCAAGCATACGTTTCTTGTTGACGTAGAACTATGTCTTTTCTGAGAGTTTATAGCTTGGTATGGAGTGCACATTGAGGAATTGAAGGAACTCATTTGAGGAATGAGAATTAAACCCGTCGATAAATGATTGTATACATAACCTCGTTTCATGTCTCGTATCAGCCAAACGTAGTTCTACGTTAATATATACAACATAACAGGAAGGTTATGTTCTTGTTTTGTTATTTTTCTCTTTCTACTTGAAATCCAGGCAAAGATATAACTGTCTTACGTGGAAGACGAATTCCAAGGCTCCCTTCGGAATGGGCACTGGATTGGTCTCGCACAACATGCCGGAGATAATGACCCAACTGTTCGCTGAGGTGGTGGCTGCACTTGCTTTCCTGCTGGGGAATATGACGACCCTGTAGGGCAGCTTCGTGGTCGGATAATTGTTGGTGAAGCAGAAATAGTCAACCGCGTTCAGTGTCAATAAGTGGTACAAAAACTGCTCCTTCTCTTCTTCGCATCGAAGGAATGCCGACCTTTTGTACTGGCTCCTGTTGTGAACACCATGTTATACATTATTTGATAATGCCAAATTAGTCGATAGTAAGATCAGTAATCCTTGCAGGAAAAATCATTTACACAGAAGTGAGAGGTTCTTATGTTAGCTCGTGATATAGTAATCGATACCTTACCTTAACAATGTTGCTTCTGATAAGAGCATCTTCAGATGTCTCGATAACAATTTCTTCTCTAAAGCCAGTCTCACCCATGCTCTGGCATAACCGATGTGAGTTTTAATTTCTGTCATCGCCTGTACATTACGTATGTCGAAGATTAATGACTCGGGCAAAGGTTTTAACTGTTCCGTGCCGATGGATCTTCTTTCTCCTGGGAATTTGTGCCGTTCTCTTCCTCTTGTCGGAGAGACTTCTGTTTCCAACGCCAAATTTGACAGATCTGCATAAAAAGTATTTTATTCTCCTCTCTTTCATTTTGTAACACTCGGAGACCACCACTTCGATTGTGCATCGCATACATAAATCACATTACGATCATTCACAAATGCAAGAAAACCAGAAGAAGCACACTGCATAGTAAATTGCAAACATATCGTGCAATAATATCGTGCAAGGCTAATTAGTAATCAAGTAACTCATGACAAATCTTTCTATTCCTGAATTTATACAAAACTCAGAATTCCATCGCTAGCTGTTAGTTTCACCCAATGGATTCGAACAAGCCAGATTCGAGGCTTACCGTTGAAGTTTTCCTTAATACAGGAAGCTATCTCAAATATATTTCGGTTCTTTAAAGATGATACCAACCGATCCGATATTCCGAAAAACTTTTTGGAAGGTTTTTTCTCTATTGTAACACAGAAAATGAACAAGTGTATAAACCGAAGGAAATAAAAAGAACAGCAGGCACATGTGTATGGAAGGAAACGAAGCAGTGCGATTTTATACTCCATCAAAGAAACTATTTACAGTGCAGGGAATAGTCAAGAAATCATTATAACGTATTTCAATCTATTTTCACATGTTATGTGTTTCTCGAAAGGTTGTATAACGTACAATCAAGCCTTTTCCGGAGTACACACCAAGCTAGAGCTGCATATCCAAATATTTAATGGTTATTATTAATTTTGTAAAAGAAGGATCGATTATCATCATTGGTTAGAATTGAAAAAGGTGTTTAAAAGAATAGAGTGTAATTAATAAATTAAACTGAGAAAACAAATGTAACCGATAAGCTGATATCAGATGATATAAGTAGCAGATATTTGGTGACTTCGGTACATGGTTTCGTGATACGATTTCAGTATTTTTTGGATATTAGTACAAGTTATATCTTAACATAATTCTATTTCTTTCTTTAAGGAGACCTGCATTTATAACGAAATTATTTTATAGAGATTATACGTGACAATGAATTTTCTCACCTGGAGATAAAAAATTGGGATCTATCGTCTTAGCTGAGTCGTTGCATTCGACCAGCTCCTGATACATGGCCAAATGCGACCAAAGAGCGCTCTTTCCATGTTTATTCTGTAGTCCGTGGCTCCAAACACGCTCCAATAAATCACAAAGACTGGCAACCAGTGTATTTTCCTCCACATCGGAGAGAGACTCTCCTCCGTGGCCCAAAGCCACTGCCTCCGAGCCCATCTTTTCCACTAACATCCTTTTAGTTTTAGATTTGCAGTCCTAAACAGAAAGCACATTCCAATTAAGGGAGCTCATACCAACTGCATTTGCTGGATGATAGACGATACCTTTAGCAATTTTTCTACAAATGTCCAGTTCGCTTGAGCTATTAAGGCAGGGCTCATGTCTGTCGAAAGCTTGGTTTGTGGTCGAGGGGATTGAGTTTCTTGGGGAGTCGGAGCCTTTCCATTTGCCTCCACCAGCTTCATTTTATATTTCCACTGTGTTTGTCCTCTCCTACTGCTGTAGAAACATATGGGATAAATACCACACATCAATTTGCAATATTTTATAAATCTTTCGACATATAACAAAAACTACTCACACAGTATATTAAACATTAGAAATCAGTGGGCGGAATAAAGATAAAGACACTGCCACTGTCATAAGAGCTTTGAATTAATCTTATCGGATCAATCTTAAGACAAGACCCAGGGGATTGCGGAAGTTAATTAAGTTTATAAATATCAGTACAGCTGGTATCCTTGACAAACAATCGAATCTAATTTCTGCAGGTTCCTTCTCGGAACAATGTATTATAAATGTCCGTACTCAAAAATGTTTGAAATGCCACTTTCAGCACTAAAAGCGAGATATAAGTAAAGACCTAAATCTTTATTCCATCCATCACTACACACCTAGTAGTTGACGAGTCGATAAATTCTTACCGAAGTATACTGCGATAAGCAGGAAAGAGAAAAATACAGATTAATCCCCACGTAGTGGTTAATGGAAGCGATGAAGTGAGTCAAGCCAGAAAAATTCCGATGTTTACCTTTGTGCGGGTTCTTTCCCCAAGGCAACGCTGTCCAGAAGAGGAAAGCTCCGAAAATAAGCTGCTCGATGGGGAAGAATTTCTGTCGGTGGACTCGCCTCAAAGTCGACATTGTTCATCCTGTGCTCCAACAACTTCTGCGTCTCCGAAATACTTGTACAAACTTCGTAACAAGGAGACCTGACGATGCCTTCGCCGACCTTCTTTCTGAAATAAACGAGTGCCCTGAAGTTCTTCTAAAATATAAACAAACATGGAAACACTTGGACAAAGTTTAACCACTCACTTCAAATTCGCGATTCTGTTGTCGAAGACCTTGATATTAAAATCCAGGTCGCTCCACGTAGACATGACCTTACTGTCCACTAGCGATGCGAACATCTGCGTTTCCAGGAATCTTGATAAAAAGGGCAAATGCTGCGCAGGCTGATCCGACAAGAACGTCGCCTTGTCGAAGACGTGCATGCTGTCTCTGTTGCTCAGCCACTCGTCCTTGTCCTGCGAGTTGTAAATAATCTAATGTAACTTAAGGCGACGTGAACACATGTGAAAGTGGCGCCCAAAAGGTTATGTTTATCAAACTCTTCTACGAATCGTTTTAAATTTTACTACGTGAACGTGGAGGCTATAAGGAAGGTTCTGATACCCGTGAAATTTCATTATCTGATCGGCAGAAAGGATCGATATCTCTTACCTGGCTAGGCTGAATGACGAAATGCTCGTAGCTTGAGAATATCTGTACAAAGCGATTCATGAAAATCTCCTTAATGGCGTTATTGAAGACGAGCGTGTCGCGATATTCCTCCTGGGGAGTGAGATTCTTCTTGGAGGTGATTTCCACGGAATCGAGATCGTCCAGGTTGATCCCTGCAATTAGATAATCATTGAGAGTCGAGTCAATTTTAAGACGAAGCCAGAGGAAAAATTAAACAATAAAATCTACTCAGCGTTTACGAACTATCAAACAGCAAAACTTTTAACTGTGATTACATAAAATGATTTCTTCAATAAAGATTTAATTAAATAATTCTCCTGCATGTACCTGTTCTCTTGGCAATGTCAGCGATCCTTTGCAGCGCTTCGGCTTGTGGCTCAGGATCTGCTCTGTCCCAGTCGAGAACATCGTGCAAAGAGTGTTTCCTGCGTGGAAAATGGAACCCAGAGCCAGGTAGAGTTAAACTACTTGTCATGATATCCCCGTTGAGATAATTTATCACCATGTTATCAGTCCTGGAAAGAGAACAGTGCTTACTGAGCCATTAATACTTAAGACCGACTGTTTGGAAACAGGGGAAAGACCGGAGGCGGGCCCGAGGGAAAACTGAGGCGAGCATTTGGAAGAAAAAGAAAAAAAAAAGGAAAGAGAGTCCAGCTCCAAAGGGGCCGAAAGAGTCACTTGTGCCGAAAATAGCTTTAACGTGTTCGCGGATTCGAAATGGTTCCCTGGAGCATATGGGCGTATCTGGACAGGAGGGTTACCCCTGATTTCCTTTCCCCCAGGAGTAAACCCATGCTGCATCAACGCTTCCGTGTAATAACCACGTATAATCAGAAATAGTGCGTTAAGGGGATGTGAAAGTGGCGTGAAATAGGTCTTCTTCATCAAATTTCTCCAAGATGGGTGTAGCGGAGCGTCTCAAAAATTACAACTAGAATATAAATGCCATAAGGAAGGTCCCGACGCCCATGAAATTTCTAGTTCATAATAAAAATCCTCTAAATGTACGTAAAGAAATTTGTAAAAAAAATCGAATGGATGTCTTTGTAGTTACATTGTCAAGTTTGAAATGATTCGGTACACTCGGGTAGGAGGAAAGCTTCGTAAAGGAGACCTCTTTCACGTCCCCTTAATATCTGGCTTAATTGTCCCACGTACTTGTCCGGGTGCGGTACTTTGTACTTGTTTAGGATCGCCCTGATCTCGGCAATGAACTGCAACTTGTGTGGGAAAACAGGCAGCTCTTCTGGCAATTGGCTCGTCTGCTTGTCGATGTCCACGTAGCACAGATTAGCCTGGAGGAAGTAGAAGCAAAATGAATATTTATTTATAATCCATGCCCGATAAATTCCCTTAAATTAAATCCTGGGAAGAGTAGCATTGACATAGAAGAGCTTCTTATGCTAATTGATTCGGGAGAATGACGCCTACGTACTTCGCTGGCGATCTTGACGATGCCACCCTCGCTCTGGGCATGAAGACCCATGATGAAGGGCACCGGGGCGTCGAGGAAGTGGTGCAAGCTGGCCGGCAAAATGGGCACGTAGACGTGCTGCCAGGAAAACGGGAAGAGCAGGGCGGTCACGCACTCGGAGACGACCATGAGCTTGTGGAAGTCGGCGCTCCTGAGGAGGACCTGGTTCTCCAGGAGGACGCAGGTGAAGAGCTGGATTACGCAGTCGACGCCTAGCCAGGTGAAGACGTCCTTCAAGGAGTAGTCCAACATGGGGAGCTCCTGGGCGGGTACCGGCTGGTGGATCACCAGCTCCAGGGGAGGCTTCGCCGGCTCGTCGTTGGGTACGAAGAACTTAAGGGACTTCCCAGGAAGTGGGACCGGCACGTTGTACAGCAGATTGTAGACGTAGGACTCGAGACTGAGACCGGGGCCAGGGTGTCTGGGGACGCACCTGGAAATCGGACGTTCCGACTGAAACATCGACTCCTAGAGTAAGGGGCGTTCAAGCTCACTTGTAGAGGTTCCCGAGGAACGTCCTCGCCGCGTGTAGGTAGGGCTGCTGGCAGAGCAGCGAGATCGACTTAGTGACGAAGAGCTTATCTTTGGTGGAGTCGTAGTAGCCCATGGCGGCACCAGGAGAGTGGGCTGAAAGTTTGAAGTGCCTCGGCAGCGACCTCGTGTTGTGCCCGTCCTGTCCTCGCCTTGGGCTGGAAAAATCAAGATTCCCTTTAACATCGTCCGGAGGAACTAACGGGCGATTACTTGCCACGATTCCGAACGCCTTAACCCTTTTGGTGCCGACTGAAATCGTCGCAAGGCGTAATATCGTCTGTTCGGCACTTGGTTTTGCTCTTGCACCGTTCTAAGCCTAATTTTGTTCATCGCTCCACTGGTGCGCGTTCCCACGTGGGTAGCGAATTCGTTAGGTTAGGGTAGGTCAGGCCTTAGCTAGGAACCAATTCGCTCCCCACCTTTCCCACGTGGGTAGCGAATTCGTTAGGTTAGGGTAGGTCAGACCTTAGCTAGGAACCAATTCGCTCCCCACCTTTCCCACGTGGATAGCGAATTCGTTAGGTTAGGGTAGGTCAGGTCTTAGCTAGGAACCAATTCGCTCCCCACCTTTCCCACGTGGGTAGGGAATTATTTCCCAGGCTGATTAGGTTGGATAAGAGCACCAACTTACACCGGCGGTGTACCGTTCTGTCCACTACTGAGTTCCGTGATGTGCATCGCTTGCAGAGTCTGCATAGCGGCGCAGATCTTCCGGTCTCGGCATTCCTCGTAGAAGACCAGGCTGAACCCATAGCTCCTGCGGCCATCCTCCTTCGTCAGGACGAACGAATGGAAGGTGGGCTCCACCGAGTGCTTCTGCGTGCGAAACCTCAGCCCACTGGGGAGGCATAGCTGGGAAATAAAATGCAATTCGACAATTGAATTTAAATATCATTAACAATTTAAGCCTCGCATGAAATTTCAATTTTAAGGTCACTTCATGGGTATATTTTCAATTTTTTTTTTTTTTCTTCCGTTTTTTATATAAAATGATATTCATATCCAGTACCATGCAAACGGCTTGCTTGTCGAAGGGATTCCAGGGCACCGAGTCGGGGTAGTGCCCCAGGACCTTGCTCTTGTAAGCACGGTCCAACGGCGTGCACTGCAGCGAGTCCCCTGGAACGTGGACATATAATTATTTTTATAATTATTAATTAATTATATATATATAATCTAAATTTTATATATACATAAAATGTCATTTTACAACCCTAGGTGCCGATAATGTATGGATTTCACAAGTATTCTCAACGGTGCAGCTTTAATTCACCTGTTTCAACTTTAATCTCTATTATTATCCCGAAGGGTGCAGAAGGTAGACCCTGACCTTGGATTATCCGCATTTCGTAATTATTTTTCCCGTCCCATGTTTTATTCCTCGCTGCAGGGACCTTCGCGAAAACTATCCTTTAAGTTAATTAACCCTTTGGGTACTAGAAGCGCCTAAAGGCGTCCGACGTTTGGTCCAATATCCCCTGCACGGTCAGAGGAATTTCGCCCATATGTCGAAATGATACCGTGTTCGAAGGGTTAAAGGATCTCGATCAGAGGCGAATCCGCTTCCTCGTTCGTCTTTAACATCTATTTTTACACAAACTGGTGCAAGGTCGCGTAAACCCTGACCTTCCTCTACTGGCATCGGCCAAAAATTTGCCTCCACGTGGGTTCTATTTCTCCTCTCCTTTAGACCCCTCCCTAATCACATGCGGAGGCTTCAAATTATTCGACGCATCCAGGTAGGAGATAAGGTTTATAAATATTCTGAAGTTTCGTATATACATAATGACCTTTTCGTCTCACCTTAACCGAGCTAAATGACAAATGGGCGAAATTCCTCTGACCGTGCATGCAATATTGGACCAAACGTCGGGCGCCTTTACTCCCTCTTAGTAGCCAGAGAGGGTCAATGAATGCAAATGAAACGCAGTTAAATCCAAGGAAAAAAATCGGAAACGAAAACTCAGTGAGGTTGACATTCCTCCGCTTCCCTGAGCTGCATCTGAGATATCGTGGAGCGTCTTATCGGCCGCGATGATAACCCTTATCGCGAGGTCGCGGGTCACCGGACGATTCCTCGAGGAATGATCTACTAGATCCCAAGCCCGAGGAGACGAAGGATAAGAACAAATGATAAATAAATCATCATAAATAAGACGCGAAGAAAGGAAGAAATATATTCCGCATCTCGCGTATGGAATTCATTCCGCGCGCGATTTTATTCCGACCTAGGAAATCTTTCTTTTACGCTCAGCTGCTCTCAGGAACCTTTCTCTCCTTATATCTCTCCCCCTCTGTCTACCTCGCAAGTGGATATTGCAAGGTACAACCTGACGAGGTGGTTACACAACCTCGCGACTCAAATTGAACGGAATTGCATCTTTACTTCCCCCTTAATTTCCACGGCCCAATCTCTATTCTACATACACGCATTGAGTAACAGCTCGTTTAGCTAAGAAATCGCGTTACGATTCATCGTCTTCGGTCAGTTAACGACGTTGATGACAATGGGGCAATTTGCGTACAGAGGAGAAGGGGTAATGTGCCCCCTTTCCCCCTTGCCCCTGACCTTACTTCTTCTCCCACGGGAAGACTCAGTCGCACCCAATGAATTTTAAGAAACAAGCCCCCAGACTTCCGGTGATTCGATTTCAATTACGCTCTCAGGTGCACCGAGAAAAAAAAAACTATATATAAAAAAAACAATACTTCACTCGGAGAATTACGCCCTACCGCAACCACGTTCTATGAATTACTTAAAATCAGTAAAAATTAATTGAAATCAACGTGAGAATTTCTTCTTCTCGAGGAAATAATTGTTTCTTGCAATTGCATACGATCGACAATATATACATTTGTTTCGGTAAGCTAATTTTTTTTTCTCAGTGTTGTTTATTTTATTATTTTTTTTTTTTTTAATATGATCTACTATTCAAAAGATCAACTTGGTATCGATAGTGGAAAGTATTTGATTAAATCGATAGAACGTTTCTTGGCTCAAGAGACGGAAGGTGTTAGACATAATTTATGTTAATGCAACCAATGTTAACTTACTATGAACACCTCCACCCTGGCGGGTCTCCTCCATTTCTATAAGCTCTATAGGTACCACGAGTCCTCCCTTTCGCGAAAAGGCGAGCTCGACGCTTCGCCGACTATAGGGGGACCTCTTTGCCGAGGAAGTGGGTTCGGGGGTGGCCATGGGGCACCATAAGCCGGCCTCTTTGAGCACGGGGGTGCGCGATTAGGGCGCGCCAGGAGGGTGGCCTAGGGCACCCTTCAAAACCAGACGTGTTCCTCGCTAACGAGAGAATTTCCCTATAAGGGCGAATCGCTCGAGTCATTTAGAATTATTTCGATCGCTCGAGTCATTTCGAATGAATTCGATCGTACGAATTTTTTGATAAGAACAATCGTTCGAATTTTTCTACGACGATCGCTCGAGTCATTTCGAATGAATTCGATCGTACGAATTTTTTTATAAGAACAATCGTTCGAATTTTTCTACGACGATCGCTCGAGTCATTTCGAATGAATTCGATCGTACGAATTTTGTTATAAGAACAATCGTTCGAATTTTTCTATAAGAACAATCGTACGAATTTTTTGATAAGAACAATCGTATGAATTTTTTTATAAGAACAATCGTTCGAATTTTTCTATAAGAACAATCGTACGAATTTTTTTATAAGAACAATCGTTCGAATTTTTCTATAAGAACATCGTTCGAATTTTTCTATAAGAACAATCGTTCGAATTTTTCTATAAGAACAATCGTTCGAATTTTTCTATAAGAGCAATCGTTCGAATTTTTTTATAAGAAAAATCTCGCTCGAGTGATTACGAACTAAATTTGTATAGTACCTAAGCGATTCGTCTTGGAAAATTCGCGTTCGGATGCGGAGAAAATCTAGGAGGGAAAACGCTCGCAGCCTCTTCTTCCCTCGGGAGCCATAGAGGACAGCTGCTCCCTCGGGTTTCCGGGCTCCTTCGGCTCTTTGTCGCGACTCGACGGACCGTTTGCTCGGCCGAAAAGTGATCCGGAGAGGGAAAGGCAGAAAAGAAGAAAAAAAAAAAAGAGTCCGGCGGGCCTGCCATTCGCAAGGGACTATTTCCAGAGGAGACGGAAACGCGCGCGACTTCTTGCAACCCACGAATCGCAAGACTAGCAAGACTCGAATTGCAAAACTGCGGAAAAACTCAAATCGCGAAATTAATAGGACTCGAATTGCAAAACTGCGGAATAATTCAAATCGCGGAATTAATAAGACTCGAATTGCAAAACTGCGGAATAATTAAAATCGCGAAATTAATAAGATAAATTGCAAAACTGCGGAAAAACTCAAATCGCGAAATTAATAAGACTCGAATTGCAAAACTGCGGAATAATTAAAATCGCGAAATTAATAAGATAAATTGCAAAACTGCGGAAAAACTCAAATGGCAAAACTCATAAAACGGGGAAAAACCCCAGCACCCTTCCTGGATTTATTTACAGGAATTTATTCGTACCCTCAGTCGCGGAACATCCCCTTTTATTCCTCGGTGTGCTTAATTCCGTCATTCTACCGCGCGGCATCAGGAAACTCGGTAGAGTCTCGCGCCAAATGCATTTGAGAGCCATAGAATGGAGTCGGTGTCCTCTGGCGCATCCGGTCGCACGTGGTAGACAAAAGCGAGAGAGGCAACGGGATCCTCCTGAGAAACACCTGGCCCTCCTGCGGAGATGCTCTTCCCCTGGGAACCGACCCGAGACCAGAGACCGAAAGAGGCCCCAAGGAGAGAGGAAAGTCCCAAAGGAATAAAAAGGAAAAAAAAAAAGAAAAGAAAAGATTAAAAAGGAAAAATCAAGCGCGGAGGAATCAGAGCGACTCTCGGAGTTCCCTATTCGAGAAACCCGGGGAAAGTCCTCGACAAACGGTCGCAGCCCAATTAAACTTGAAAACGCTGGCATCCTGTCAGCTGATGTTCAAAGCGATTTAAAGAGCCTCGGCGAACGTTCGGGTGTAAAAAAAGAAAATACGTAGACCCGTCTCGCGCGGGCTCGTTAGACGTATCGGTGATCACTCGAGAGCCAACGAGGCGCGGGCTGCGCGCGCCCCTCGCGCGCAGAGTTCCACATTTCTAGGTGGAACCCAACGAGGGATCGCGGTGACATTTCTCCCCCGCGTGAGTTTCTACGGTTTCCGGGGTTAATGGGAGAAAATTCACGGACTATGACGCCGATTTAGGCGCGGGGTGCGGGCGAGAAAAGAGAGGAGACTCACCGAAGTAGCGGTCCGGCTCTAGGCCGGAGTCCTTGTCGAGGCCGCAGATGACAAAGTAATCGGCGAACCTCGCGGGATGTTGCTCGGGTCCGCGTAGAACCTCGAGGCCGCCGTTCATCGTTCCCCGGGCGTATCCGCTCGACTGCGCTTCACCACTGGCACGCTGCGCACTTCGCGCACATCCTCGCGACTGTCATTTCACGCGCGAGACGGATGACGCGACACAGCTGACGCGGTACGTCCGGACCGGGCGAGCCACTCTCGGCGAATAATTGATCTTTGCCGGGGAGCGCTCGAGTCGGCCGCCGCTGGCGGCGGAGCGCCTGCGCGAGGCTCGGCGCGGCGAGCGCGACGGTGGCGCCATCTAGCCGAGCCCCGGCGAACCCGGTAGGGCAGGATCAGATAATACAGAGCTCTAAACATGGTAAATTACATCGGTAGAATCCCGGTAACTTATCGGCAACTTCTCCAAAGCCTCCCTTCGGTCGTTCCAAACTTACAGATGCATTTTCTACATGTTACAGACTAATTATTATTCTATATACTTTAAGGATAGTCATTCTCTACATCCCGCGGAGCAATATAATTCCTGTTAACGCGTAAAATCGAAGATCTTGAAGAACGTTCGTCGCGGGAGACTTCATCCCAGGAACAACGATTATGTTCGATATCGATGGGATCTCTTTATCTATTTTCAACGGCGCGATGCCGTTTCCATTGTTGCAGAGATCCGTTGCGCAGGCGCGGTAATAAGTTATGTGATCTGCAGTCTCGACGATGGTATTGAAATATTTCGGCTCGTCTTCGCAGGCTCGATAAAATGCCTTCAATACGCCTTTAGGGTCTCGAAATTCTTCACGGAATATCGTGCAATATTTTTTTTCGCAACTGCTTGCAAATCCTTCGCTGTTCGAACAGGGACTAGTCGGTGATAAATTCTTGCAAATGTAGCACCTTAATCCTGCATGAAGAAAAAATAGTTTCATATACATTACGTAAATAAAGTAACCAAAGGTTTGCTGTCAAACCGATGTCAATAGTCAATGTCACGCGATAAGTCAATACCATCTCTTGTCCCAAGAGACACGAACATTCAACACAGACAACTCTTGTCAAATCAATCTACTTTTAGCATTTTATGAGGTCAATTATCATTAGTAGCGGAACCGTTATGACTTCCAGTTTCATTTGCGAATCCGACGACACGCATGAACATTTCTGCACGTCGGTGTATTTTTAAACGATACATTCGTTGCGATAACTACCGATAACCCTGCGGATAAAGATAAGTCACATAATGAAAAAAAAGCAACGAAGGTCGGCTACTTCCGCTTCCCTTTTAACGATGGGATGAATTCTCGGAAGCGTAGGAAAGGAAATAAAAAAAAAATGGCGACGCTTATCGAAATCAAATGCGGACTTCTGACGGTACTTAGATGGAATTAGGGATTAAAAGTTACCCTCTGGAGTTAATAATTCACTTCTGTAGATCAATTTCTACCTGCCATGGGGTTTATTTGATCAAAAAGGTACTAACCATTCGCGTAATATGGGAAAATAAGGCAGAATAGGAGAAGCTCCAAAACCAAGATGGCCGACATCACGTCGCTCTATGGGGTTGAAACGGAAAACTAGTCGCACCGTGAAACGTACACCGATGACGTCTCCACGACTGATTTATCAATAACGACACCTTCCCTATCTGGTTGATAACTGATCAAAGAATTGATACCCCCCAGTCGCTATTATCAGCTCGATTCGTCGACCAATCGCTGAAGTGCAACAATCTTCCTCCTGGAAGAATTTTCAGAATTTCCGTATACAACTCCCTAATATATCGACTCGTAACATGAAAAAGGACGATAGGAGGGATTTAAAAGAAAAACCAAACATCCGCGTTACTTTCGAAACGCCTTTTTGGATCCTAAACTTAGCTTCGTTCCTCTTCTTGTCCCTACCGAGACGCCTCGAGTATTGGGCGGGAGATTTGAATCCCTTAGGAGGTCGCGGTCATTGCCGCCGCCTCGGCTAGTAATTTCGAACAATGCATCGAACTAGTGAAAAAGAAGGCCCGATTCAATGGGGAATTTCGGAATCTCCGGATTCGCGCGACACCATGGGAGCGTAAACCGTTCAATTGCGGCGCTTTTTTTCCTTTTTTCCTCTTCCAATTAGTCGTTTAGTCGAGTCGGTGCCATTGTTAGTCCACCGCGTCCTCGGTGGGGAAAAGGCCTCGGTCATTGTTGCCGCCTCGGCCGGCAGTTTCAGATAATGCACCCCAATTAATAAAATGGGGAAAAGATAAAGAGGAATATGTAATATCTGATTTTTTTTTTTTCCCCCAGTCGGCTTGCAGGTGAGAATATAAGGAGAGGACTTGCGCCCGGAGGTTCATGAGTCCTGGTTCTCTCGTCGAGGAAACATTTACCGGAATCGACATGTTCCTCCAGAAATTATTGCTAATTGCCCTCGCCGCGATCGATTTATCATTATCGCAAACCGCGACTATCGTGTTCTCCGGAGACGGCACTTCGGGTACGTAAATTTTCTACACCATTTTTTTATGCACTTATGTGCATAAAAAGAGGTATAGAAAAAAAAAAATTGAAAAATCCTCTGATTGGGGTTTATCATTTCAGGCCAAAGTGAAAACTCCACCTTGCAAGAATGCACCTGTGTTCCGCGAGGCACTTGCCCCACTGGAAATAACGTTGGAATCGACATTCGTATCGTCAACCAGGTAAATCTTATATACATTTTATGTATCCAGAAAGTGGATACGGTATGCTATTTAAAAAAAAAAAAAAAATAAGAAAAAGGTACCGAGGTGGATTCGAACCCTCGACCACCGAGTCACTGATACGGGGATTTCGTTTCGTGGACTCGAGGATCGAGATCTGGAAAATTGGATTTCTTTTCCAGGGAGGACAATGCTCCGCGGGTTTGGTCTTTTGTTGCATGCAACAATCGGGCAGCGTGACGGATGGGACGTGCGGAATTCGTAAAATCGAGCTGACCCCACAACCGACGGGTCAAGCGAGCTTCGGAGCGTATCCTTGGCAAGCGGCATTGCTGACGACCAGCAACAGCTACATCGGCTCCGGGGTGTTAATAGACTCGAACCACGTCTTAACAGCAGCCCACAAAGTAGCTGCATATGCGTACGTCCATACAATAAATAATTTCTACACCCGTCCAGAGACGAGGTCCTAAAAATACCGCACGCGGAGAAAGACTCGCGTTTTCTCAGCCATATGGCTATAACAACAACCAAATACATAGTTGAAACTTTCCCTACGTTACAAATCAAATGTTGTACCTGGGTCGCCCCGATATTGCAATTTGGTACATTTAACGACGTGGTGCAACATTTTCATTGAAAAATGCCGAGGGCTATTCGCAAGATCCTCTTTCATATTTCTTTCTTATCGCAGAGGCGGCAGCTTTAAGATCCGTCTAGGCGAATGGGATGGACAAGTCGTGTCCGAAATGTATCCTTATCAGGAATACACGCCGATTCGAGTCTTCGTCCACCCCAACTTCAATAGGCAGAATTTGCAGAACGACGTCGCTGTTATCAGACTGAACGCTGCAGTCCCCATCTCTACGAGTCCGCATATCAATACGGCTTGTCTTCCGACCACTCAGGTCGCCGCTCAAACACGGTACTTATAATATTCATGTCATTTCGAGGTGTATTTTGATTTTTAAGAGACACGCGATATTCTTTAGATGCTGGGTAACCGGATGGGGCAAAAACGCCTTCGGGCCTTCCGGAAGCTACCAGAGCATCCTCAGGGAAGTCGACGTCCCCATTCTTAGCCAGAGTGACTGCGAAGTTCGCCTTAGAAGCACCAGGCTTGGACAGTTCTTCAGCCTGGACACAAACAGCTTCATATGTGCCGGAGGCGAACCCGGAAAAGACGCATGCACGGTAATTAATAAAAAAAAAAAAAAATTGCAACACACTTTTTAGCCCACCCCTGAATCGTTATGCAAATTCTTAGTTCACATGCGATAGAGCTCAGTAAAGCCAAGTCGACCATATTCCCTCCTAATTAATTACATGCTTAATTCATCGCCTAGTAATCGCAAAAAACCCAAAAAACAAGACCTATCTCTCGAGCCGCAATTATTTACATTACAATTTGTCAAACCTCAATGAAGCCAAGTCGGGCATTTTTTTATCCTACCCTCGCATGTACTCGAATCGTCCTGTCGGTTTACATTTTTTATAAAAGACTTTACATAAGTTATAAAAAATTTTAACTACGTTCAGAGCTTTCCCCAGGTTCCGGACCTCCACGTTTGCGTGATAAAATCCCCAAGAATGATAGAAAATCATTGAAGATCATTAAATTTTTATCATCTCCGATTTGCAGAAAAGTACCATAAACAATCGACCTCTCGGAGGGCATTTCCATTCCCTCCTTAATAATTTAAATTTAATTACTTTCAGGGCGACGGAGGAGCACCATTGGTGTGCAGACATGACAATGGATCATGGCATGTCCATGGAATGGTGGCATGGGGAATTGGCTGTGCAAATCCAGGAGTGCCAGGGGTTTACGTAAACGTTATCAACTTCGTATCCTGGATCAATCAACAAAGAAATCTTTGAGACATCCAGGACCGAACGGATCCGATTTCCAGGACGACAGGATAGGCTTACGAATCCGATAATTTCCTATTTCGCCCCGACCTAATTACTTCGCCATCGTGATATACTTCATTGAGGGTTACATTTCATTAAATATCGCCCACCGTATTGCTATCTATGAAGTCGCTATCGCACCGTATAAAAGGGCTGATAAACAAACCGCGCGGTCCTCGGTGGATAAAACTTATATTTCTCTATACCTCGATAACATCGGTTTATAAATATTTCATCTTACTTTTTATGTACATACGTCTTTACCGCGTGAAATAAAAGAAGTCTCAGAGAAACGCCCAATCGTCCGCAGAATCTGAGCCCGCAAGTCGATTAATAATCGCGTCCTGATATAAACATTCCTACCAGACAATAATCTCCGAATGGCATATTTTTCTCCCCCCAAATCGCAGGAAGAAAAAAAATGTAAAAAACGCCAAAAAGATTTTCTTCATTCAAGAAAATCCATTTCCATTGATTTTTGTCGATGCGTTTCGGAAAAACGTTTCGTCGAAGCGCCTGATTAATTTCCCGCGGTAATTTAATTCTCAATGACTTCCGGCGTTATGGAAACGGAATATAAGAAGAGACCGGAAATTATTTCTATCACTCCTCCGAGCGGAACTGATTACGTTTCAATTACATGATTGATTTTTCCTTTTCCCCCCTCGATCGACTTCTTAATCGATTAATCACGCTCGCTCTTCCGGAACATCTTCGGGAATTCTTTTCTATTTCGAGGAAGTCCCATCCAAGGCGCCTCTCGGATGATTATTAACGTTTGGTACGAATGCGCTTTACAAAATATTCCCTAAAAACGCGATTTACGTCAAGAGGCTGAACATGATCGTTCATTAAAGGCAAAATTCCTCCCCGGGTCGGCGCAAAAAATGTATCGCGCATGCCGACAGGGCGTGCGTTTTAATACCCTCAGTACGTGACGAGATTTACACTTAACAATTAATATATAATATAATATAATATATATATATATATACGTAGCAATACTGCCGATAAACGACGAAACATGAATTCCCCTCGGAGCGTCGTGCGGACATGGACAGCCTTAATTACAATTGCAATTTAATCGCCACACGAGGTCACTTAAAACGATACGAAAGGGTCATATATAAAACGTCATATATCGTGACGTTTTGGTATATAGAATGACCCTTTGATATCACCTTAAGACGACGCACTTCCGATAAGCGACATTAAAAAGACGCGTAGAATGTACAACTATAGTCTAGTTAAACGCCACGAACGCATGTCTCATTACTCGTTAAAAAGGCCAGCCATGCTCCCAGTCTTCTAGCCGATCCTAGAAAAATAATTCGCCTACGGAACCGCCCCACGTAATCACCGACGTACACAAATAGCCTCGTAATCAATCATAAGAATTGCGGGGGAGTAGTTGCGCGAGAACAATTGACTTCGACGTTAACGGGGATCCGTTAAGATGACTGCACCCGTTACGATAAATCGTGGCGATTAATATGTGCAAACCGATCCGTAGATGTATCTACAGCACAATTGCTACGATCAATTTAACAATCGTTGCGATAAACCCGTGTAAACCGATCTCTACGGATTAAATGAATGCGTCGATACATGCCATGGGACTCGATTAATCTGCACAGATTATCGCCAGGATTTATCGTTAAGCGGGTAGCCACCTTTAAGAGGTAATCGCGAATGGCTGGATCTTTAAACTTAGCGCTCTCGTTTGCACCTCCACGTTTAATCAACTATTCCTTATTAACGGCGGAAACGCAACCATCGATTAGATGCACCGCCCTACTATATAACTGCCGTTAACAGCGACACAACTGGTAATTAAATTAGACGTGTAATTAATGCTGCCTGTCTTTGGCGTCGTGCGACGGCGGCCAACCGGAGGCCCTGGAAGGGATACCTAAAAACGCGCGTCTTAGCGTTTCCGCTTTTTCGCAATCATGACAATGCTCGCGATACTTGGGATTATCGTAACATTTCCGTGGATTTCCGGTGTCCTTAAGTAAAATGTCGACTGCGACTTTGGGAGCGCCTCCGCGATAACGGAGGCGTTCGTTAGCCCATTTGCATCATTGGCACACTGGGAGACATCAATGCCCTCCCATCCTGCACAGGCGATGTCGTATCTGCAGGGAAGGCCTTCATGTCCGCCACTGTGCATATACGCTCAATTTAACTTGTCACTATCATTCAGCCTGAAATTTGGTGATAAGGACCCCCTTTTTTTATATTTCCTTATGATGCCAATGGGTTAAACGAAAGGCGTCCTTATTGCGCCCGACGAGCGATTCGAAATCTTCGAAGGTCCCGAGGAACTTAACGTACGATGTGTCCCTAAGAAAAACCTCCCTATAAAGCGACGAATCGCATTATCTCCCTCCTGGAGGAAAAGGCGACGCCGAAAGGGTCTGGAGAACGCTCGACGTAGGGAACTGAAAGAGCGGCCATCTTGGGAGGATCGGTTTTAACGCGATTCGACGAACTAGGCGTAATAAATTTAACAAACGGCGAGTTTCGTGGCATCGCAACCGCGTCCCCGCTAGGAATCCTTCATTCTTCTCCGCAGAAATTGTATTTTCTATACAGGAATTCGAGGTCGACGATTCGGCGCCCCGTCCGCCATTTTCTTTCCCGGAGTTGCGCGCTTCATCATCGTGACCGCGCATCCAAAACATGCACGCGCTTCAACCTCAAGTCGTCTAGAAGTCCATTAAATTATTGTTACAATTATCATTAGCGTCGTTACATCTATTATTATCGTAAACGTTATTATGCGTGTATTCGTTGGCTGCAGTGAACCGGTCGGTCCGACTTTCCGCCATCGGAACGCGCCGTTCTGTGGGCGAATGAAGCGCGATTAGGTTAGGTTAGGTTAGGTTAGATTAGGTTTTAAGTCACCCCTGTGTACGAAAAGTATCGAGTCGAAAATATGCGACGTAGACGAGGTTGAGAAATGGAAGCTTAACCGCTATGAATTCCCTCGTTTCAAGTCAAGTAGGACTTCCCATCCGTGGAAGATTAAAGTCTTATAGTACCAAATCCCACTACTAGATGTCGCAGAAGGGGGAGAACTCTCATCTTCTTGGTCTCCTCTCGAAGGCCTCGCATCTCATCTCGCTTCAACTGCGTTAACGCACTTCCTAATCGTGATCGTTGATAACCCAGGAACAGCGATGCAGTTAATGTTTCCGCCTGAGTATACCGTGAACTTCAAGACCCAGCCATCGCGAGCCAGGTTCCCCGTGGAACCATATCGCGGTCTAATTGATCGATAAGCCCGAGTTATCGCGATAGCGATGATTAAGGCATTCACAGACACTTCGAGTAACAATAGTAGTAAGCATAGCGCTAAGGATGTTCCCTAACTCACCTGACTTACAGCATTAAACGACGTCTTTTGACCGCGTCCGATCTGCCCTCGTACATCTCACATTAACATTAAAAAGCCGCAAAAATGGAAAATTTTCCCTACACTCTGCCATGCTTACTTTAATCGTTACCGAGTAACCTGCGACGGGCACATGGCGCCGCAAGCAACGACCACGGGAGTAGTTAACGAAACACAGGATTGTCAGTCGAGGCGCCACCTCCACCCAGACACCTCGGGGACCTTAAAGTCCGCTCCCACGCGACCCGAGTTCGAGAAAACGTCTACCGGGGGACCTGGAGCCCCGTCACCGAGAGTTACGCCGTGGCACTCCCTACCTCGGCCTCTCTATTGGTTTATTGCGCCTCGTGTACACAGAGGAGTAGGAGCAGCCGATGGGGCCTGCTCTAGGAGTCACACGGCCGGGGAGTTGATGTGCTGCAGCTGGACGGAGTGGTGGGAGCTCGGGGGCGACAAGAGATGTCCGCGCTCCATCTCGTTCACCTCCTGCTGCTCCGGGTCGGCCAGGGATCCCGTCGACCTAGCCAGGCTGTTGCGCTGCCGGCACATGTACGGCGTCTCCCGGGGCGACGGCGTCTCACGGCCCTGCGAGGCCGAATCGGGTGGTTTAGAATAAGAAAAGGAAGAATCAAGAGGATACGAAAGTCCCTAGGAACTTCATCGACGTCGATATATACCCTTTCTCATTGGGTCTCAACTACCGGGGTGAATTTACCTAAGACCGTATTCGACTCCGATTTGATGATTTCCAGACAACGTCCGAGGCATTTGGATTTAGGACACTTGGGATGGGAGGGTTCTGTCCTCTTCAGGTAATACTGTGGGCACCCGGCGATTCGCAAAGGAACTGATGAGAAACGCGTGACAGGAGATTGGATGGGTAATTACTGACTAAGGGTCTAGATCACCTGTTTGGAGGGACCGCAACACGTGGCTTGATTGCAAGGCTTGTCCGTCTTCGGACAGTCGAGGACGCAGTCTTCCGTAGGAGTTTCCTTGACCTCGTTATTCGACTGATACTGGAAAAGCGAAACGAGAAGTTAGCCGATCATGGATTGCCCTTAAGGTGTTAGTCATTTTATAGGGGGAAAAAAAATGAAATCTCGCGAGAAAAACTCAAATCACACGACCAGGAACTAAACAAAAGGACGTCTCACGTGTATAAATTCCGGCTGTATCGTGGTGGAATGAATTCCCTCGTTGTGGAAGAACTCCTTGACCTGCTCGGCGATCTTCATGTATTCCGACAGATTGCGACACCGTATATGCGCCGAGGCGATGATGCGATCGCCGGCCAATTGCCAGACGTGGAACTCGTGCACCGCCAGGACGCCGTCGACGTTCTCCAGAAGACGCTGCTGGATCGCGTCGACCTAAGTGACGAAGATATAACAAATAATTGCCATTTGGAATGAGAATAACGCGAGAGAACTCGAATTTCAACGGAGCTCAACCTGGATGTGGGTCGGCACGGTTTGCAGAAGAATCATGGCGGACTCGTGCAGAAGCGGCCAAACGGATCTCAGGATGAGGAGGACCAGAAGAAGCGACAGCGCAGGGTCGATATAAAATCTGGAAAGATAGGATATCCCGTTAGCCCGCTTATCTATCGAGAGGCTTATCAGCCGTTTCGTCGGTGCAATCGAAACGATTTGTAATCAAAGTCAACTCGAGAGGCAGATGTCTATCTGCACAAGTAGACCGGTGACAGTAGTCCAGAGGTGAAGTCGGTATTTCTTGACACGTAGACTCTGAATTCCCATCAGAGGACGAACAGGATATAAACCAATGATTTAAACTCCTAGAGCCAAAGCGCGTCAGCGACCTGGCTGTACAGATTGAAATCCGTATCTCGAGTCGAAGATATCAACTAATGGAGCCTATCTCCAGGTTCACCTGTACTCCCAGTCTGTGAGCCAGACTATAAGTGCCGAGACTATCACGATAACGGAGCCGAGGGCGTCCGATAACACGTGTAGAAATACACCCCGCATGTTCATCTGACTCGCTCCGTGGGAATGGCCATGGGCGGCCATTCTCTTGACCGGTGGAGGAGGCGGTCGGAAAGTCTCGTCGTTCTCGTTGTCGTCGGTCCCCACCAGGGTGCTCAATCGGTTATGGCTCCGAGAGATCCCGTGGGAGTGTCTGTGCGCCTTCCCGTGCTCTGGAAAGACAAAGAGACCCCTCAATTAAAGTATTAAGGCGCTGAGAAATTTACTCGACGTTGATAAAAAGATATTCATCTACACCCTTTTCGATGGTAACGCCATCTTGACTACTCAAGTGGTATCATAAGCTGGTGGGCACCAACATTTGGTTCATGGTCATTGTTTTACCCCTAGGGTTTTCTTTCTAGGAGTGGAACCCCCTCGCTCGGCTCTTCCCGATAAACGATAAACTTGTCCACGTATTGTAAACGCTAAATGAGGTCGTTATCCTTGGGAGAGCTAACCTAAGGTCGACGTAGAGGGAATCGGGGAGGAGGTCGGTGTCACGGGGTGCGGGTGTCTCAGGTCCTGAACACCAGGTGTCACCGCTCTTCTTGGACGACCACCTGGGTAATCCCCGCAAGGTTAAGGAATAATTAAGGATAACAATAAGTGGACGATTCGGGCCATCTTCCCTTTCATAACACCTGAAGGCCTTCACGGATACCTCGCGTTATCAGTAACCGAAAGCATTTTGGTAAGAACAAATAAATTGTTTGTAATTCGACCGGCCATAACTCACCATGGAATAGGCACAGGCCCACCACGTTGACTAAGAGTCCCAGGGCGCCAACAGCCACCAGGAGTTTCGCCTCGTGGATCTCCTCGACCTCGATGAACCTCTTGCAGGCCTCCACGGTGATGCTCAGGCACAAGGCAACCAGGAAGACCGCGTTCACCAGGGCGCCCAGCACCTCCGCCCTCGCCCAGCCGAAGGTGTTCTTCGACCACTTCTTCGGCGACATCTGCAAAGTATTCCCCATTAATACAATTACATTATATATACATAATAAATATTATTAAAGTCTTACAAACATTTCCACGTCTTATAAATACGGAATTACCATTTCATATCACGTTAAGTATCTAAGGCGCGACTTAACGACCAAATTTTTAAGGAAATGTTTCGCCAAGGCCTAAGTGGCAAATTTCATTTGCCGTGAAGTAAGAGAAGGTTTCCAGGGTGTGCGAAGAAGTGCGGCGGTCATAAAAGTTGCGCGTAAAAAAACAAAGAAAAAAAAAAAACTGGCCATTTAACGACGCGTTTCCGCGGGGTTTCCTATTAGCCGCGGAATCCGCCTTTTTGTGCCGACGTGTGGTTTCCTTCTCTTTCTTTTCTTCTTCTCTTTTTTCTTATTTAATCGTTAACGGTACCGGGCAACCGTTAACGCGCAGATCGAGTGTTAGATTTATGTCAAGGTTTCGGGATCACAAAAGCGGCGGAAGAAGCGAGAAAAAGCGCCGCGAACGTTCTCGAGAGATATCGAGCGGGATTTATCTTATTTCGTCTCGAATGGATGACCATAGGTTAATTGCGCACCGCGTCCTTCGCTCTATCGTTATCCTTCGGCGAAGGGAAGCATGTAATGAGCTGCTCGGTAGCTAGGGTTAATTGTTGCGATAATAACGGAAGGACCGGTTGCGTAAATGGCGATTAGTGCACCGTTAGTTAACATATTGGATTCCTTCAAAATCGTATTCGCGTTTGAATCTTCCGCGCCCTCGGCAGCGCCGCGCGGCGGCGCGCATAGGAAACAAAATGGCGGCCGGCCCTCGCGCCGTTTACGAGCTAGACTCAAAGGGAAGCCGCTCCTAAATAACCGCAGACGCCGCCTCGTAAAATCGATAGACCGCTCGCAAATAAAGCGAACCGGAAGCGACTAGTACTAAAAGCTTCACGGCGGTTAACTCCATTTTCCATTTTATCCAGGGCGCCGCCCACCTTGACGGAGAGGAACGCGATCACCAGCGCCGCCACGTCCGAGAGCATGTGAAAGCTGTCGGCGATCAGCGCCATCGAGTTAGTGACGTATCCGACGATGATCTCCACCAGGAAGAAGAATGCCGTGAGCCATAGCATCGACAGGAGGCGGCACTTCTTTCCCGTGTACCGGCCCATCTTCGTCCCTCAAACGTGATCTGGAAATAGGATCACCGTTATTTTTACATTTTCCTCATTGCTCCACTCGCTGGGGAATTTCCCGATCGTACGTCAAGCTCTGTCCACAATTAAAGAGCATCGTAAATGACTACGTCTTTCCATCGTCCTCCTCAATTAACAGAATTTAAAACTAGGAACGCCACGTCCCCGCGACCTAGCTTACCGACCACGGCGGCGCGCAAATCGAAACCGCTCGATCGGTAACACGATCCGTCGTTTTCCAGATAGTAAGCCGATCTCCCAGCCCGAGGGAGAAAAGGAATAAATAGGAATAAAAGAATGCTCTACCCGCGCTTTCGAAAGGGACGACGGAAATCCGAGCGATCGATCTCCGTTTAATCGAACGCGAACTGAATTCGACGAAAATTGCAGCCTAGCGGAGGATAATTCCGCGTTTCTCGATGTGAATAACACAAGCCATAGTTATTCCCACCCAGAGAATGGCGAATTCGATCGAGTCGGCTTTTTACGAGATTACTTTTGTCCCAGATCCTTCCTCGAGGTTAATATCGGCAAATTAGCATTGTCGCGGCCTTAAATGTATTAAGATATCCCTCCTTTTGGAATACTTAGTGCCAATAGATCGATTCTTCGCCTTTCTAAGCGGGAAAAGTAATTAGGTCTGTTTACTCGGCCATCTATCGCGATATCTAGCGCGGTGCTCTCAAGGATGCTCTCCGGGACAACTTTGCCCGATTAAATTCTAACGCCGGCGATATAAATCGATTAAGCTGCCATTACTTTATCGAGCCATCGCACATTTATCGAATTAAATAAGTATTAACGGCACAGCAGTTAAGTTCATACGTTGAAAAGGAGCGTAGCAAAAAGTTAGCTCATTTCCTATTACATTCCTCTTGGGTGTTAATTACTATTTATACAGACAATAATCATTTTCTTTGGCGTTTAAATAAAATAATTAGATTCTAATAGGCAAGACCATGACCACCCTGGGAACCGGTGCGAGTGGATATTAATCTGTCACGGAGGAAGAAAAAAAGAAAGAGAGAGAGAGAGAGCACGAACCTCCGTCATATGACTCACACTTATATGCAACTTATGCACACTCGCACTCGGCTTCAAACGAGTGCTTAGAACTATTTATCGCTATTATGTGTTCCTATCTGACGTTCGTGATAACCCAATTTCTGACACGCTTATTCGCACGTTGTTTTCCCATGCCGGACGACTTCTCTAAGCTCTATTGTCCAACTTACAAGAAATGTCTAAGTCTAGCTCTTTAATATCGTTTACGTCGTTAAAACGATGCATAGTAGCGTCATTACTACTAGATTAATTTAATTACCACCTAGGTCGGTCATCAGCCAATGCCACAATTAAGATAAGCTTCGACTTTGCTCCGAGAAAGTATTCTAACCATAAAAAAAAACGACTTGTTGTCTTAGAACGATATAAACATTGCTCTACGTGTCCAGTGCTTACATTACAATTTTTCATGCGTAAGAACTACTGAGAATCTAATTTCCTTCCAGAAAAGTATGAATCGGGATGTTTTTTAAACTGTCATTAATAAATTTGAGGCTGGACGAGACCTATGCTTAGATAACTTTCAAACTGGCTTTTCGATCCTGCGGGTACCTCTACGTGATAAAACCCTACAAGGCGAACCGAACCACGGGGACAAAAAGGTTCCTACCTTGGACACCTAAAAAAGCAATGTGTATTAACGTATACGTTGTGTAAATAAATAAATAAATCTACATGTATCGGTGAAGGAGGAGATAAATTCCCTTTCTAGAGATCCCACCTTTCGGAGTGACGACCGCCGTCGAAAAGTATTAGGCTAAAGTGGGCGCTATCATTTCCTAAATTAAGGTTAGAAATACGAGGAAGCCGTAATTTGGACTCACCCTTTACGTAGAAATCGGGGGAATTTCTTTCCGGCCTCGTCAGCGAGACCCGAGCGATCGTGGCATAAAACGTGACGCACGAGGGTCAGATTTTTAGGTTCATAGGTTCATAGGTTCATTTCAAGCACAGTTGCGCTCGGCGACGATGCCCGATTAAAAGGAAACGAAAGGAAACTAAAATCAATTCGGCGACATATCGGAGCCCGCACGGGAGATTTTCGTAAACGAACGGTCACTTCATTGTCGGACGATCAGGCGAGATTACATGTAAAAACGCATCACCGCCGACTCCGCAGCCAACCGATTTTCAAAAACACTACGAGAGGAGACTGCTCAACTACGTCGCCTACGGGTCGCGTTATCGAACTCATCGAGTTCGACTCGTCCACGGGAGTGTATAAAAGGTGTGCACGCTCACCCCCTCCATGGCCGATTACCCACACGTTCGTCGAGAAAGGAAGAGTATGGACGCAATAAAAACGTTTCCGAGAACACTTCGATTTCGAAAAAGAGCGCGCTCTAGGGGGTCCATTACGTAAAGCAAATTGAGCGTAAATGTGAAAAATGAGTAGCTGACGGTATTACGGAAAGTTTTGGCGGTGAAAATGCGAGAACGTTCACGTGACTGTGAACCACGTATTTTACCGTAGAAAATCAGTGCATTAGTCAATGTAGTCTCTGATTAACAAAACCACTGCGAGGAAACTCCCATAGCGTGTTATCAAACTCATCGAATTCGACCCATTTATGGAGGATATTAATCAGGCATAAATTGAATAAAAAAAAAACAGGTCAAAAGACTACACCAAGTATACATACAATATGCAATGAATTATGTATATACAAAAGTGATTTAAATAAAATCTAGACCGCTTAACTCCTCTCGTCGTTACTTTGTGAACTGCCTTCACAAGGTCACGTTAAATTGCCGTTGCATTGAGGATGCGACTGGTTGTTACCTCTGAATAGATAACTCCGTGCGCTTATGTGTGCCTTGTCAGGTTTCCCTCAAATTTGAATTCAAGTGTCATCGGCGACATAGTCGACTTCTGTTAACAGTGCCACGATGGAAGCTGCCGATACCTCTGGCAATCGATCAAGGCAATATGATGAATGGAAAAAACGGGTAAAGGAATCCTGTCGTTTAATTATTAACCTCGAGACGCAGTTCGCCTCTGACATATCAGAATATTTCCCTGCAATCCAGTTGTCGTTTTGTATGCGTTGAATTCTCGTTTCGACCATCTCTTTCCTCCTTTCTTGAGATTCAGAGAGGATGAATAGCTTCCGCTAACGGAGTAGACCTTTCAGGCTCTTCTCGGTCCACTTCCGAATGATTTCTTGAGGCTCGAGGACGATAACCCCCAACACCAGCAAGAGGCTGCCGATCAGCAGGCTGCGTTAGCTCTTCAGCAAATCCAAATGCAGCAATGGAAGGAGAGACACGGAACCGGCAAGCTCAGTATCACCATTGCTCAAGTAAACGTCCATCTGAAGGTTCTCTCGATCACGGCATAATTCCGATGGGGTAAAGGTGTCCTTTAATTATAGGCAAAGTTGGTCAAGAATTACGGTATGACCAGGATGGATCCTTACGTGAGGCTACGAGTTGGACACGCGGTCTATGAAACGCATACGGACACGAACGGAGGAAAAAATCCACACTGGAACAAAGTCGTGAAATGGTATCACCTCGGAATCACTGCTGATTGTAATTTTTGGTTCCTCGTTTTATCTACCCACCATTATGTAGCAATTTTTAATACACATTGCGATCGCTACTCATCCATGTCAAGAAAAAAATGTAATCACAGATTAGTTATGCTTATATTTGATTGCATTTTCTTCTAACATGGATAGAATGTAGGTGGAGTGTGTTATAAAAAGTTATATAACGGTAGATGGATAATACGTATGAACCCAATTTTGACATTTAATTTCCTTCAATCTATACCTCGGATTGCAGTCCTCTACCTCCGGGTGTTACGCAGATATACATCGAGATCTATGACGAGTGTTCCTTTACGCTGGATGAGTTAATAGCTTGGGGTCACATAGAGATTCCACCTCAGGTTATTCAACGAGGAGAAACTCATGAAGATTGGTACGTGTTGAGTGGTAAACAAGGAGATAATCAAGAAGGCATGATAAACTTGGTACTCAGTTATTCGGTAGGTAGCCTTAAATCAGTTATTCGGTAGGTAGCCTTAAATCTTTGTTCAAACGGTTTCTGAAGAACATATAATTGTTCAGGCGGACACTCGTCCATATATACCTCCTTCACCTATCATGATGGTTCCTTCGGCGACAATGTTTGGAAGAGTACCGTACGCACCTGTCAACGTTTACGCAGCTCCGCCTGGAGCTGCCGTACCAACTGTAAATCCAAGTTCTCTGCCACATGCCGAAGCTGAATTGAAACTGGTAATTATTGATAACAATAGATAACATCACTTTAAGTAGCTGTATATTTATATTAGCAATCGTACCAGTGATTTCGAATTCACTATGAATTAATTCTTTCAGATTGCAGAAATGTTCCCAAATCTTGACAAAGAAGTTATTAAGTCAGTGTACGATGCCAACGGTGGAAAGAAAGACGCGACCATAAACTCATTGTTGCAGGTATGCGAATGAACGCTTGTCATCGGAACATCTGCATATTCATTGTATAGATCTTTATCTACATACATATACAAATTCCAAATGCCATATTTGTATTTTCTGCTAAAATGTATCCTAATCAGAAATGTAATATATTTGTAAATTATTATGACTTTATACCATATACCGTGCTGCTGCTTCCAATATTCATGAAAACTGTAACGACAAATATGCTTAATTAAAAAATATAACATTTTATTTTAGATAACTGACACTTCTTATTTACATGAATTCCCCCCAAGTGTCTCATACGATTCCTTTCTCTTCTACGACTAGGAATTATAATAAAAATCTATGAAAATAAAAAATTACGTCCCTGTGTAATGTATTATAGCTCAGCTATTTTTTTAAATTTTATATCCTGACTCAATGCATTGGGATGAAATTATGACCACATATAGAAATACGTGTCCTGCCAATATGGCAAGTGGTTCGCAACAGGTTCCGCTATGAGCCTGGCAAATGGCACTGTTTGCGACAACGACTTCAACATTGAATAAATCTTGTCACGACTGCACTTGTCATAAAATGGAGAACGCATAATGTATAATAACAAACTAAGGCGTCGTCGGAATATTTCCGTTTTTTCCTCCTGCGTGAAAGTCCGCGTCTCTTGATTGAATAGTTTCAGACTGGAAAGATGTAGTATTTAACAATGTTAATAAGTTTTTAATCGCGCACTTTTAGTGTATGTATGTCGCAATTCATACTGATCGAAGCCAGTTTTTGCAATCATTTTTCAGTGCCTACGAATAGTTATAGGAAATTCTCACCTCATGAGGTCTAACGTAAGAGACAAGAGCCATGGTTTCCATTGTTTTTCTCCACTAAGCGATAAACACCCAAGATGTAACAATGGCTTGATGATGTAAAGGGTCTGAAAAGTATTTTAATTTGAGGGATCATTCTACTTTGACAGTCGAAACATTAAGCTATTCTTTTTTTTTCATTATGCAGTGCTAATTCCGTAATCAACGTTTTTGAGGATCATAATCAGAAAGAATGGTATTTACAAACCTCTGCTAATATTAAAGAATTTTTCGATGCTGGATAAGATGTCATTTGATTGTAACCATGCGAACATTGTGGCAACGGTTCCCATTTACGAACTTCTGGTGCTTCAGAAGATCTAACGGATCGGACTACCATTCCGGATCTTTTCAGAGAAAAGCCATTTTGTGTCCGATCCGCACAATTCTCACTGACTTTCTCTCGATTAAGTGGCGGAAATGGTGGATTCAGCGTAATCCTCTCTTTACATCGATAAACCAAAATAAGCCTCATAGCAGCTCTAGTCGATTAACAAATCAAGAATACTTAACATTCTTGCAACGAACATTCACAAGTGTTTCCATAAAATGCTGATTTACAAATTATATGATAACAGTGTAAACTTACTTAAATGTCTGAACAAATGAAATGACGAGCCACCTGCCTGATTCACCCAATGCTTTCCTGGCCCACACTTCAAGGAGAGTTTCTACATATTCCACAACGGTTAACCATATCTTTATTTTGGACTGAACTTCGGAAATCTTGCTTCCATATTTATTTATGCTTATGAGGCGATCATTGAAAAATATTAATAGATTCGGCATCGTGTACGTAAGTTCCGATATAAATGAGGAATTGCCAAAACGACCTACAAAATGCCAAGATGCACATTCGGTACACTTAAAATAAATAATTTAACACCATGTATCGAAGACCCGCTTCAATTTGCAGCAGATATTAAAGTAAGTATCTAGGAGCTATACGAGACTGAATTTAATACAGACAATTGGTTAAGAAAAATATTTGTAACATAACGAACCTATGGTGAAATACGACATCCACTTCACCGTGCTCTCTATGTCACGTATCAACTGCGGATTCTCCATAATCCACTTTTTGTACGATTCAAACATTTTAGACATCTTGCAACTAATAGCCTCGGCCACCATGCTCGTTCTATAAAATTATGCAATTATTCAATATATATTCATTTATTATTAATAAAATATACGTTTCTAAATCGAGATAATCGCGAGTAATGCAAGATTACCCAAAAGTTGTATCTCTTGTCACAAATCGTGCACTAAACTCAAATCTAAATTCTGCAAAAATTTATTGTAGGAACAGTGTCGTTGCTTCAATAATAATGTCCTTTGAACAGTGTTTACTAAAACGTAAGCAGCTCATTTCCCATTCCTGAGTTATGCGTACTCTTGCCTCGTTTAAAATAAGGTCAGGAACACGTATTAGTAACTTAGCGTTGCGTCAACTTATGTCAACTTATAATATACCCGCTTCTAATTAACAAATGCGACTAAAGTTGGGGATTACACCGCTATTTGCTTAGATGACAAGTGACGACACGTTGAAGCTTAGCACCTATCGGCGAAATCACGAAGCTCGCTTGTCCAAAATGGCGGCAGGTAGAAAGTTTTTACGAACTCGCAGGAGGAGAACGAGTATGTACATTTACACTGGCAATTAATGAAGTTAGACGGAAATAAAGAACGAGAATGACGTCGATTAAAAAATATGACGCCACGTAGGTTTAAATTTCAAACGCAGCACGTAATATGTCCCTCGCGTTCCTGGCCATTCTTTTAACTGCTCAGAGCATCTTATCATGGTGGATTTTCCGCGACCGGGCCGCGACCCGTCTCGCTGATTGGCCGTCCTTTGTTGGGCCGCCGAGCACGTCTATAAACGAATCCAGCGGTCTTAAATACTTGGACCGTTTGAGAGAGATCGTCAAGGGAAGGAAGAAAGGTCCCTTAGCCTCTTATTTTCCTTATTTTTTAGTACTCGTGTGAAGAAGAAGAAGAAATGAAGGACGGAGGGTGAAGGACAAGGTGATGAATACTCGGTAAGAAAAATGTATTTCTTCGGATTGTTTATAATAATATTAGTGGAACTTTTTGTATTTCTTTTTGGGATGGTTTCGGTCGTGCCCAATCGATGCACTTATTGGAAATACTTGAGGACCTTCTTGGCATATCTTCGCACCTACATATGCATTATTGAAAACTCACAAATCATCCTGCCCTTGCATGCCAGTTGAATATTTATTGATACAAGGCCATAACAAATCGCCAATAAATGGACCAATGTAGATGCCAGAGTCATAGAAAGTAACGAGCCGAGCGGTTGGTATCTACAAGTTGGACCTGTATTTTCCATTACGTATGTCTGTCATAAAGTTCCACGCAGGTCGTGCTTCAATTGTTAAATTACCCAAACGAGAGGTCAGACCTGTGATTTCCGTGTCAACTACATTTTCACTCCGAGACTTTGTATTACCATCGTTTAAGCATACCACTGCATAAGACACTTTTTTGCCTTTATCCCGTTCAGATAGGAATATCTTGATTACCAGAGTGTCCTTAATTGTACAATTGTCCTGACCTTTTCGTCTCTTATATTAAACCCTTCAATAATTGTATATTGATCGAAACATAAGGGCTCGCCTCAGTTTTGGTCCTAATTTGAACTAAGTTAAAATTGTATTGAGAATCCAAATTTAAAAAGTGTCAGGACAATTCCTAGGTGCTTACGAGTCATGTATCAAAGCTTTAGACAGTTCTATTCTTAAAAAGTGTCTTATTCGGTTCGACTGACTCGATGGGGGTTTCGCTTCGCCTTAAGGGTTCAACATCAAAACCCGCAATAACTCTCCGGACGACCCAATAAATTAAATTCCCACTCCAGGCAGCTCGATCCTTTCCCGGGGCCGACACCTGTTCACCTGCTCGCTGTGCAATTGTGCGCAATTCCGGTCGGAAAGATGTGGAAAAACTTGCGCGTGAGGGAAAGAAAAAAGAACATTAAAGCTCGTCAAGACGCCATCTCGAAGCCGCGGCGGGAAGAAAGTCCCGGGAGAAAGGGAAGCGGAGAACGGGTCGGCGTCCAAAATCGATGAGGTTAACCAGGTCCGCGGGCCGGAGCGCGCCTCGGCGGCTCCAACGGAAAGGCGGGCCTCCCGATTGGCCGTTGCCTGGCAACCACGGCCTCTGATTGGCTCGCGGAGCCCCGCCCCCCCGCGCGACCCCCACCCACCGGCGCTACCCTCATCGGTACGCCGCGGCGCGCAAATCACTCGCGGACGTGCCTCCCGCCTAGGATGACCGTGTCGCGCGCCGTTCGCTCGGCTTCCAGGCGGCCCTCGGCTTTCTGAGTGTCGGTACCCCGCGCCAGGGGGCGGCTTACCCGTCGACGAGCCACGACTCGCCGTCGACCCGGGCGCGCGCATTCACCGAGCCGGACGCCCGCGGAAAGGATCGACCGAGGAGAAGTCGCGACTTGGGGGGCAACCTTCCCCACTACAGGGGTGAGATTTTACTGCGATATATTGCCGCGGTAATATAACCGGGAATATAACCGGCGATTAAATTCTCAGGGATTAAGGCGACGTGAAATTTCATTATTCTATATAAATCGCAATATTTAAAGAACTTTCCGCCAAAGTAGAGGCACCGAATCGATGGGAACTTCGGCATGCGATTATGGAGGTCTTATGGAAGAACACGGTACTCGTGTAATGTAATTTTTTATGAACAATTTTTTTTTTATCTAGCCCTGGCTATGACCAAGAATACGTATTGGTTTTTTGATAAATGAAATTTCACGGGCATCGCGTTCTTCCTTGGAGCCTTCCTAATCATATACCGATGATTCCAATTAAGGAGAAAATTCGATTTCGATGGTTATTATTAAGTTGTAAAAGTTGTAAAGGATTTTATTGAACTTTCAGTTAATTGGAAAAACACGTTTGACGGTTTTTTTGAATTTCCCGGCGGTCCAGGGGAAAGCGGGTCGCTGATTGGCTGGCGAGGGACCGGGCTCGGACAGGTCGGGCAGAGCGAACGGGCGCCAGGGGAAAGCGGCCGCTCTGATTGGCCCGTGCATGGACCATGGGTCACGTGATACGTAGAGGCTTGACCGCCAGTCTGGCCGTCGCGGCGTTCTTCTCCTTATCCCGGTCGGCCATGGCGGTCGACTTGAATCGACTCTACGAGAGCTTCTACGCGAAGAAAGCCGGTAGGTGTTAAATATGTCTCGAAACATTCCTTAACGAGAAACTCCCAACGTCGAGTGCTGAGATATCTACGTACCTTAACCTCGCAATAGACCTTCCACTCTCTGAGCTTTTATTATTAATAATAAATTAGAGCGTCGTTTAGACGCCAACGTCTCCTCCTTGTCGGATGCACTAGGAGGAAAAGAAATACGTAGGTGTCTCTCTCGAGAAATGTTACCTCCTGATCCAATTATTCAATCGGTTTCTTTTTTACTCGGCTCAATTGAACGGGGCAACCCCTCTCTTTATTCGTTCCATGTACACGAAGGCGGCGTCTGCCATCCGTACGAGCCTTTCAAGTGTCCTGGAGACGGGATCTGCATCTCGATCCAGTATCTGTGCGACGGGGCGCCGGATTGCCAGGATGGCTACGACGAGGACTCCCGACTCTGCACGGCAGGTGAGGATGGGAAATACTCTCGCCGACGATTGCCATCCTTACCTTGACTCCGGTTTCCTCGTCAGCGGGCCTCTAGAGTTCCGGCGAAGTATTATTAATGCGCTAACTTTAAAGCCTTCCCCGAGGGCGAGCGGAAGTTAACCGAGAGGAGGCGAAAGTTCCTCGGAGGAAAATCCTTACAGGAGGATGATTTACGATTGTACGTTTAATTACTTCCCCGAGCCGTATACCTCGGGATGGTGGATCCTGGGAACAATGGACTCGGAGGAACTTTATGCCCTTCCTTCTTATCTCTCCCGTGTTCCAATTTAACCTGCGTACTTGGCGCGGGACTCTGCCGAGCTCCCGGCAGAGGTGGCGTCGATTCGCTATCGATTTCTCACGGGAGAGGTAGGACCTTTATTGCGCGAATTACTTCGCCATGAATAATAGATATGAGAGAGTGGCACCGCGCGTAGAGTAGTACGACATATCTATCCCTTTTCCGGAGATTGTCTCGTGAAAGATTCAACCCCGAAGGCCGTCCCGGGGATCGGCGGGTCTTGCAATAGTAATCGCAAGTCCCGGTCTCGTTACCCATGCCAATTTCTTCGAGCTTGCTCCAATTTCCCCGAGTTTCCTCCACTTTGTCCCTCTGGATGTGAGAGTGGCATCCGAAAGCTCAATTGTTCATAAAACTTTTCTACATCGATGACCTTGTCGGCATTTTCCTCTTGACGAGCATTTTCTTGGTGTAATTCCAGCCAAGAGGCCGCCCGTCGAGGAGACCGCCAGCTTCCTCCAATCTCTGCTCTCCAGCCATGGACCCAATTACCTGGAGAAGCTCTTCGGGGGCAAGGCGAGGGACGCCCTCACCCCTCTGGGGGGCGTCGAAAAGGTGGCCATCGCTCTCTCAGGTAAGAGGAGTCGCCCCAGAGGGTAGTATCAGATTTCCCGAATATACTGGAATAATGGTACAGGATGTAACTAGAGCGAGTGAGGACGAGGAGGAGAAGTGAGTACTTCGCAGGTGCGAAAATCATTAAATTGTCCACGTTTTATGAATATCAGCTGATATCGTGCACGTGTTATGAAAAAACGACTGAAATCGCCCACGTGTTATGAAAAGCAGCTGAAATCGAGCACGCGTTATGAAAATTGATCTCGGATATATCAGGGGAGGCATTTCGTATTTCCTTATCAGGATTTTCCCATTTCGGTATTTCGTATTTCCTGATCAAGATTTTCCCGTTTAGGCATTCCGTATTTCCGAATTAAGATTTTTACATTTCGGTATTTCATATTTCCGGATGAGGATTTTCCCATTTCGGCATTTCATATTTCCGGATGAGGATTTTTTCCATCTCGGCATTTCATATTTCCGGATCCGGCAGTCGGACTCGGGCAAATCCAGAGAGGTTATTCACGCCATGATGCCCTAGGGTCCGCTAAGCGGGGAAACTTGTTAATTAATTTGGGGAGCTAACGAGGATAACGCGGATAATTCACGGGGGTGGGATAATTGATGAGGGAGTCGAAACCTCTCGAGGGCGAAAAGGGGGAGCTCTCGGTTCCGCGAACTCTCCGGCCTAATTGCGGGCGAACACTTCGCCGGATTTCCCTAGGACACGCGCGGATTCCCTAGGGTCCTGGGGGAACCCAGAAGGGAGGGGCTCGACCCCGGGGAAACGCCCTGGCCGGAAACAATGGACGCGGCGAGACCGGGAAATCTAATAAGAGAAGGACCAAATCGAAAGGTACACTTTAAATCCATATTTTCTATACGCCTCGAGGAAATACGTAATTCTAGGGTAAAAAACACCGCCGACGCGTTTCCACTAGGAGAACCGTGTCAAGGCCTCCGAGTCCGACCTCTGATCCGCCGACTTTTCTCCTGGCTTGATTAATATCCTCGTTAATTACCCGAACGTCTCGACGCCCCTTTGAGGTCTTTCCCTGAAATTAAGCGGAATATTTAACCCGCTGGGGGCTCTCTCGCCATTTTAATTAACGAACCCCTCTCTCTCTCTCGATTCTTAGGGAGCATGATCTTTTTTCTTTCTCTCTTTTTTGAGAAAAGTCACGGCTACGTCGTTTCCTTTCCGGCGGGGAAACGTTTATCCAATTAATTTAGCTGCCTCCTGGATGAACTCCTTCGCAGATTTTTCATTTAAAATGCACTTGGGACATTTTGAAGGACCTGGGAGCCAGGGTTAAGGTGGCGTGGAAATAAAGGAGACCTCTCTGCGACTTTCACATCCCTTTGATAATTGTATATCGGTCGAAATATGAGAACTCGACGCCTTTTTCGTTCTGGTCTGGGTTGAGTTAAAGAATTTTGTTGAGAAATCCAAATTTTCAATGTGTCGGGACATTTCTTAGATGGTCAGGAGTCATGTGCCAAAGTTTCGGACAGTTTGGTCTAATGCCCTTTAAAAAAAATGGTGTATTCGAATCGATTGATTTGGTAGGAGGTTTCACTTCACCTTAAGGAGATGGTAAGGGGGGAATGGTGAAATCGAAGTTCAAGGATCTTTGTCTCGGTCCCAGAGTCTCAGACGATCGAGGACTTCGGCGCGGCCCTCCACCTGATGCGCTCCGACCTGGAGCACCTCCGGTCGGTCTTCATGGCCGTGGAAAACGGGGACCTGGGGATGCTCAAGTCCCTCGGGATCAAGGACTCGGAGCTGGGTGACGTCAAGTTCTTCCTGGAGAAGCTCGTCAAGACGGGATTCCTCGACTGAGGTGGACCTACGGAGAGGACAATCGACTCCGGTCCCGGTTATTCCGATCGACCTTCTTCAGGATCTTGACCTACCGTCATATCAGCGTATATTACCTCCTCTCTTCGGTGTAAGATACTTGACATTCGGTAAAAAGCTCTACGGTGTAACTCTTAACCTCTGACACTTATCACACGTGGTATAAGGGTTAAGGCGGGCCTCGCGCTGGCGATTTATCGGCGACAATAGATTAATTATTATTATTAATATACACGGAGGTCTCGTTATCAATGCCCTTCACCTAACTGGGCGTACCTAATCGTTTCAAGACTTATGGAAGATTAATGCACCTGGGTCACCGGGAGTCCCTGCTGCGCTCGTGATTAAATTATTAAACCGCTTTATTATAAAAAAATATATATAGCTATAGAGGACTGCGGATGAAATGATAATGGTAAATGTCGCCGGCGTGGAAACCGCCTTAACGTTTCTTACTCTTCTGTCGGTCTTGCCAACACGCTACCCGGTAACCCGGCACTTGCTCGAGTTGGAAGTAATTTCGCTGTTGTGTGCACTTACCACTGATCTCTACATACTTCTGGTACCGTACCAAGATTTATTATTATTTTTTAAAATTTTATTTTACCCCGATAGTTTTATCAATCCACGGGTTTAGTACGCGTACTCACTCTGGGTACGTTTGAGGTACTTCCATGGTTCAACATGTCTCGGTATCGAGTACAATTAGATACATGCTCAAGCCTTTAAAAAATCCTTAAAGAAGTCCTTTGTATCTGTAAAGTAGAACCGCGATAAAATTTCAGATTGTTGTACGGTAATTTTAGTATTTAGAGATCGGAGGCATTTACGGGGAAGAGCGACCTCTCGGGGCGAAATCGCACCTAGCGGCGAATTTTCGAACTAAACGGAAACGACGCGGATAGGAGGGAATAAAAAATAGAGGGAGAGTATAAGAAAGAGGTTTAACGCGTATGACAATTATGTATTTCCATGTCAATTGAGATGCCCAAGTCGGTCGTAACTGCAATTAAATGTGATTGAACGAGCCGGCCGTCCACGGTTCTCGAAACTCGATACATATCAGATTATTCTCGCCTTATGGCAAAGGCTATCTTTTAGCTTTAATGCTGAAGAAAGGAAGGAAAAGGAAAAAACCCCCCCCAAAAAAAAAAGTATAACGACACGCGAAGTATGTATACACCTTTTCTCTCTCGCACGAAAGTAATTTAACGTTTATGTACCGTAACACAGAAAAGTCGTTTGGTAAATGTGTATATCCTTTTTTGCTGCATTGTCGTGTGTCTCTGGCTTGCGGGCCGAGTAAGCTAAATAAAATGTCTCTGCTGGTCGTTTTTTAGACGAATGAGTTCCTTCTCTCAGGCGTATTTGTCGACGTCCTAAGTGTTGTGAAATAAAAATGCGTCAGTCGGATTTTACACTCTGCCCGGTTTATTGTATTTATTTGGTCATGGCGCAGGAGATGAAGGTACGTCTTCGATTTCAGGGAACTCGGACCGAGGTTCCTGGACGTCTTCTTCGTCGAGGTAGCCCTCGCCGTAGTACTCCTGGGGGTATTTAAGATAATCCTCCTCGAGCCACATGCTGCTCTCGCATTTTCCCTCCAGGGTCTGCAGGGAATCCTGACGAGATATGTAATTCATAATTTGGTAATTTGGATAATTTTTAATAAGCTGTGTTCGACAGATACCTCTTCCTGTAAAGGCGCAGGATCTGCAGGCACCTTGTCAGGATTGTAAGGAGTAATGGTTCTGGCACGCCATAGAGGAAGTACTCCTTTTTTCAAGGGAATAATCCCTGACACATCCTGCCTCTCCTCCTCGGCAGTTCCTTTATCCTGGGTATCCTAATTAAAAAGCAAGTCATGTAAGTAATCCTAGTTTTACACGTAAGGATATGGATTTCTCGGCCAAGTGGCTACGAGGAGTTAAATGGCTCCTCCACTCCATATGACATGGTTAAAGAGCTAGAAACCGCATTAGAGGGCTTATTAATATATTTTAATTGTTAAGACACTTACGAGAGGGACACTGGAATCCTTTTCTCCTCCTTGGAAGTCAGGATCTGGGACGTGAACGACGTGGCCGAGCTGCATGCACTTGTTCTCGAAAGTGTAGCAGCCTGTTCCGAATGGCTGAATTTTTTTTTTTTTTTTTAATTCATTAAGGGTCAATTTAAAAAATCAACCTGACCCTTCGGATTCGTACCTTGGTTGCGAAGGTTTTATATTTATTTTTTATATCTGTTTTATATTTAATACGTACAACATTCCCCTCCCAGGATCCGTGGAAACGGTGGCGAGGGTGGATTATTTGTCCTGATCCTTCCATGCGATCGTTTACCCACGTCCCCATAAATTTAGCTCCTGTCGATGGGAAAATGTACGTCCCTAGTCCATGGCGACGATTTCTCTTCCAGGAGCCCTCGTAGGTGTCTTTATTCATGTAACAATACAGACCGAATCCATGTTTCATGTCGTGCCTCCACTCCCCTGTATTAAAAAAAATTTTTTTCCCTGAAAAATGTATTTGGCTCGAAACTCTACCGGATTCCTTGATATAGGTAAAATACTTGAGGAACGAGTTTTTCTATGTTATATGAAAGGAAGGGGAGAAGTGGAATTATTTGTACCGTCGTAGTAGGTACCGTCAGGGTACCAAAAGGTACCTCGGCCATCTTTCAGACCGTTTTTCCATTCTCCCTCGTATCGGGCCCCGTTCTTGAAGACGTAAAGTCCTTTCCCATAGCGAAGTCCTTTGCAATACGAGCCGACGTATTTATCCCCGTTTGGCAAAATAACCTGCCCCTTTCCGTGTCTCTCGCCATGCAAATTCCTTTGGCCTTTGTATGTCTGCAAATTGCATTGCAGCTAGTTTATGCCCTTGAGAGGAGATATCCACCCCTTTTATTGATTCGCTCTTAAAGCAACGATTATTCGTAATTACGGATATTCGTAAAAACGGATATATTCGTAATTAATAATGCTTTCAATTATTGCGGTCGAACATCATTTATTGAGCAATTAAAATTCTTATGGTACGTGGAAGGCCTCGGGATAAATAATGTCGATAAAGTCCAACATGAAGACAGACAGAAATTTATTAGCGTAATTAATAACCGTTTCAATTATTATAAAGGATTATTAATTGAATTATAATCGTTATTTAACTAACCCCTAAAGTGTCCCCTTTATCGTCCTCGCCGTCTTCCGGTCGGATGAATTCAGGATCCGTTGGCATTGTTTATTAAGAAATGGATTCGATTAATGTTCGGGATATTAACAAAAATTAAGAGTTTAAGGAAGGTCGAACAACATTTATTAAGGAATTAAAATTCTTATGGCACGCGGAAGGCCTCGTGATAAATAATATCGATGAAGTCCAACCTGAAGGTAGAGACAAAAATCCAGAAATTATAAAAATTAAATCGATCGACAAGATAGACACTACATTTTTTATTAGTGCTTGTTTCTGAATTAGTACAGGTAGATTATTTAACGTTATAGACATTTAATATCTATCATACAAAATGCAACGTCATATGTAGAAAATGTTAGAAAAATGACAGCGTAAGGTTGTAGATTTCATATTATCAGGAAAATTATATTCTATAATTATACTAATATGTAATATATAACGTATATAATTTTCGCACGGGGGTAACGGTGCACTGCAAAGGCAATTTGTCTATGTGATTTATTATGTTATAAATAATTTATGTACTTCTATATCAACACTCCCGGGTTTTCTAATTCTACTGAATAATGGACGAAGGTGACTACAATTGCGCACAAAAGTTACATAAACGTTCGAACTATGAAATGAATCTTTATGAAGTATATGAAGTTTATGGCAGTATTGTGATATTTTTTTTATTTATTTATTTATTTATTTAACCATTCAGTCGATAACTGTTGCTCTGCTTGGACTCGGGGGTTGATCTTCGTCTTCTTCTTGTAATCTCTTCATCCTCTGTAGTTGTACGTAGCGGGATCTAAAGGAAAATTAATAATTACATAATGTTGCTTTAGTGTTCATTTCATTATAATGAATTATGTTCTGTTAAAATCGATTGTTCTCTCCCTTGCTTTAACAATGTTGCAAAATGGACACGGTACCTTGCCATTTCTTCTTCATGCTCGCGTTCCTTTCTGCGTGATTTTAGCGCTTGCGCTGCTACGCAAACAATTATTAACAACAATGGGACCAAACATGCCATAATTATTCCCGCAGTTATGCCAGCTTGACGAGAACTATACTCCTGTTGGCCTGTAATTTACATAACGAGGCGTTGTCATTCATTTCGCTAATTAGTTGATTTTATCGCAATTATTTTCATTATTTTTCCCATAATGTATATGTATAAAATCGATTTTGCCTTATATATCTCTTTGATATAATTATAAATATATTTATATCGCGGCCAGTTGAATAATCCACTCCAAGGTCTTAAACAAATTTAAGTGAAAATTAAATCCGTAGCGTGATGTCTGAAATGTTCAACTAAATTTATATTGTGGCATCTGCTACGGTATTACAAGTTGCAAAATGATTGATTTGCAAATGTATCGGCGGATTTGAGGAATTGGAAATTTCACAGAAAAACTCAATTGGAAATTTCCATTCCACTACGACGATCTACCTTAAAAGTCTCAAACTAATTACGACATAATGCAATGCTGTGGAATAGAAATTTCCTATCGTTGTTACGTATGGAAAAGCTTTATTAATTCTCCGGATAGCGTAAAGTGAAAGATACAATTGTTGTACAAATAAATACCATACATCCTGGATATAAGAATCGCCTGATTATTGCTATATCGAATCATTATAACAAAGCGCATTTCTATTCCACAACTACGGTATGCATTAACAATGATCCAAGGCACTGTGTCGTTCAGTAAAAAATATTAACTACCCTACGAATATGTATGCAAAGTACGCGGGTGAACCTCGAATAAATAGGACGTAACATTTCCTCTGAATTACGATGATTAATTAGAGCTCAATTGAGTGAAATAATTTGGCTCGAAACTCTACCGAGCTTTTTGATATTAAATATGTCATTGAGATTTTCAATAAATATTTCGGATATCTTCGAATGAAGTCTACAAGAAATCTTTAAAAAAATCTGTCGCTTGAGATATTCAGCGCAGATTACAAAGAAATATTTAGAAATTATTCAGTGCTACTAGGGGAGTTTCTCGCGCAAATGCATTTGGCTCGAAACTCTACCGAGTCTCTTGACATTTCTTTGGTACCGATCGAAGGAACGATATCATCTCTGGTTCGATGAAACTTCATCTAGGGGTACAAAGTACACTTATCCCATCAGTGGAATATTCTAAATTTATGTAGAGCCTTAAACGTCACTTTCTCTACTCGGGCTAGCAGGTTTTTTATCAGAGCCCGTGGTAGAGTCAGAGCCGGTCGGAGAATTGGGCTCTTTCAAGTCAAAGTCTTTCTCCTCGAAATCTATGAAAGGCTTGTTCGGAAGAGGCTCGTGGGTCCGATAAACCCCGTCGTAACTTCTCCGTTTTCTAGCTGGACTTATCCCACCAGGGCCGGTTTCGCCCCTTGGGGAAGTGGGTCTTACGAATGACTTCAACGACGTGCTATGCCGCGATACCGGCGAGTCGTTATCGTTATCACTCCTCTCGGAGAACCGCCAGGACTTTACCGAGCTCTCCTGCACCTGGGACTTTCTTATGCACACGAATGCACCTGCGATGCACGCTATCACGGGAATTAATACCGCACTAATTATGCCCATTGTCGTCCAAGCCGTTCGCTGGGCATACTCGATCTGACCTACGTTCATACAAAGTTTAAATGTTTGAGACTTTTAGGTGAGACATCTTATTTCGCCAATTTTCCCATCGATTTAAGGTGATTTAAAAGGACCACTCTACGTACATATCGATACGTGAAAATCTATTACGTATAGAAGTACTTATCTTGTACCAATTTCTTACGCCTTTCATGTCACCTTAAGACGATTAATTGTTGATTTTTCAACCTTTCCGGTGATTTTCCCTTCGTATCTTGGGTATCTACGTGGGATACCCCTTCGTTTAATTCCACTTTTGGTAAATCATTTTGTTGTTTTCTTTGTTGATAATGGTATTCATGCAAGTACTCACGTAGGCATTCCGTGTAGCCGTACTCGGGAGCATTCCATCGTCCTTCTGGTGTGCAAACTCTTCGTTGATCACCAACCAGCACGAAGTCCTGATTGCATTCGAATGTCACTCTAGTCCCGGGAATAAATAAAAAATTGCTCTTCCTGCCAAATCTTGGCGTCTCCAAAATTCCACAGGAAATGGCTGCACGGGAAAATAAATTAAAATTCAAGATAAATGACAATGGTCGAGTGAAATAAAATCCGAGCCACTTACTTCTTCTGTTATTAATTGCCCTTATTTGAGTATAAGTGTCGTAGTAATTCTTCGTAAAATGAGCTAAGTCCCGATTAAGTGTCATTGCATAATCGTACTGACATTGGTACGAATCTCCGCAAAGGTCGTGAGCTCGAATTATGTCGTCAGTCCTGAAAAAAAAGGATATTTATTCATTAGAAGGAATTTTGGATCTTATTTGAAGTCGCCGTAAAAAAAAAGAAACGAAGGGTGGTAGTGATTTCAATTTTATATTCCTTTACCCTTAGTTTTCGTAATTAAACAAATATGAACCGTCTTAATATGCGTTTTACTTTCTTCCGAGATATTTGCAAGTTTAAAAAAATTTTTTTTTAAGGCGGTTCATATTTTTTTCATTTACCTGTTGAGTGTCAAAAATTCTTCCGGTAGCTTCCGCCATTCCGGCACGAATGTGCGATTTGCATAATAACTAGCCGTTCTACCAAATTCTCTTGTGAACAACGCAGCTCCCTTGTATTTGTCTTCTCTGTCTTCTAAAAGCCAATTAATAGCGAATTCTCGGTGGACGGTCTCGAAATTATTAATATTACTTATCGCGGAGACTATTCCGTCGGGATTTGTGAAATCATCCGTAATATCGTAACTCCAGTTTCCCATTAAACCTCTTGTTTTGTTCTGCAATTGTAAAATGCATATTTCGCGATAAAAAAGGAGCAATTTCTGGTCGGACCGGAAATAAGGAACAATTGAAAAAAATTTAATTTCTAATATTACCATGTATATCCATGGTAGATAAACTCTGGCGGTCATGAAGCCTTGATTTTCAACGATTTCAATCCCAGCACCTGTATCGAACATAATTATCACTTCGCTCTGATTTAAAATATAAGTCGGGGTGTACACTACAACTCCAGCGAAGTGTTGAAACTTCAGAGATTGCCTATCAAAGTAGACACGTCTTCCGTCAGCAAATACATCAAGGCGATACCTCCACTGTGCATGTTGAGGACGAAGTCTTACTTCTATCGTAGCTGAATTGTTGCCCCTAGCTGTTTGAAAAAAAAAAAAAAATTACCATTATACATGGATTTATTCCAAGGTGTGTTTCATAAACGAGACCTCTGCCTCCACTTTCGCATCAACTTGAATGGATATTTAGGTAGACATGATATAAACATGTGGAATAATTGTTGTACTTGGTATGTACCTGCCACTGAGGTCAGCTGAGTAGCGCGAACTTCTCCATAAAAATTGTTCGACATTTGCTCGAATCTTCCTTGGACGTCCAACTTGTCTTTTATGGTGTCCACCTTGACCAATACGAACTCTCCCTTCCCGTTGAAAGTATATTCCAAGCCGTCGAATGTTACAACGTGTGGGTCCCCGAAAACGGAAGCAATGGCTGGCGACTGATAAGCCACGCAATCTTGGGATGGTCTTCTCTCGAACCTGAAAGTTTCGCACCCTACGGCTTGTTCCTCTTGCCAAAGGCAGCAGAGGTACATCGGTACCATGTCGTGGAACCAATTCGAAAGACTGGGGACCTTGTTCGCTTCGTTCCATGGAAGAAATCCCAAATTGTGCGAGCGATGTGGACGGGAGCCCCACTGTTGGTCGTAGGTCAGCATCAGGAAGCCATTTTTATCGTAACAGCACTGCTGCTCCGACCCATCCAAACTGCAATCATTAATTACTATTTTAAATGTAATCTACATAAAGTATTGTAAGAATCATAAGATCGGCGGTATTTAATGGTACATCTATGTGAGCCTAATTATCCTAGTTTAATTTTTCTACCGTCTCCAGGAAGCGATGTAATGCTAATTCAATTTGATTACATACTTTGGAGCAATTGCAAACATTAGTTACTATTTTAAATATAATCTACATAGAGCATTCTAAGGGATTATATCGTCGGTGTTTCATGGTACACTGGGAGACATCAATGCCTTCCCATCCTGCACAGGCGATGCCGTATCTGCAGGGGAGACATTCACGTCCGCCATTGTACACTGGGAGACATCAATGCCTTCCCATCCTGCACAGGCGATGCCGTATCTGCAGGGGAGGCATTGTACATCTTTCGGAGCCTAATTATCCTAGTTTAATTTTTCTACCCTCTACAGGAAGCGATGTAATGCTAATTCAATTTGGTTACGTACTTTGGTGCTCCAGTTTTGACACAATGGATGGCTCCTCGGTTGTAATAGCAATCGGGATTGGAATCTTTATCGCAATCATAGTCGGGAAGATACCGGCCTTTATCGTATAAGGCGTGCTCGAGGGTGCATGGACAAAGTGACACTTCGGCTGCGAAATTCTTCAAATATCTGTCATCCTTGATCCACTTGTCACAGAGTCGTTGAGGCCACCGATATCCATGCTTTTGTTCCCATTGTGGTCCGAAGTACCATCCAAGGGGTATAGGCTTGCTCCACAGAACACTGAAAATAATTACAATTGTCGGGAATATTTATGATCTCACGCGGAAAAATATTCGGCTGAATCGATTGAATTTTTTTTCGTTACTTAAGGCGATGCGAAAGTGACGTCGAAGAGCTTTTGTTTATTAAACTTTTCTCCCAATTCGGTTTACCGAATAGTTTGAAAAATTCGTATAAAAGTTTTATGAACAATTGAGCTTTCCATTGTATCGTATCCATGGCACACTTACGGTGTAATCTCCAATCCGGAATACTGCGTGGGATTAGTTAAATTAATTTGAATAAATCCAAAGTACATGTCCTGATGCCGAGGATTTTCTCTGTTTCTGTACATGGGAGGTGCAATGGTGTATGCTCCGGTATTTGTTGCACCTTCCTAAAACAGTTATCACTTAAGTGCACTGTTCTTGTTTAAAAAAAAAAATGTTTCTCGACGGTAATAAATTAATTCATTGTAATTAATATGCACCTCCAATATATCAATGTACTCCAGTTCGGGTCTAATGGTCGTCTCGCGATATCCCCATAATGAAATTTGCACCGCGGCATTTAAATTGCTTGTCAAATTGTACTTGTTCCATGTTATGTGGATTTCTGTGGGTTCTCTTTCGTGTACGGCTCTAGTTGAAAAGAATATTTTCTCTGTAGCCGTCGCTGGTGTTTCTGGGTCGAGATATAAATTAATTAGCATGTATGTCTTTATGGAAATTAATGGGGAAAAAAATGAAATCTTACCTATGAAATATTTCCCCTTCCAGTCGTACCTTCCACTACCGATTGCGACTGCAAATCTGATGTATCCTTCGGCTTGTACAAAGGGTTGAATGCAAATAGCTCGATTGGTATCGATAACTGTTCCCACGACTTCTTCGGTATCGAATCGGCACCTTACTTTATCATTTTTATCGAAACATGGACCGGTAATATTAACCACGGTGCCTCCAAGCATGTTCCCACTTTCTGGGGCGAAAACCAACGGCAGATGAGCTCCAGCTGTTGCATAGAAAAATATGAAATTATAAATACAAAGAATTAATTGCAACCTTTCTTCGGTTAGATGGAAGTACTTTTCTTAGGGTGGAAGTTCCAGAAAAATGTTAGAAAATTCCAAGGAATTTTTATTAAACCGTACCTTCGGTCGGGCGAACTTACCGATGTCTTTGTTACATGTACCGAGCATAATTTTCTCGTCGATCCTGAAAATGTGCCGTCCAGGAAATCCATTTGCCCATCCTCTTCCCGTCAGATCCCTCAACGTGGACATCTGAGAATACGGCTTGTACTCGTAACTTTGAGTTCCATTCCCGGCATTGAACCCTATCTGTAAAACGTTGCAATATTTATTGTTATAACACCCCGATAAAAATTTCTCCGAGAAAGAATTTAAGAGAGAAAAATTTCTTGACTTCAAGGGGGAAGTACGTAGGTCCTTCTCAAGTAATTTCAGGGTAAACTTTGAGTTTTTTAAATGGAAGCCCTATTTCTCATTGCAACATTCTATTGTATGGAAAAAGGGGAGTAACTTTTGTTGGAAACATTTCTCTCGGCGGCTGCGAATTTTCATGATAATAAATTAAATTATCGTACGTAGGCCGGTACTCCACCCTCTCCTTTGGTGGTGTCTCCTCCAGCTTCCGTGTGGCTGGTCCATTGGATGTCCAGGTAATTGAAAATCGCGTAAGTGTACACCTCGTCGGTCGCCAGGACCATTTGGAAGGTGTTAGTCGTGTACAAGGAATTGTCGATACCTCCGGCAAAGGACATGTTCTTCCAAGTTATTATCACCGCGTGTTTCGGCAGGAAGGAGTCTGATCCTACCACACCTTCTCGGATGTCCCACTTAACTCGTTCTCGCATTTCTACGCCAAACTTATCCGTCCTTGTTTGCAGATCTCTCTCCAATCTAAAAGTTAATAACTCCGTAACGAGAAAAAAACACTTCTTGACATTATTTCTAGGACGCTCAAAATGAGACAGGATATATTTGATAACAAAATCTCGACAATTATTCAATAGATTATAAAATGAATTACAAGGAAGGCATCCCAGGTCGATCTCTCCGATTTCATTTCTTTCCTAACATGTTATAGTGGACTAAAAACTAAGCAACACGTATTTTTTATTTTTTTTTCTGCCATTAACCCTTTGAGCGCTAAGCCCTTACGGGCGAATTTCGTCGGCGCGTGCAAGGGAAATTGAACCAAACGTCGGACGCACTAATGGGTCCGTAGCGCGCAAAGGGTTAAACACTTTAAGGTGATGTGAAAGTGGCATCAAAGAGGTTTTGTTTATAAAATTTTTCTCTCACCTCGTGGGACGTTTCTCATGAGGAGAAATGAAAAATGTTATAAAAGAAACATGTTATAAAAGAAATGAAATCGGAGAGATCGACCTGGGGTAACTTCCCTTAGATGATTCCCGTGTACCTGAAGTACACCCCAGGGCTTCTTTGGTCTAGGTCTGTGGGTCTCAGCTTTCCTATCCGGCATTTGCTGAAGAAGATGCCGATGAAGCTGGGGTCGTTCTTCCTGGGCCAATCCTTAATGGGAAATACGAGGGGGTAGGTGTAATGCTCGGGTGGATCGCTGAACTCCAAAAAGCCATTCATGGACAACTAGAGGGAGATTAGAATTATTAAAATTAATTCACCGTGTTTTTTTACGGCTGTATCACAAATGGTACTTGTATATGTAACAAACCCTGGTGTAATTGTAGCGAAATCCATAGAAGGGTAGTTGAAAGTTGAAGTTCTTGTGAATCTGCGGGGTGGAGGAGTGAATGTCGGTCTGATAATCGCCCATGTCGTTATCACCGCCTTTGTCGAAATACCAGTACATAAATTTCGATCGAATTTCCCGTAATCTGGTCTCGGTAATTGTGTAATTGCCGACCGAATCTTCAGGTCGAGGGGCGTACCGATCGGCGTCAGGTGCATCCGAATCTGAGGGAATTCTTAATTAACAATCAAGTGCGATATGAAATTAAATCATATCCTAGAAAGAAAGGAAATTTTTCCGCAGGATATATCTAATCATTTTAACTTGCCATATATTGGATCGCATGGTTCCTTATTAATTTTCATATTAATTATGACTATGAACAAACTTAATATTATTTCCTACGTTTCATAAGACATTAGGGTAGCACAGTAAAATATAAACAAACGGGGAAAATAATCAGAATGAATTTTCAGAGTATCTTATCAGTCACCCTGGAATGCTTTAAAATAAATATACCTATTATTAAGACTGTAGGAAATATCAGAATCATCCTTTCGAGGAGACTAGAGATCCTTCGTGTAATTTCATATTTTCTGATACACCTTATCATGAAAAAAGTGTGTAAAAGAAATCGAATCGTCTCCAAAAAGATGAAAGAGACACCTCACCGTACAACTTCCACGAATCCAATTCTTACGAAAGGTGTAGCGTACAATCACTGAAATCAGTGATTCATCGTCGATTCATGTCAACGTATAAGCATGATAAAGACTGATAAGCGTTGATCAACGTTAACGTGACGAATGGAGCAATATACGTATCCCAGTTAGTCCTTTCTTGAGACTCATTCAGCGAATAGAAGCATTAAATTAAAGTAAATTGAAATTTCATGGGCGTCAGGACCTTCCTCAATCCCTCCATACATATATTCTAAAGTTTGCATCAATTCGATACATCCAGATTTTTTTTTTCTTTTTTTTTTCTCCAAAAATTTCATTAACGAGTCCGACCTCACTTTCGCACCGCCTTAAGAGAACAAACCCACGGTCACGCCCATTGATAAGAGATTACTCACCATAAGCGACATATTTACCGCTTCTATCGAGGTTTATCCTCCTGGAGATGCCAAGAGGTCCTGGGGACTCCGGCGCCTCCAGAGGATGCTCCTCAGGATGATCTGGTGGAGTAGCCTCGAGAGGGATTTCCCCATTTTGGTCGGGTCTTTTATCCTGGTTCGAGGGTTCCTCGGGATGCCCCGTCTCGTCCAGGTCCTCCAGGCCCTCCTCGGGGACCCCCACGTGTCCAGCACCCTGGTCCTGGGAGTCCCCGAGGGCTGGCTCGGTTTCTGGGGATTCCCTCAGGCCGAAAACGCTCTCGAAGCTCTCGTTCTCGGTCTGGCAGTAAACGCTGGTTAGGTAACCGGAGATTAGCAAAACTTGGAAGATCCCGACCGATCGGTGCCGCATTTTGGGCCGCATTTCGCACCGCGAGGTAGGCCAATTAACCTGCTACTCTTCCAACCGACTGAGAGACTAGGATATAGAGCCGACCGAACGATGATAACGATACTGATATCATTGGCTTCTCTACGATAACACTTATCTCCTGTACCTGTACCGCGTGTACACCTGAGAGAGCGAAGGGGAGGGCCCTTCTGGCCTACTTATCGGAAGGGCATTGTTGGACGCTTTTTTCGTTACACACCCTAGGAGTATATAATAATTTACAAATTTAATAACTAATACATCTAGAGGGAGGGATTTCTTAAGATGTCTCATGGGTCTCATTCGAAGATATCTGAAAGATTTCTTGAAAATCTCAACGACGTGTACCTAGTCCTATCTATAAAGATACCTCGAAATTATGTTTTTTAATTTCTGAACGTATAATAAAAATATAATTTTTGTTTATTTCACGATTATCGGACACTTCTGGATTCTCGAATGATTCGAACGGTCTGCGGACTGTTTGAAAATGTACCAAAACATTCGATTTATTGTTACATGTATACTTTACAGGGCAACGTATGCGACGTACGCAGAACAGAATAATTGTGTGGTTTTGTCTCTTTCGACCATCTAAGCGGAAATAAAAAATGCGGCACCTCGAGTTTCGGAATACAAGATTTCCGGGTGGCCGTTGTTTAAAAGAAAGCGTTTTTGCGCTGGCTTAACATTCACACACTCTCTTTCGCTCTTTCTCTCCCTCTCGTTTATCCCCCATTGCGCCCGTTTCCTTCTCCGTGTCGGCGAGTGAAACGTAAAAGTGTAACCGTAAAAAACGCCCCGACAGACCGAAGGGAGGTTCTCGCTTATTGGGAAACATTACGAGGTAATTACACGGTGCAATGGATGGGTTAATTAATCCTGGAAGCGATCCTAGCTTTTGATACAGCCGCGTTGACACACAAGTGTTGGGGACATTTTCGTACCGCGTTTCCGTCTCTAATGGCAATATTGTCAAATTGTCATATATAAAGTGACTATTTTACATGTTTCCATCCGCGGATGCACAGCGTGTGTTATGTCGCGTCAAATCGTGTCTCCCGTCGACACCGTTCAACGTAGAGGAGAGAAAAACTCCGTTCATAGCGTGTTAAAGAATACAAAATGTGCAGAAATTGCGAATAGAACGTGTCACAGGAACGTCGGGCCCCATTTAACGTCAGAGCGGCAACGTGGACATAAACTGTGCTTGGCCATCGAGTTAAACTGTTCTTTTTTTTTTTTTTTGTAATAGTTTATTCTTTTAGTAATGAAATAATCTATTATGATCGCGTTCGGTTATCGTTTTAACATTACGAGGACGAGGAATTATCTCCGTTACTGTCGAGGTATCCGCCAGAGCCGTTTACGACGAACGACGTGCCCAGGCCGTATAAATGGCCGCAGTACTTTGCGTCGTCGATATTGTCTTCGAAGAACATCTGAAACAAGTTTTATTAATTTTTCATTTGAACGAATCCTTTTCTTCTTTTTCTATTCGACTCTTGTGACGTGTGGATTTACCTCTCGCATTTTAAAAAAGACCATTCCAGTGAGGAGCGAATCAGAGCCAGCTTGATGTTGTGGACCCACTCGTTGCAGTTCAAGTTGCTCCGCAACCTCCTGTAGACCTCCCTTCAAATTTTTGCAGGACTTCATAAGGTACTGGAAATAAAGTCAGAGAGAAGGAAGTGCTTTAATTGAGTTCAATAGACTCCGCGGGATCGTCTAGACAGGACGCAACTCACTTTAACGTCGTAAATCGTCGGAAAGTATATCCTAAGGAGTTCGAAGAACTCACTTTCTTCCTGGGGTAAATTTTGGTCCGTTAGAAGCTTCAATAAGTAACCGAAATCGTATCCGGAATGAAAGGATAGCCATTTGATGTCGTCGACCAGTACAACGCCAGAAGTCATCAACAGTTCCGCAAAGTCCAGTGGGTCGATGCCTTCCTCTTCGTGTTTCTTAAACTGGATCCCACTGTTTTGTAGCATATCTATACTGTCTTGCGCGTACATATCCTCCCTGAATGATTAATTATATAATAAATAATTAAATAATACTATCAAGCAATCGATCGGTGCCTGACTTTCAGATTTCATCTGCGACGCATGCAAAAATGTAGTTTTGAGAACACGTTTAAGGGTTTTATATAATGCTTGGATCGATTAGATCCTTTCGATCGACTTCAGCATCCCTATAAATTTATCTGCAAGTACTCGGAGACTTACTGCAGATTGAATTTGAAGTTAAACTGCCATGTCGTGTAGCTACCGCCCGGTGTGTTACCCGATTCATCTAGAAACGTCAATCCCAGCTGAATGATTCTTAAGAGATCCACGTTACACCGCAGCAACTGATATTGGTAGTCGGCGCTCGTCCTAAATTCACCTGCGTCAAAACGTACGTCGACTCAAACGTAGTCACCATCCTCGCAACCATGAAGTAGCATAAAGAGCTCTCCCACTTTACGGGTCTTTCCAAAAAATTCCAAACCCGTATCTCCTTGCCAAGTAAACGGTAGTACTCACGATCTTTGCAAGAAAGCGTTGTAATTTGATTATACTATCCAACGGCACTTAGGTATTAATCTTTCTAAAACATTAAACGTGTCTCCCTGTTTAATAAACGTTCCGTGATTACCACGGATTTTTCAGATGACATAGGAACTATTTATGATAATTTTTAAGTATTGGAATTTTCAGCAAGAGTCGTCAGTGATACTATCAACTAACTTGGCAACGAAATACATATTACCGTGATATGGAACTGGAGGGTCCTTATGCTACGTCACGCTTGCAACTTTGCTAGACGTAACCAACCTATAGGGCGGGCGACAACTCCAGGAAACTCAGTGTCCATGGCTATGTACTGGTACTGCTGCACGACCTGACGTATGGTACGGAATTCCTCCTCTAAGTTATGTCCCCAAACATCACGAATTCCACATTCTTCATTGCTGGGCATAGTCGCCCCTCCCTTCTTCTGGCCTATGGGGTTAACTCCACCTGTAACAGGGCAACCGTTCTACAAAACAACCTACGATTTTCAAAATACGAAATAACCATTTCTACATCCTCCTCGAGCTTTGTCGCCAGCTAGTAAAGTCTTGTACAAGTGACACAGCCGCCATCTTAATAATTCTTGACACTCGATTGGCTGTTTACAAAACAAACTAACCAATAGCAGAGCCATGGTAGCCAACTCTACTATTATTCTAATATTTGTACTATTATTTTAAACCGGTGTACCATGCTAAAACACGGTACAAACCTCGATATCAAATGACTAAATCGTTCGCCGCAAGCACTGCCTATTTTTTTTAACGTAAACATTTACCCTTACGATGGTTATTCCGTACAATTGCCGATGTTATACCTGTAGCTGATGGCATAAGGTTGAAATTTAGTATCTCAGCGGAAAGTATCCCAGTCCTAAAACTTGTCTGTCAGGTTCTCGTCGCATTCATATCACTGTAAATGAAATGTCAAGTTCGAAGACCACATCCACGATATCCTGAAACAGAATCAATGCCATTCGTAAGTAGATCGTATAATTTCATACAAACTCTACGTAAGGATAGGAATTACCCTGGTTGTTGCTGAACTAAAACGAAGTAGGTAAACAAAACGGGATCGCAGTCGATAAGCATAGATCAAGACATAGGTTAGTCAAAGTGAACGAACGTTAAATGGGTGACTGAGACTTACTCCTATCTTAAATGTACGATAAACGTGTAACAAGTGAGGAATTAAATACCTCTTGACAAGAACTAACAGCTTCATCACTTCTCAGTGGATACCAAATTATTGGATTCGGTGAAATCTCTGACAAACTCTCCGATGCGACAGCAACACCACGGCCACGGTGCAGAAATTCATGTATGTTTGCTTCCTTTAAAAATATTTACGGTTCTTTCCTTCAGAGAATAAGACGAAATGTGTTCGTACATTCATCAGAACTGGCTTAATGACTTTAGCAGGACAGCCAGACTTGAAGAAATGACATCACTAGGTCGATTCTGTAACTCGAGTGCCGTTCACGCAGGCTTTCAAATGTACTTGGTGCGAAACTCTACCGAGTTTCCGATCTGGTGAAAAATTCTTAAACATCTCCTCATTCCCTAACATCCCTATGGCGCAATAGAGCAGCAATCAGACAGATAGGTGTACCCGGGGATAGGATTGGACAAATAAAATCCCCTAGGTAATTTGCGAACTTTTTTACAGTAAATCCCTAGGTATTTTACTTAACAAATTTATACGTGAATCACATGAATATGGGACTTTACGTTCCCGCAGTTCCTATTTCCTGACAGGCATAAAATTCAAAATTTCCCATGAGATGTATGGGGAAACTAGAATATCCAAGCCTAGATCTTTTTAATGGTTCTCCTTGCTTCTCTTTATTCAATTTCTCTTTTCTCCTTACTAAAATGTTTATTCACAAGTGATGTATATCTTTGGCCACTTTGAAAAAGTGAGGTTACAGTCCCGCCATCTTTGTCGCGTAATTTCTTGGGTATTTTACTTGGATTTCACGTGAAATACTTAGGGGAAGTATTTAAGGTAAAGAACCTCGAATTACGCGACCCTGCGTGATCCTGGACGGGAGCGGAATCGGAAAGTTAGGTTAGGCGTCGGCTCCCGCGGTTCTGGGCGGCGGTGCCTCGACGGGTGGCGACGGGGTAGGGTGTGCATAACCAAATAAGGCGTTGCGCAGGCGTTTCCGCTTTTTGGTGGCAACTAGCGCTACCAGGCGGCCCTCCCTGGAAATACCATCTGGCTTGAGTTAAAGTCAGTCCATTGGTCGGTCGTGTGCGAGTCGAGGTACGAAGTATTCCTCGTACTTCTTGACTACTCCCGAGGAGAGAGAAAAGTATGCGTTGCATGGACTGCGCGATCACCAAAATGCGCTTTAAGCCTTTACCAGCTGTGTGGTTTTACTGTGTGTCTTGTCAGAGCCAGAGTGTACATTAGTGTGTCGGTCTCTCGCTCACCTCGCTAATGTAAGTGGCCCGACCACCCTCTTTTACTTTATTTAACGAAGTTCCCGAGTCTCTCGGGGTAGTTGACCCTTTGCTAAGCCCTCGCTCGGTTTGGCTTGGCTGGGAGGTCAACGAAGCCCTGCGAGCCCTCCGACCCACCTGGACGATTTCCCTGCATCGGTCGCATGCTCCCTTCGCAGAGAATCCAGAATGATTCATGAGTTGAGAGCGTGCGTGCTCCTTTTGTTATCACCGGTCCCTGCCCATTGGGCTGTTCGGAGTATAAGATAGCCAAAGCTGCGAGTCACTTGACAGATTTAACTCAACTGTCACACGGACCCTCCGTTTACGAGGGTAAGATCGTGCGTATCGCACCGGAGGAATACCTTATGGGGTTTGAAGCACGTAGCGGTAAGCTGTACTTTGGAATCTCTGGAAACGGGGATTTAATCGGCACTGGTTAGGAGGAATTTATGGATTACGTGTTAGAGGTCGAGAACGGTTCGGCGAGGTTTATCGGAACGTATTTTTAATGCAATCGTTGCGAGGGATTCCAAGGTATGGTTACTTTGTGTCTACCGTCATCCTGTTCTGGGTCTCAAGTGCACGTAAGCACTCTTTGATATCATTACGCTCGGTGATAATGTTACCAAGTGATAAGCTAAACCGGAAGGAACAAAACCACTCGGTTATCTCCACATGAAAACCTAGATAACTTCCTGTGCAATGGGATCCAAGAAACTGCTCGCATGTTTTGGTAATTTAATTCTCGAGGATTTTCTAATCGTTAGAATTTAGTCCTATTATGTTAATACATAATTCTAAAGGATTCACATTGTGCAATGTATTTATATTTCCACATATACATAATATATATATCAGGTAAAGATACATATTTTTCAACTATCAAAAGCTGTCCCGATTAATAAACCGTGGAAGTGTCGATATCGGTGACGGAAGAAGGAAACGCAACGCTGCAGGAGACGAACTTTGCAAGGGAAATGCAGAGTCGATTCGTCCTGTGGTATGCAAAGGAAAAAGTGCAAATCGAGTCAGTCTCGTTGATGTCGAAGCTCAGTAAATAGGCACATGAGTCATTGACAACGAGTCAGAAACGAGTAGAGGACTGGCATTGCACGGCTGTTTGCATTATCTCGGTCTTGCCAATAACACCTAACTAAAACACGTTTTCTTACCTATCCGAGAGTGTGACACGTAAAAACGCCGAGGCGTCTTGCGGCCCGTGTGAAATAACGTGTGCCTAACTAATTTCGCCTAATTTTATATCATTAGGCACGACTACATGAAATTTCGTTCCTCTTGCCAAAACTTTGTGCAGCACGTCTGGATTTGATTTGGTGCGACTTCTGCTATTAAAAATAACTGGAAGTCACTAGAGTCATACGTTACATCTTGTTTATTAATAACGTAATAATACATCGGAGAGATATCTCCAAGGCGATTTATTTCTATAGGTTGTTAAACGTGATACTACGTTCGTCATCGCAGCACCACCGGTCTCACCTGCCCATCCCTAACCTCATTAACATTATTACCGTTATTACTTAATACTAAATGTAACTAAAAATCATTCCAGTAGCCTTTATTTTTGATTATGTAACAACTAAGTCATAGGGACTGCAGAAACAAAGTCCCATGTTCACGTAATTTCCGTATCGTGTGAAATTTTGTACAGTAAAATACCTAGGGATTTACTGTATAAAAAGAGTACGTAAATTACCTAGGGGATTTTTCTTACCCAACCCTGGTGGTACTACGTTAGTCATCGCATCACCCCTGAAATTTACCCGCGTACTTTTAACATCCTTTGTCGACCTTATCCCTGACGTTAAGTTACTCTTTTAATTAAATGCGACTGGATATGAGTCGAGCTGCCTTTATTGTTTGATGAATTAATGATTGATTTGATTGTACCGTAGGTGCAGGTGCAGGTATGTCTTTTCGTGTGGTGCGTAGCAGTAAATTCCGTCATGTATACGGGACTGCATTGAAGCGGGAACATTGCTACGATAATATCCGAGTATCTAAGTCATCCTGGGATTCGACCTTCTGCGCGGTTAATCCTAAATTCCTTGCAATTATCGTTGAATCGGCGGGAGGTGGTGCTTTTATAGTTTTACCACACAATAAGGTACTTTAACATTTATTTACATTGTCGAACAGCGAGGGGCAAGACAGGCCCACGATGCGTTCTCATCGGCATTTATTTATTTATCCATTGAACGTGTGCACTGAATTTTATTTACACGCACGGTTACAATTTTCCATTAGTTTTTTTTTTTTAAATCATATGTTCGTTTTCTTGAAAATAGCCTGGATGCAGATTTTGTCTCTGTCTTGCACCCTGCCCTTCGACTGTACTTCTATTTATAATTACGTTTTATTAGTTTACTTCGTTATCGTTTAAAGCTCTCTACAATTCCTTAGAAAAACAGCGATGAATTTCTTTTTTCTTTTTATATCAAAATTATCACGTCGATAGGAATACACAAACACAATTTGACATTGTCGAATATCATCCTGCTAATCTTCATTTTTGGTCGGCAGAGAATTTATTAATTTTTTAAGCCCCCTTTTATTTATCAAGGCGACGTAAGGGAGCTTTTTTACCAATTACACATCTCTGGTTCGCCTTCATGACCACGTGGTGAAGTTTCAGAACACGTGGTCGCGGACCACGTGGTCACGGACCACGTGGTGTTGGTCCTAGTCCGTAATAAATGAATATTGTATGAAAAATGAAATTTCCCGAGTTTCAGGGTCTACCTTAGGGCCTCCATATTCACGTGGTGAAATTTCAAACTAATCGGATAAATATATACATAGGCTGACTATTTCGTATCACCTTAATATACATTTTTCCCCGGTCCCAGGTGGGCAGGATACCGGCGGACCATCCTCTGGTAGGCGGGCACAAGGGCCCGGTCCTGGACATCGCATGGTGCCCCCACAACGACAACGTCATCGCCTCGGGCTCGGAGGACTGCATCGTCAAGATCTGGCAGATCCCGGACGGGGGAATCTCCCGCACCCTGACCGAATCCGTGGTGGACCTTCAGCTTCATCAGCGAAGAGTAGGCCTGGTGCTATGGCACCCCACCGCCCTGAACGTCCTCCTGACCGCCGGCTCCGACAACCTGGTCATCATCTGGAACGTGGGGACTGGGGATGCCTTGGTGCGGATAGACTGCCACCCTGACGTGGTGTACTCGGCCTGCTGGAACTGGGACGGCTCGAGGCTGGTCACCACCTGTAAGGACAAGAGGATCCGCATCCTGGACCCCAGGACCGGGGAGGTGCTCGAGGAAGCGGTGGCTCACGAGGGCAGCAAAGCCACGAGGGCCATCTTCCTCAGGTACGGCTCGATTCTCGGTGCTCCGGGTCTTCGTACCCTGGGAGATACGGCTAAAAAACTGCATGGCGTAGGAATTATTGCGAAGACTAGGATAGGCAAGCCGAATTCTATGAAACCCTGGGGAACCCTGGGAACCATGTGGCACGATTAACAAATTTTTCTCAACCTTTTCAGGGGTGGCCTGGTCTTCACAACGGGTTTCAGTAAAATGTCCGAAAGACAGTACTCCCTGAGGGCTCCCGATATGCTCGGAGAGCCCATCGTAATGGTAGAACTGGATACAAGCAATGGAGTGATGTTCCCGCTCTACGATCCCGACACGAATTTGGTCTACCTATGTGGCAAGGGCGACTCTGTTATTCGCTATTTTGAAATTACCCCTGAGCCACCTTTCGTTCACTACATCAATACTTTCCAGACACCCGATCCTCAAAGAGGGATTGGTATGATGCCAAAACGTGGCTGCGACGTCAGCAGCTGTGAAATCAGTCGGTTTTATCGACTTAACAATTCTGGTTTCTGCCAGGTTATTTCTATGACCGTCCCGAGAAAGGTACGTCTCTGTCAGGACCTAGGTGAGAACGTTCCCTTACATTTGCGATACACGTCTCATCTCTGATCGGGTCGTCTTTTTCTCTTCGGTCCTCCAGTCAGAGCTCTTCCAAGAAGACCTGTACCCGGATACCAGCGGGGACACGGCAGCGATCTCTGCCGAGGAATGGGAAGGTGGATCGAATGCCGAGCCCATTCTGATCTCCCTGAGGGAGGGTTACCACCCTGCCGCGTCGAAGAGCGACCTGAAGGTCCACAAAAAGGCCAACGTCTTGAGTAAAGGAACTAAGGTCGCTTCCGGTGTCACGCAGAATACCGCCCAACCTGCTGCAGGCATCTCTGTAAGCGATAATAACTGTTAACAGCCGTAATTAGTGGTTTAGACGTAAGGCAGACGACAATTATCAGACGGAGATACAGCGCCATCTGTTGTAGTCGTCTCAACTATTGGGGCCCGAGGTCTTGCGTCTCTTTCGTGTATAGTGGAAGATTGAACTAAAGAACTATCTGGCATTTCAGGAGGATGTGATTAAAGAGTTCACCGAGGAGATAAGGAAACTAAAGGCGGTTATCGTGAAGCACGAGGGGAGGATTCGAGTCCTGGAGACCGCCGTCACTCTGCAGATGAAGGAGCAGGAAAGGAGCGAAAAGCCACTCTCGCCCACGGCCACGGAGTTCCTCGCTCCGGATGAGGTTTGATTTTTCATTGGATCCGCGAACCAATGTATACTTGTGTAATAAAGATAAAAACGCGTACTATTTTTTCATACCAACCGTTTGTGTAAATATTAGGTATTGTTAAACGTGCGTTGAAAGGATTTATTGTGGGAGCGTATTAGCTTGTCATTTTCGTGCATCTCCGTTTAGTATCCGCCGAATTCTGTGATTCTGTGCCTTTACTCGGCAACGACTAATTCTTTAACGCCGCCGTAACGTGTTAAGTAACGAGGACCTTTCTTTTTTACTGGAACTCTTTTCCGTATTTTTCTTTATTTCACTTTATTCCTTTCTCTTCTTTGCTTCTTATTTTTTTATTTCAACGGAAGACCCTCGCCAATGGGGCATTTCTTATGGGAAAGAATGGCCTCCGACTCGGGGGAGGCCTCACTCTCTTTTTGTAAAGTCTCGACGATTTAAGGTTACATTTGAACTCGCTACTGTATGCGCATACAAATGGAAGCACTTTATATTTCGAATGGAACAGTTCTGCCTCTTAATAATTACGTGGTTCGATAAATAAATATGTTAATCCTAGTTCGTTTGTTCTTTCGTTTGTGCCTGGAGATCCAGTTGCCCAGTTAAAGTTAACCGGAGTTTAGATTGTTTACACAGTGTAAATTACTTATTTAATGCGGGGAGACGGACGGTTTAGTCAATCCGGACCTGATAAATCCCGGATTTAGGAGGGCGATGGAAACGTGGAATTGGACAAGTTCGAACGACTCGAGCGCCGCTCATCGTTTTATAACCGTATCCACCACGTTCGTCGCTAATATTCCGTTAACCTAACCTCGAAAGAACGAACAAACCTACCAGTTGATCGCGTCCTATTACTCGTGCATCCAATCAGTATTCGCCAGCTGGAGTTCCGAATTGTCGGCGTGTACGAAAGAACTTCTGCCAAGTGTTCGACGAGTTCCTCTTAGTTACCAAACGTCAATTTTCAACGATTTTCAGCCGTTTCGTCTGCGGTAATTAAGTCAATCTATAATTTTAAATCTGTTTTAACCTGACTTTTTCTCGGCAGGTTCGATATAATTCAATCGAGAGTTTATTTATTTTCTAATTATACGTGCACTTCATATTCACGGAGTTCGTTTCTTTATGACATGTGGGGAGTTATTTTTAATAAATGTCTGATCCAGAATTGCTGACTCGCTGTAACTGTTTTGTTTTACGTTGATCGATATTATTCTTCGTAGATATTTATCTTGATGAAGTACTTTTTTCGGTTCGAGTGCTTTTAAACTTTTGGAGTCAAGACGGCATTTCTTCCCCTTATTTTATGTATAATGAAAAGGAAGTTACATTATTAAATATTTCATTACCATCGTCGTTCTAGTAGATTATTGGGTTTTGTAATAGATTATTCTTTAGATATAAATTTGTATCCTTTGCACTAATCTTTACGAGTTAAAAGTTATTTAAAATTATGTTGCAGTGATTTTATAGAAAAACTAAGAAGAAAATGGATCTTGGACATTTTTTGGCGGTCTGTTTGATTTTGGGAAGTTGGCGCAGTGCGTATGCTCTGAAAGAAGGAGAATGTGAAGGTAAAATTGGAACTTGTTAAGAATTTTAGGTGTAATCATTTCTGGTTATCTTTTGATATAATTGTATTGCCTTTTTTTAATAGTATGCATAGCAACTGTAAATAAATTTGCGGGGACGTTAAGTAACGAGGTCAAGAAGGATACGAAGAAAATAGAACTAGCGTTTAAAGAATTCTGTAAGACGACAAAATCCAAGGAAAACAGATTTGTAAGTATTCTTTCGTTTAGATTTATGATACGATCGTAATTGTATTTAATCATCGAGTAGTGAAGATAAACATTATTTTGCCAGTGTTACTACATGGGTGGCCTCGAAGAATCGGCAACGGGTATATTAGGCGAACTGAGTAAACCCGTTTCGTGGTCGATGCCTGCCGACAAGGTGTGCGAGAGGCTGAAAAAGAAGGATGCTCAAATTTGTGACTTACGATATGGTATGTTTATCATACGATTACGAAGTCATTTTACTTCATAACTTAGAAATAGTTCAATCGGCAAAGTAGAATGTCCTCTTGTGTAAACATTCATTCTAATTGCTTCTAAATAACCAGTCCCTCTTGTGACGATTTACAGAGAAGCAAATCGACTGGAACACAGTAGACTTAAATAAACTGAAAGTGCGGGATCTCAAGAAGATTTTGAACGACTGGGACGAAGAGTGCAAAGCATGTGTAGAGAAGCGGGACTACATTAAGCGCATCGAAGAGCTGAAGCCTAGATATTCAAACAGTGCAAAGTCTGAACTTTGAGTATTACTATTTCCGACGGATTAATTGTGTTAGTTCCATTGAACTTTTGGTGATCCTCTGAGTTCTGCAGAAAGTCAACTGAGAAGCGCATAAGCGTTGCGATGATGATTTTATACATTTCGGGAGAACCAGATAGATTTGCAAGATGAGAGTACTTCTACAATTAGGCCTGGAAATTATGCCTTATCTGTTACACATCACAGTTTCTTTCACAAACATGGTCACACATAATTTTGTTTTTAATTCCCATGTGGCTACGACTCTGTAGGTCTGAGTAAGTTAGCAAAGAACAAACTTCTGTCAAAAGGAAACCAGGTCACGTGATACGAGGCAACATTACTTAACGTTTAATTGTTATTTTAATTAAATCTGCAAAAGAATAAACATTTATTAATGTTGTGTATACAACATGTATGGCGTGAAAATTATTGGGAAGTTTGGAAATTCTGAAAGTATCGTTAAATTTTATGTGATCAACGACGCACCCTCTCAAAGGTTGCATAAATTTCACAATTGATTGTCTTCAAAATTTAATTGTAATGGTCAGAGCCTAATTGCTGTATTTTCTACTTCGCATAATTCTATATTATAATGATATTTCTAACATTAAGTTGCTATTTCGTTTTATAATTTATTTACAGTTCCTCAGAAAAGTACATTTTCATTACCCATAAAATGTCTTCCTAACGTGATATGAAATATTTTTAATTATTCGTTGATTCAAATATACGCTCTTAACAAGATGGCGGGTTATCGTTCTGGCCTCTGATTGGTGGAGATCTGTAATCCAAGATGGCCGCGCCCAGCGCTCGACCGTCTTCCTTGTTCCATTTGTTCCCCGCTCCACGGTGCGGATAGTCGCTGTTATGGCGGTGCATAACCTGTTCGACTCGATCCTCGCGATAGAACGGTAACCGATATCCATTTCTCGGGCGAGCCCTCCGTGTTTCGCCGAGCGGCCGCGATGGAGGAGCGATCCGAGGAAACTTCGCCGAGTGCGACGCCGATGGTGGCCGTCAAGGAGGAGCCCACGGAGCAGATTGGGCGACCCGACAAGCAGGGCCAGGAGACCGCTGCCTGCAACGAGGAAGACGGCGAGCAGCGCATCGAGTGCACAACCGAGACGCAGGATGCCGACGCGCGCTCCTGTCTCACCAAGTGCGTCTTCTGCGGGAAGATGCTCACCTCCGCCGACGACTCGAAACTCCTGGAGTGCCTCCACGCTGCGTGCTCGGCCTGCGTCTGCAACAAGCTCAGCGAGCACAACGCCTCCGTCGACGTGGATGTTTTGGGTGGGTTTGCTGCAGAACTGCAGTATTTTATAGGGTAGATAAATTGCATAAATGTTATCGTTGCGGACTGCTACGAGGATTGAATTAGTACTTTGAAATCGAAGCGACGAAGTCCAATGTTATGGTGAACGTGTAATCTGTGGGCGATTTGAAGATCAGAGAATAAGATCTATTTTTGAGTTGGTGTTAACGTGTCTTACACATGATACATGGTCTTTATGTGCATAAGTTTGTATGGTTACGTAACCTATCGCATTGGTTGTTTTTAGTATTGCCTAGCTTAATTTGTTTGTTATTTGTTGTCAATAAGTAGTTTAGGCATTCATCATTGTTATTGTTTGTATTTTCCAGTAGAGAGCAACGTCCTTACATGTGACATTTGCAATATAACGAGTCAAGTTGAGAACATGATAGAGAACAGATTTCTACCAAAGTTAAGTGACGAGGAGGACAATGCCGAAGATGATAGCAAGGAAGTCGAGGAGAAGCAAAAGTGCACAAGTTGTCATGATGACGCCACGGCAACCAGTTGGTGTGTGGAGTGCGAAGAGTTTATTTGCGAGAATTGTGTCATGGTAGGTGTATTTTTAAGGAAATGGATCTATTTACACGGTCCCATTATGGGAGTTTTAAAATACAATAAAAATGGTTTGGCGGGGGTTTTCCTTCTCCTTAAATTGTTCCATATAATTGAATATTAAGAAAGTAGTGGCCAAAACCATGAAACAGATTGTTTAGTGGAGTAAATGTTTTTACTACCACCGCAGGCTCACCAACGATTAAAAATAACTAAAGATCACACGATCAAGCCCAAGGACAAGCTCGATGACGATGGCAAAACTGGAAAAAAAAGTGGTAAAAAGTTACCAGGCTATGTGTTCTGCACCGTTCATCCTCACGAACAAATCACGCTCTTCTGTCAAACCTGCGATACGTTGACATGTAGAGACTGTCAACTACACGAACACCGAGACCATAAGTACAAGTTCATCCATGAAATTGCTTTGGAGACACGCAATTCAGTGTCGACTTTGCTCAAAGAAGTCAGGTTAGTGGAAACGAAGAGAATTATTTCATGTCAATTAATCAATGTGTCGTTACAAGATTGGAAGCATTAAACGAATTAATTTATTTCAAGTTACAAAAGGGTTTTGTTAAAAAGTGCTATGAAAGTCATCGAGGATCGGCAGGTTCTCATTTTGGAGAAGAAGAAGAACCTAGTTCATGACATCACACAGATGGTTGTACAGTAAGTAAAGAGAAACATTGAGATTAACTTTTAATAGAGTCTCATATCATCTTAACGGTTGGATAAATAATAACACCTTCCATCGTTTCAGGTTAACAAATGCAATAAATACCAGAGGGAAACTACTGATAATGCGGTTAAACGAAGTCTGCGATCAAAAGCAAAATACTTTGAATGAGAAGAAGGTTGCGCTGGACCAGCTGTCCAAGCTTACGGATCACTGTATCCAGTTTGTGACGTATGCTTTGGACAAGGGCTTGGATGTCTCCTTGCTGTACAGTAAAAAGTATGTCATATTATCTACATCTAATCGATACATCATCACTCAAAGTGGACTCGAAGACTAACAAATGCGACATCTTTAATGTTGCAGATCGATCACCGGCCACCTTCAGCGAATAAAAAGCAGGCGAGCCGATATTCCTAATCCAGAGATTCCGGTGAGAATTCATCTATCGCTGGAGAAGGTTTCCGACTTGATTAAAGGTAACCAGATTACAAACTTTGAATATTCTGCTGTAAAACATAAATATCGCATTGCTTTCATTCACTGAGAAGTATTATTTTCGGTAAGCTTTTTTAAAGCAGGTGACCCAGGTTTCTGTGATGTTCCGATTTGACTTTCAGTGGTGTCGTCCATCGGAGCGATCGTAGTGGACGGCCGGGTGTACCCATCGGTCTCCCCTTCGTCGGGATCCAGCACTCCATCCCTGGGATTCGGAGAACAGTCCACCGAGACTAAGCCTTCTCTGGTTCCGACGAACGCCCACCACGAGTCGACAATTCCTCTGTTCCACCTGCCCTCTGCGACCCTCCCTTCGGGCAGCGTGCAACAGGCCAGCTACCAGCAACTGCCACTGCACCTCTCCCTGCAGCAGCAGCAACAGCAGCAGCAACAGTCGACGCAGCAGCAGCCGCCGGGCTACGTGCAGCACTACGGCCACAATGCCCCGCCGCGGTCTTCGCCGCAACTACAGCAGCACCAGCAGCAACCTCAGCAGCCGCACCAGCAACGGGTCCCCTACAACGTCAGCTTCGCCGGTAATCGTCTCCAGGGATCGCTGATGCTGACCCAGCGACCCATTGGCAGCTGCCACCAGCAGGTGACCTCCTCGACGCATCCGCAGCACCAGCAGGTGCAGCACCTGGAGCAGCAGCACGGGCAGACTCCCAGTCTCAGGGGACTCCTGGGATCTCCGGGATTCAGGCCGACCACGAATCATATACCTTATAGACTGCCGCCGGCGTACAGGTAGTATTTCTGGTCTCGTCTACGAAACTTTTCTATTGTTACATTAATGTAAAAACGTTTCCTGCAGGTATCCCGCGGGAGGCACCATGTCGCAGAGGGCGCTGCCGGCGCATCCGTACTCTCCCAACGGCGGCGCTCAGCCAATCAGGTATCAGCAGTGCGGACTTGCTGCAGCGCAGCAGGTGCAGCAGGTGCAACACGCCGGTTTCGCCGTGCAGCAGCAGCCTGCCGCTCGCTGGCATATACCGCAGAACGTAAACCCCTGCGTGCCGTACTACTCGGCGAGGCAGGCCTCGGCACCGCCCCTCGGGGTCCCCGTTAACGACGCGTACAAGATCACCCTGAAGAACCAGCAGCCTGGAGCGGCCCAAAAGTTCGCGCCGGGCGGCGCCACCGGCGGCGATAACGCCGCCCAGTCGCAGGGAGCCTCCACTCCTGGACAAGCGGTGGGTCTCGAGCACTGAAGTGTATTCTTAACTTAACTCTATAATACGTAAGGGTCATCCTGTATATCAGTTTGGAGAGGAGTTTTATATATGTGACGTTATGGTATGTATAGAATGACCCTTTCGGGACGCCTTAAATTGCCGCTATTAATTTCGCCTGAAATGGACATTTTTCTGCTTGGTGAGTGGTATGGTTTATTCGAGATTCTACTTTCTGCCACCAGGTGAGCTCCTCGGTGCCGAAGACTCCAAGTCCCATACCTCACCAGGGAAAGACGGACGAGACGGAGAAGAGCCTGGACAAGTTCTGTCAGAAGTCCCTGAACGACCTGATGCTCACTATCGCGAAGCTGGACAGCAATGGCATCGTTGTTATTCCAGAGGCACAGAGGAATCAGATGGAGGCCGCCCAGGTCGACAGCTCCGTAGACGAGACCCTTCACTCGCTTGCAGACAACGCGTCAGGTGAAAACATCTCATCTACGTTCCCTCTCCTCGTCTGAGAGGTCCCTTAATAAGGATATCGAGGTCATTGTCGGTATAAATAATGAAAAAAGAAAAGAATGGTCAGGATAACCACAATTAGGATTTTGGGGTATTTTTTAGCGGTTTCTTTTTTCGTTCTTTACCATGGCCCTTCCAGATAATTCTGGCACGTCGCTACATGCATATACCTCGTGTGAGAACGCAAACTGAATTATATGTCCAATAGATCATGCGAAAAATACAGTATCTATGACTAAAGATGATCCAAACGAGGATTGGTGCGCCGTGTGCATGGACGGTGGCGACGCGGTCCTCTGCTGCGACAAGTGCCCGAAGGTGTTCCATCTATACTGCCATATTCCAAGTCTGAAGTCTTTTCCGCAGTAAGTAAATCAAGCTGTTATTTAGGAAGTACTTGCCTAGAAGAAATAATTTCTTATGGCGATCTGAAAGCGAGTAGTCGTTTATTAAAATTCCCCTTGCTGAGGGTATCGAATCTTTTGAAATTTAACCTCCAAACCCTTCGGATACCACTTTCGTATCACCTTATAGTGAAAGTTCTCTGTAAACTGGGTGTAAGCGAGTTAGTTAAAATGTTATCACGCGAGTGAGGCCTTTTCTGTTTTTTTCAGCGAAAGCGAGACTTGGCAGTGTATGTTGTGCACGAATATTCTGGATTGCTCCGACGACCCTCCAAATGAAAAGAGGCCGAATGGAATGACCGCCAGAGAACTGAGGATCGCTCAGAGGATCGTTTTGGAATTGTACTGCCAGTACGAGCAGAGCCTTCCGTTTCGTGAAATCGTCTCCTCCGAGGTGAAGTGTAGTTATCTCAGTGTGCTAGTGTGCTAGAGACTCGAGGGTGTGAAACTAGGGTGCGAGAAATTGGCTCGGAGACTTCTCTAGCCCGTTCAGCAAAACCTGACGGTAGTTTAATTTCCCAGATCGTAGAGTATCATCGCATAATCAAGAAGCCGATCGCTCTCGACGTGATAAGGGACAAACTGAAGTCGGACCACCCTAATCACTATACCGATTTAAGGCAGGTCATGGCCGATATCCGACTGATGTTCAAGAACGCGTTTACTTATAATCCTGTAAGTAAAATCAGACTCGTTAGGATTAATTCATTAACTTATAATTAGATATATTTAAGAAACTCAGACCGACAATCCCTTTATAATCATTCGAGCGAAACTATGTACGGAGTGGTTAGTTTCATGTAATTCTCAATATGGTACGTAGCAGACGTAAACGTAAATATAAATGTCGGCGCGTGTCGTCTTAATCTTTTTCGTTTCTCTCTCCAGGTGGAGTCGCAGGTCTATCAGGAAGCCCGCAACCTGGAGGAGTTCTTCGAGAAACTTCTCCTTAAGTGGGCGCCGAATTACGCTTACGACGATCCTTTCCTCGCCGCCGAGGGCGAAGAGGACGAAGAAGTCTTCCCGCCTAATCAGAAATACCGACGCATAATTAGCGACTAATCAATGGCGATCCCCGACTACTCAGGACTTGGGGAACAAGAGAAGACGAGTCTCTCTCCCTTCTCTCTCATTCTTGTGCATAATGCGATGCATCGTCGCGTTGGTTAGCGCGCCACTTTCAAGATGGCCGCGGCATCGCATCGATGCGAATTCGAAAAGGCTCGTCCCGGGTGTTATAAAAAAACGGCACCGAGGGATGTTCACGTTTTTACGTTCGGCAGATCTTTCATTCGCAGATCTTGCGGAGGAACCGAGTCGAGTTAATTGTCTGTACATATTGAATTGGAGACGACATCGTTGCAGCAGGTCGTGGAGGAAATAACAGGAACCGATGCACTCTGTCCAGGGTGATTCGCGACTCATCGACTCATTGTCCTATACGACATTTATCTTTGATTTTGTACAACGAGTTTACATGTACAAGGTGGATGATGAGTCGTGAATTACTCGGTATATTAAATGGCTAAATCGAAATGTGGTTTATTAGCCCGTTACGAGGTTACACGTAGGGTTGCGCTGATTTAGCCTCGGAGGGAATTAATTTGTATACGAATTAGTCTCGATAGGAATTAGTTTTGTATACGATCTCGATGCCCCCTTAATGGTTTTTTTATCTCGATGCTCCGTTAATCAATTTTTCTATCGCCGCGAGTCCTCGGCAAAGGCTACTTTACATATCTCGAGAATGCAGCGTGATCTTTTTTATCACACCTGCCGTTGCACATCTATTATCCCATTGGCTGTAATATTGACAAATTGTTGTTATCGCGCTTAGTAGTAATTCTTCGCTGCTCGCCTAGAGAACAAATTTTGCAACTATGCCGGAAGGACGTGCATGATTATTTTTTCCTTCTCGTTTTAGCTGCTCGATGTACATAATTTTTACAATTAATTTGTCAGATGTAGATTAAGAAGTAACATTACGTGTATGTACGTAGTAAGCGCGGATAGACGAAACAGCGTAGAAGCTTGTTAGCTGTATCTCGATTAGCTCCAGGGGGCTCTTCGCAGTTGAGGAACCATCGAAGTGACATTATCCAAAATTGAGGTGTTATATTTATACATATATTTAGATAAATATAAATATTTTCTTAGATTTGCTCTCCTAGTAAATTACGCGTTTGCGTGGATCAGACTTTTTGCTCCTGGCTAAGAGCTAATCGCTGAGTAGATGCTTAACTGTTCAGTTATTTTATATTTAAACGATGAGGAATCGTTTCATTTCCACTTATTCGTGGTTTCCGAAAGTGGCGTCGTTTCGTTTATCAGAGAACTTGGTTTGCAACCTTGAGCGAGTGTTCTTAGGGATTTTTTTATATCGAATTTCTGTACAATTCATCACAACCGATGCGACCAAATCGAATCGGTTTCAATTGTGAATTATTTCCCTTTGTGTTTAATTGTTCCCTTGTGGGCCGTTGAAATTATTTGACTATTTCGAGCCAAATTGTTTTGTAGTTGTGGATTCGATTGGTACGAAGGATTTCGTAGAAACAGCGTTTGCCATCAGTTTAGCGAATGCAATTGTTGCGTGACTATTGGTTCATGAAAATGTGTCTATTTTTGTTTTAAATAGAATTAACCGGAGTAGAGATTTAGTTGACGGAAACTGTTGATGTTTTAACACTAAACCTACCAACGGTGGGACAAATTAATCAGTTTAAACGATATTTGTAATGGGGGTAGAAATCGTCGGTAGGTTTAGTGTTAATTGGATGGGAAAGAAGAGCAGACAAAGGGCGAAATGAATTTAAATAATAGTTATCGGACAGTTATTTCCTAAGCCATCTGTTTCATCTGAAAATATGCTCGTCCGAGGACTGCGACGTGGTAATTCAACTGTCCCCTGATTACAATGTTAATCGTTTGCAGAATGGTCGATGTTAATATCATCGTACCACATATTGCACAACCTCGCACTAAATTTGATTTTCACTTTGAATCGTTCAGCGGATAAGAACGTCTGAAAATGCCTTGCGATGTTTATAAACATTTTGTAAATACCGTCTAGTTATATAGTTAACGGTCGATGAATAAAGAATAAAAGTATCGAAGCTTCTGTGAAAGCTCCATGGCTTTTTCAGCCGGTTTTCGGGCCGCCCAGTCGCCGGTGAATTTTTCTCCCACCGGCGACCACGGTAGCTCGACGGGGAAAAAATTTCTCTTAAAATTCATCTTTCGAGCGAGACGCTGCGATTTATTTAAAATATACGCATCTATAGCGTTCGAGGCGTTTTTAGGCGTTTTGAGCCGCTAGCGGTGACTGTTAGATGGGGCCACCGTCGCGATGACGTCACCCCCCCACCAGAAATGAATTGCGCTACTACTGAGTATCAGGTGGCAAGTGCATTAGTCGTCCGCATCCTCTGTCGGGGGTCGCATCGGATGCGATCGCGTGATCCTGCCCGTGAGCAATCTCCCAACCTCGTCTCCGTTTGAACGAGTCCATATCCGGTGCTGAGAAACTTTCGTTCAACGCCACATGTCGCTCTTTTCGAAAGTCCCACTGTAACTAGACACGCGATTGGCCGGTACGGTGGTCTAGGGGAAACGGGCAACGCGATTGGCCGGTCTAACGGAAACGAGCGACGCGATTGGTCGAGGGGGCTTCCCGCCGAATCCGGCCTCGTGATTGGCCCGTTCGAGCCCCGTAACGTACCGCCAGCTGTTGGGGCTACGTTGTTTGAAATCGAACGGCGGAACAGCGCGGATCAGCGCAGAGCCAAGAGGCGTGAGAGAAGCCTGGAGAAGCCGAGCCGGTGCCTTTGATTCCCGAGGTGACCGATTATACCTCGAGAATGCCAGGCCGAGTTTGACTCGACCGTTGACGACTCCGAGGCTACGGACGGACCCCGTGTGTCTCCCGAGCCACCTGGTTGGACGACCTGACCCGGTAAGCACCTTCAGCCCAGGCCTCGAAGTCGTAAACACGCCGAGCGATCTCGAGCGGTTCAAAATATTCACCGACTCGGCGGACGCTTCGATCATGGCTGCTGTTCGCGCACACGAGGACCAGGAAAATCGCCTCGGCGAACCGCGCCGAGCCAAGGAAAACCTCCCCGCGCCCCTCCAACAGAAGCGCGCGGTTCTCGGAGTTCTCCACAACAATTTGAACAGGAACTCCAAGCCGGTAAATATACCTAAGTTTGGTTTTCATTTAACCTTGCCTCCTTTCGCTTGCTTGCTCGCTTCTCATGTTAACGGAAAGAGAAAATTGTGAAATTATTGAACACGTGAAATTGTTATTATTTTTTCTTTTCAAGGATTTGAGTAATTTTAATATCATTGTTGCTTTTTAGCTTCTAGTCGTTTGTATTAAATTTATTTGCGGTTTCAGGAAATTTGCGGAAAGGATGAGAAGTATCCAAAAGGAAAGGCGTTTCTGCCGACACAGTTTGAACCCTTCAAAATATATGAGGATAAAAAGGAGGAACCGGCATTTAAAGTGTACGAAGATAAGTTGGAAGAGGAGACATCCGTTGTTCTTAGAGAATCTAAGGAAATCGTCAAGGTAACTGTCAAGCAAACTACGGAGATATCAAGTAAAGTGGAATGGAAGGAACCACCTGCGGAGTCGAAGCCTGTCGCGGCGAATGTCCTGCCGACGGTTCGTGCCAGCCCGAAGGAAAAGGATATCAATGAGGAAATTAAAGAATCGCTGTTTGAAGGTCTCTCTCATTCCCTCATCGAGGAAAGTCCTATGTCTTTAGAGAAGTCTACTTTCTCGGGATCCACAAGGAAAGATCGCCGGGCGTTAAGGGAAACGAGTAAGGCTCTTAGGATCAATTTCTTCGATGTAGACGAATACAGGGCTGATATTTACAATTATCTTCGTACAGCTGAGGTGAGTACAATTATAGGTTTGGTAGTTATTTTGACAGAAACGTGAAAAATGTTATCAGACTTTCTGACATTAATTGCGGTTCGATTACAGACGCAACACAGGCCAAAACCCGGGTACATGAAGAAACAACCCGATATTACTTATTCCATGCGGTCGATATTGGTCGATTGGCTGGTAGAAGTTGCCGAAGAGTACCAGCTACACAGCGAAACATTTTACTTGGCTGTTTCATACATCGACCGTTTCTTGTCCTACATGAGTGTAGTGCGTGCAAAGTTACAACTCGTCGGTACAGCTGCAATGTTTATTGCCGCGTAAGTGCACTTTGATTCGAGTTTTCAAATTCTCAAAGAGAGAAAAATTTCAGAATTCTAATTCTTCGAATCTGACGATTAACGAGTTTTATTGCATTCTCCAGGAAATATGAAGAGATCTATCCCCCAGATGTTGGTGAATTTGTATATATCACAGATGATACCTACTCGAAGAAGCAGGTCCTACGAATGGAGCACCTCATCCTGCGAGTTCTGTCCTTTGATCTCACTGTACCGACGCCGTTGGCTTTCCTCACATGTTATTGCATCAGTAATAACCTTTCGGACAAGATACAGCATTTGGCAATGGTTAGTCGCTTTCTGTACTAATTTGATATTAAGTGAAATTTTGCTCGAATGAAACTTGTGTAATGTGGTTGAATTACATTGTTTTCAGTACTTGTGTGAACTGTCGACACTCGAGGCTGATCCATATCTACAATATCCACCGAGTCTGCTCGCTGCTTCCGCCGTGGCATTGGCTCGACATACTCTGCTCGAGGAAGCTTGGCCTCACGAATTGGAGTTGTCCACGGGATACAGCTTGCAGGACCTCAAGGAATGCATATCCTGCCTCAACCGGACGTTCGCAAATGCCCCGAACATTCCACAGAAGGCGATACAGGAGAAATACAAAAAGAACAAGTGAGTCTTAACAATTATTAAACTGATTGAGGGGATGTGAGGGGTCAATCGTTCATGAAACTTTTCTCCAAACTGGGTGTATCGATTCGTTTCAAACTTCACCTCTCGTATCAACTTATGCTGTCATTTCTAAAATCCAGATACTCGTTTCCCTTTTCCTCGAAGGTTTCACCGTTCTCTCTGAAATTCTTTTAGATTTGGCCATGTGTCTATGCTGCTTCCACGCAGTACCAAGATCATGGAGTGCGAGGATGACACCGAGGAGAGTGCTTAGTCAGAGTCTTCGGCACGAAGAAGCCGTGTTGGATTTGTCGACCCTGTTATACACGCGAGGGCGAATGGTGACTAACGAACCTCCAGGGAACGAGCCATTCGCTGCCAAAGGATTGCTACTGCTACTAGGAGGGGATCGGCCCAAGACTGACCGATATCTTGCAATCGGATTTGTGCATGCACGGTTAACACTTTACTCAACTCGAGGTCGAGCAATGTCTTTGCGCAAGAAAAAGCGTTCACAGCCATGCTCGTGTATGCAGATCTGAGAATGAGAATTTATAAATGTCATTACAAGTCGGCGTATACCTCGGAAAGCTACAACTCTGTCTGGCACTCCCTCGTTGCCCGAGTTCTACTTTGAAAGTACTTATTAGAACGACAGTTTCTTAACACCAGGGATTAACCATTCTGTGCGAACCAGTGAAGAAGAAAAACAAAGCCTAGAATAAAAAAGGGTTTCTTTGCGTCTATTTAAAGATTTTGTGTAAATTGTGTAACGTGTATGCTTCGAGTGATCGGTGGGGAGAACCGGATGACGAGGAGGAATCGAGTGCTGAGTTTTGTTAATTAATTAATTGCTAGTTCCAAGGATCTAAAAATCCAGGAATACCGAATGCATGTAGGAATTGTGTCCTAAGAAAAGAATGAAATAATGGCAGTTGCCTCGCACGTATGTGTCAGTACTTGTTACGTACTAAGTATACATAATTGTTGTGCGAAGGCACTGCTGATTTCTGTGCACATAACCTCCGATGGGAAGATCGGATGTAAGACGCGACGATTATTTAAACTAAATAGGACAGGGTCTTTGCGCAGCACTTAGGTTTTCTCGAATGTGTAAGTTGTACGGGGAGGTCGAAATTATTTAAACCAAATTGCACCGTGTCTTTCGCAGCGACCAGATCTGCATACTCGAGTAAAAGTGAAATTGGCTGAGCGTTATTAAATGCAAAGAAGAAAAAGTCAGGAAGTGATTCGAACAAGCGTTCTTCAGGGCTACGTAATTATATTAACTAGTGAGGCTGCAGGTCACGTTATTCCGAATTTGTTAGTACTTTTTGCGGTAGGCATTATTTTCTTCTTTTTTCCTTCCACATTTTCTGTGCGATTTATTTTTTTTTTTTTCAACCGGACCCACCTCAGAAAATAGCTGGAAATTTCTTTCGGCGAGTCGACAGACGATTAGGCTTTATTTTTATTCCTTTGTTTATGTGTATGCAATTCAGGGACTTTATGTGGAACGATTAGAATCTTCAAATTGATCCTGGTTACTTCTAACTGGTACTTTCCGATGCCTTGTACAGTTATTTATTTCCTATGTTTCTTAGTGCCTTTTCTTTCCGCACAGATCTGGTAGTTGGCATGCAAACGTAAGTTATTGCAGAGAGCGTGGTGTCATTTTGTGCCCAGCCCTTAAGGTGACATGAAAGGGTCCTTCATTTTATGCGCAGCCCTTAAGGTGACATGAAAGGGTCCTTCGATACATACAAACCTGAAAATGTTCATGAAACTTTTCTCCAAATCGTTTGCACCGAGTCATTTAAAATGTTAATACCTGATTACGAGGGCCCTAAGAAATTTCTTCTTTCAAACGGAATATTTCTTTTATTTAGTCTAGCCTAGAACCAAGATAGCATTTCTTTTCTTTTGGTAAAAAATAATATTTCACTAGCGTTGCGTTATTCCCTAGAGCCTCCACTATCACGTGCTAATGTTTCATATGATTCTGGGCACTCGATTAGGAGNGGGGTTGAAAATTTCGATTTGTATCAGGAACATAGGACAACCGAGGAGGTATCTCGCACCGCAAGAAGATTAACATTAACTTAGGTCTACGAGTGATCTTAAAGGATCAGGAATAGGCGATTAGAGGGTTCGCTAGACACGCTCGTCTAATTAAACGTACTCATTACTTATTATTCCATAACTTCCTTTATTACAATAATTGTTTTACAGTTTATTATACAAGTAGCGAAAGTATATAAGTCCTGGAGCCCGTTTAAAAGGGTATTAACAAATAGTCCAGTCTTGTCAGCTTCTTCTTCTCTCGTTTCTTCAGCTGGAGACCTCGAAGAGTATCCGGCCACCTCCTGGGGCTCGATGTCGAATCCAGGGCAAGGATTCCCTCTTCCACACCTTGGGAATTCCTTGAAATTACAAGCCACACATCTTTCGCAACATCAATTGTATTTAGATAACGATAGAATTGAAAATATCCAATTTATAGTACACACGTGAACGTCCACCTTTTCTCGTTACAATCGAGACCTGCAAATAAATCGGGAAATCCAAAGGCAAGGGCGACTGCTTTTCTCGATAATATATTTAAATAACAAACTTGCACATAATATCGATATAACACGCATCCACAAAGTGGAAAACATTTAGTGCCCCATGCGTGGAAAGTGGTGTACTCCTCTTCGTGCGCTCGCGTACATGTGTGTATAGGTCCTACAAAGTGTGTACGAATAACTTCCATAGTTACATCCTAACATAATCGAAATATCAGTCTTAGAATTAATACAACAGCAGTCGTTAAGGCAGCACGATTTATCTGGACGTAATCGAGGGACCAGGGCCTCAAAAGAACCCGACACAATATCCAAGGTTCAACGAGAATTCCCAAACCTCGTCTCTGTACATTCCGAAAAGACAAAGGAAAGTCTACCGACCACATAATAAAACCACGAATTAGGATAAGGAGATAGAACGCCATGTATCGAAATCGTCCCCACCAAGGCCTACAAGAGCCTGCTCGATGAGAGTTCGCAATAAAAAATTATCGCAGCCTTGATTGCAAAATTAAAACCATTTCGGGTAATAAAAGTCGTTAGGAAATGTTTCGCGTTGAGTCTCCTTATCCTACATTATAATTAAAACCTTCGGTACATGAGTTAAGTAAGGTATACCGCGCGGCCGTCGCGTTCATTATTTAACGCATAATTATCCTACGAGTACGATCTTAAGGGCTACGTGTAAATGTACAATTAGTGAAAGGAGGTCCTAGTTCGATTCTTCGTCGCCTTTCGTCGTTATTCCTTACTCTTTTATGACCGATTGCTTCACCGGATCGCGAGTCCTCTGCGCGTCGGCCGCCGCCATCTTGAATCGCGAGAGGCCCCTTCGTCCTTCCACGCGCGTTTAATTTCTTTTTCACGATCTCTGCCGACTTAAACCTAACGAGTAGCCCTAATCTATAGGTGAAGACAATCAGTCCGCCACTGATCTAGACTCTTTCGTCATAAACAACCCCGACGATAGTACGCAACGTTCACAAGAGTTCGATCGAGCGAAATGGCTGGGCCACTTCCGCAGAAGAATCAAAGATGGCGGACGCCTTGAGAACACCAGCGACGTATTCCCATATATCGAGTTATCGGTATAATATTATGATAACATTCTTAGATCATTTAGGAAGTCGTTGCGGTATTCATTATTCATAATAAGACCCATCTATCATCATTACAATACGCCATTAACTGTGCGGCTCGCAAGATCGCATGATTAATATCCGCATATCGGGCGTTACAAATTCGACAGATCCATTCTTCGCCATATCGTTAAAGGCATCGGTGAGTCGCAGTCTTGTAAAACTCCCGGTAAAGGAAAAAAGAAGAAAAGTAATTCCAACGAATAAACAGAGGCAACAATAAAAACTGTATCCGCAGGTAACTCCGTAAAAAGGACGAGTCGGAATATATTCGACTTATCGAACAACTCGTACGAGTTTCTCTTTCGGGAAGCTCCTACGGTGTCAAAGTTCGCCCGAAAGGGCACCCCAAAAAACCCCGTAGAATCTCCCTATATCTCTTATCATTCATTATCGCAGATTCGCCCGGTATTTCCCGGAGGTTAAAAAAAATCCGAGGGACCGTCCCGCCATGTAAACAAATACATTTCAAAAGTACATTACCACGTACACTTTCGAAATACATTTATCCCCACATGGGTAATCATCCCGAATCTTCCTTTTTCCTTTTTTTCCCCAAAAGAAAAATTCCCATAAAAACGAAGATATCTCGATCGAGCCGTTGGACGGCTCCGATAAGGCAACTATTTTAATCTATACTGTGTATACAGTAATAATAGGCCCTACATAGATGTAATAAAAAAATCAATACTAGCCTGTAATACAGTAATATATATATATATATATCTATCTATCTATATATAATATTTATATAATTTATATAATATGTATCTGCATATATAGATCTATCATCTCATCTCTAGGAAACCCGAACGGTTGTTTGTATATATATAAAAAAAAAAATGTTTAAACAAAAGCAAGAGGACTGTCCAGTAGGCATTGTGCTTAATCGGTCTTTCAGTCTTATATATCGATATATCGAACTCAGCTGGCTCGTCGTACAATGAGGTAGACATCGATCCTATAACGATATAGTCTATATATCAGGATATGTATTGTGAGCAATATTGCATCTGTATCCCAGGGCCATGTTCTGTCACCGATAGTCTATCCTTAAGTTTACAACAAATTAACAGCGATATATCAGTCGTCAACGAAATCGATCGGCGTACGGTGTTAATAATAAAGAAAAGAGAAAATGGGGAGAAAAAAAAAAGTTAATAATAAATGGTAAAAAAAAAAGAATAATAATCCTGTCCCGCGGCGGAGCATTTAATGTCGCCTAGGAATACTCCGAGGAGAGAATGTCTTATCTAGTAATATATGCTTAATGGTAATATAATAATATACAATAATGCCTCGCTAACTACACGAAGAAAAATAAAATTGGTTCATTTCGGGAGATTGGTTCTTCACGAGTTTTAATTCACTCGACTAAACTCGTTCGCATAGATCGACTAAAGTGGTTTAGTTTAAATCTACGATTGGTTTTGCTAATTTTAATAATTTTATAAAATATCTCGGATGCACATAAGTTACTTTAATATACGTCAAAAATTATTAATCAAAGGATTTAGTTTAGTTGGCCGTATAATAACCATAATCTATGGTTAAACAAATATCGTTATCAATTGAACCAATTATTTTTCTCGATGTAGTGCCGTCCTTTTCCCTCTTGTATTAAGGCAACTCTTCGCCTCTCTTTCTCGCTTACAGTCCTAGAACGTGTTAATCGATTGCAAATTAATTGTCGAATCACAATGTTTCATATATATATGTATGTATATATGTATATATATAATCTTTAAACAATAAGTGTCGATACGCTCACCGGTCCAAAAATGCCGCAACGCGGAAAAACATTCAATCTCAAAATGGCGCCCTTTTTCATTTCTCCGAACGTTTAATTAATTAAAAAAAAAAATCGGATCTGACATGCGAACGACTCCTGAGGTACTCGTTGTTTAAAAACGGAGAATAGGATATGTACACGAAGAAAACTAATTTGGTTCACTTAACAAAATCGCTTAACTGCATTTAATTAATCTAAAAAAAAATGTTTCGGTCGATCGAGCCGAATTTTAATTTGTTTCGATCGCTGATAAAAACCGATGGAAATTAATGTAACCGATATAAAAAAAACCAACATTGATAAAAATCAATGGATATTTACATACACTTGTCCATATAACGCGTTTCATATAGAAAAACGTAAAATGGAAAAGATAAAAAATTAATAAATGTACAAATATACGTAATAATTTGTATAAGCGGACCAAATTAATTATTTCATGTTAATGACCCGAGTAAAAATGATTAACCGAAGGATTTAATCATGTAAATTCGGTTGTTCATACGGTAACCATGTTCCATGATTAAACTGATAATAATTGTTATCGATCCAACGAAATATTTTTCTGCGTTGTATATTACAGGGACCTATTGTTAATACCTGGAAGTGGTTACGGAACAATTGTTACTTATCATGCTACACCCACCAGGTATATATGATTAGGTATTAGTGTATATAAATATATCTTGCTATTTCTTTATCCAGTCTTTGCAACCTGAGTATGATATGGATAACGGAGGTAACTTTGGCAACCCTATTGAACAATTAATCAGTGAATTGCGTTGTACTCATGGTGATAGTTGGATGATAACCATCCAAAATGGGTACGATATCTCACGCGATATCATTACCCCTCTATAAATATATCTGGTTAGTATTTATGCAGTCTTTGTAACCTGAGTATGGTATAGATAACGGAGACAATGGCTAAGGGTAAAGAGACCCAGGAAAGAGTGTAATGACTTTAAGAGGTATTTGCGCAATGCGGACGGAAGTACCCTGAGAAGAAACGACATTAAGGTGATATGAAATTCTACATTCTACCTATATATTTTTTTTTTTTTTCCTGAACACAAATCACTCCCTAACTCTCGTTACTCTTAGACCATTGACAACTCCATGGAACAATGCTATTGCTAACAGTTTTGGTACGCGTAAGTAATGTTCAGTCTCTTAGAGTAATCGACGCCGAGTCAGTCTTATGGGAGAAAATAATGCACTCGGAGTGTTCAAACTCTGGGCGGCTTCCCCCGTCTTTTTTAACAGTGTCGGAACATTATGTTCGAGTTACTTCGAATTGCATTACGTCGAAGTGGTCGCACAATGCGACTGTTGGGTTTAAACCGGCTTAAGAATTAATCCCTGAGGTGTACCTCTCCATTAAGGCGAAGTGGACAGTCGGGTGCTCTCCCTTAAGGGATGCGCACGTTAACCCTTTGAGCGGTAGCCCTTTTGCCGTATGGGCGAATTTCCTCAGCCCGGGCAAGCCAAACTGAACCAAACGTCGGACGCACTAATGGGTCCATGGCGCTCAAAGGGTTAGACCCTTAATTCCGACCGCCTTGACATACATCCAGGAGTCAACGTCGTGTCAATGAGAAAACAGGGCGAGGCTGATAACGATAAGGGAATCTCGAGTCGACATTTTGATACTCCTTGAAAATTCTAAATGCAAACCTTAAGGCGACGCGATAGACATTTTGATACTCCTTGAAAATTCTAAATGCAATCCTTAAGGCGACGCGATAGGCATTCTGATACTCCTTAAAAGCTCTAATCGCAAACCTTAAGGCGACGCGATAGAGGCCCGGAAGTTTCGTTAAAAAATGTCGACTCGGATCCGGAATTCCCGAGGTCCAGCTCAGTTGAGGCCGACGTTGTCCGTGGGGTCGTGGATCTCCTCCTTGACGATCGACATCGGAGGCACGATGACCCTGACGTCCGTCTTCCTGGAGACGGAGAGGTCCTCTACCTGGTCCTCGTTCGCGAGGTTGGCCAGGTTGGCCAGGTTGGCCTGTTGCTTCGCCAAGGGGAGGACGGATGGACTGGGACTTCGTCTAGCCATGTCCAGAGCCTCTCTGTCTCCAGGGTCGGGCCTGGTTTTCGGATAACTCGTGTTCTCTGCCAGGAGGCTCGCGTTGTTCTCGCTCTCCCCCTCCGAGAGGCCTCCTCCGCTCCCGTAGATGCTGCCGTTAGCGTTCCCGCCGATCCCATAGGGGAAGCAAGCCCCGCTGCCGTTGGAGCCGCGCTTGAAGGGACGGGAAGTCGTGATGCCTAATTTTTTTACCTTGTCGTAGAGGGTGCGCGAGGGTACCCCGTACTTCCTGGCAGCTTGCAAGGCACTCATCCCGGACCGCACCGCCTCGATGGCCGACATGATGTCGTTCCTTGTATACTGCTTGTACCGCTTCCACTCGGGCTTGTGCACGGGCACGTAGTTGGCGATACCTGGAACACGGATTTCCGCCTTAAGTCGACACAAAAAGGTAATTACATCCTAGCAGGAAGATATTTGATCAAACTTCATTAGTGAAATAATGAATTTTATCAACGATTAAGAAATGAATATATCTTTTATCCGGGCAGATGGCCCCTTCGATTCGAAGATAGTCAACCTGGTGGAGTCCTCACCCGACTTGGTGTCCCCAGGATAGGACTGGGGCGAGGACGCGCGTTTCTCGTCCTCGTCCATCATGGAGACGTCCGTGTAAGGACTATGAAGAGCCTCTCCGTGGATTAATTCGGCGCTGTTCCTCCTGTCGTTGTCGTTATCCGATCCGTTGCTGCTAGGTCTGAACTGAGTCTCGTGTCCCTCGTGGTGAATCCCAGGAGCCCCCTGGGAGCTATCGGCGTGGCCCTGGCCTAAGACGGTCCTGAGGATAGGAGTGTCCCGGTTGACGAGCTGGTTCTGGTATTTCCTTCGTTTCGGCGGCGTGGTTTCGATATTCTCGTCGTAAGACCCAGCCAGGACGGCCCCGGGGTGTTGGGGGTGTCGAGGCTGGACCTGGGGCTCGGGGTTAGCGTGTTGCGGGAGATGAGGGAGTCCTGGGAGGGCCCACATCGGGAGAGACATCCTGGCCGGGGTCCTGTCCATGGAGGACTTCCCATAAAGACCGTACGGGCTGACGGTGGAGTGCGGAGGAGATATCTGCCCACTGCTGTGGACGGCTCCGGGGTTGGTGCTGGTGCTGATGGCCGGTGGCGGCGACCTGGACGGCTCGGCTTCCTCTCGTCTACCCTGGGACCCGTTCTCCTCCACCAGGCCCTTCACCTTCAGGACCTCCGCCACCTTCAGGAGGCCTCCTAGCTGCTCCTGGGCGACGTTCACCTCTCCTCGGTACATGTACTCCAGGATCGCCTTGATCTCCGAGTACTTGACGTCCTTGAGGACCACTATCGGGTGTTTGCAGGGCAGGTCGATGAAGAGGGCCTGGAAGTACGAGGAGCAGGCTGCCAGGACCATCTTGTGGCACTTCACCGAGGAACCCCCGTCCACGGCTAGGGTCACGTCCGTGAAGGCCTCGTTCTCCAGCAGCTCGTCGAACACCGTCAGCAGGTTCGACCGGTGGTTGTTCCACCGGAGGCAGTACTGCTGCGACGCGGTGCACATCGTGAGGGGTGTCTTCGCTTTAATCTGGAATTATATGGATAGGTTATGGAATGATATTGATAGGTCATGAAATCGTAGGGATAGGTTATGGAATGATATTGATAGATCATGAAATTATATGGATAGGTCATGGAATCATATTAATCATATTAATAGATCATGGAATCATATGGATAAGTCCTCGTCTAAATCAGGAAAAATCCACCGAGGGTTGGAAAACTCCTCGCGCAATATCGCGGGTAGGGGAAGAAAAAGCTGCAGGTGAAATCGGCTTTGGGGTGGGAATAGCTTTCCAAAGGCGGAAACCGGCCAGAGGGGTAATTGACCAGCAGGGGATGGATAAGGGTAAGGGTACCATTATGGGACCCCATTGTCAGCCCAGGGACGGATTCGACACGCTCACCGTATTCGCGGGACAATCCCGAACGATAACTGGCCCTCGAAACAAAAGACAACGCCTAGTCGTTTTTACCCGGAGAAAGTTGAAAATCCAAAAAAAAAGAAAATTACCTAACCGGATTAACCTCTTCAAAGGAATAAAAACTACGCGATCCCTCCATTCTCTTTTCCCTGATATTACCCCGTTAAACCTGCCCTGTTAAAGGTGGACGTTAAAATGTATACGCCATTTCATGAAAAAAAAAAAGACTAATATTATTTGGTAAAATGTAAAATAAATTAATTAAATAGGTGAAGAAATTCTTTTATACCAGGAAATCAAGTTGCGATCTGGCCAACTATTTCGGATGTTTTTCGGAGGACTCATAGATTGGCAGAGTTTAAAGGGCAAGTTTATCGGGAAGAATGCTTCCCAAATACTCCCACTACTCCTCGGGGGGAACACGTGCGCATTCCCATTATATTCCGCGTTTACTGCGCAGAAAAGGAAGACGGCAGTCACGGTTCACTCGGGCAAGGCCACCTCGGCCCCCGAAAGATCGATACAAACATAAATATCTGCATTTTCCGGAGCAACATAACCTCCCCGCTTTATCGCGCCTTCTACGTCCTTTCGACCCCTAACCTCAATTTTCCCCAACCAAAGGACCTACAAAAAAATGTTCCTCAAAAGTTTGCGAAAATTTTCACCCTCCCCGTATTTTGTATCTACAAATAAATGGTATTCAAACGTTTGCGAGAATTTTCATCCTTCGCGAAGGACGAACGGTGGAGGGCCACGTAGGAAACGATAAACAGGAACCGGCGCATTCCGAATACGTAATCGCCACGCAATCGGGTAGAGAACCTTTCGGCTTACGTCAGGAACCTGCCTCTTAGCGCATACAACGGCGACGAGAAGAAAACAACTTGACACGGGCACGAGCCGGGAGCAAATAAACAACTCCGCTCCCAGCTAATAAAAACGCCCGAAAAAACAAGATGGCTACCAGACTAAAGGATGGCAACCCATCCAGATGATTTACAGTTTCAAACGAGTACCCGCAAGCAACACCTTTCACGAGGGGAATTTCATGCAAATTTAACATCGCTTGTCTATTTTCTAGTCATTTCTAGCGTTGTAAAATCGACGGTTTAGGTGGTCGAAATTCGAGGAGCGTCGTCGAGGGGAGACGGATTCGCCATATTGGAAAAGCGATGCCGCGGGCGATTCCTCCGTCCCGATTAAAAATAACCAACGCCAGCCTCGGGGAATAGTTTCCCACATTATGGCGGAGAAAAAGTAGCGCGCTCCCTAATCGCCATAACCCCGAATCGGCAGTCAGTCACGGTCGCCGCTTCTCCTCGTTTTTATTGCCTACGTCTTCCTCGGCTTCGCGGTATACGAAACAAAATGGCGGACCCGTTCGCAAACGAGCGTACTTACGCGCATGATTTAAATAAATCATTCCTCGCTTTTATACCCTACTACTTCGCGAAATACAAAACAAAATGGCGGACCGTTTGCAAATGAAAATATATACGAGTAATGATTTAAATAATCCTTTTCTCGTTATTATTACCTACGACTTTCGGAAATACGAAACAAAATGGCGGACCGTTTGCAAATGAAAATATATACGCGTAATGATTTAAATAATCGTTTCCTCGTTATTCTACCCTAATGATTTACCGTTAAAAAAAATGTTACCTTTCTAAGTAGTCGGCAGAAAAATGCTTGTCTATTAACCCTGCGTACCTTCGGCCTGGTATATCGAGTCGGCAAATTCCTCAAGAATTAGTTGTCTAATTACCCAACCGTGGGTCCGGGAGTCTTAATTTGCTTCGAATTCGAGGTTTCGACGGATTCCAGGAAGGAGCCGTCAAATTACAACTCGCAAAGTAGTTTCGGTGACTGTCGTAATCCCTAATCCTAATCGCCTCGCTATTCGGTACGTCGATAAGGATATCCGTTCAAAATGGCGAATGTGAAACGAAATGAATGGGAATACTAGAAACGTTTCGATAATTACCGATATCGTATACGAATGTTTAAACGTTCCCCCGCCACTTAACGAATTGCGGTATTCTTTTTTGTCCTTTTCTTGCCTTTCCTACAAAATCCGTGAAATTTCGGGGGAAAAATATACGTAGACCGCGGTTCCTCGGGATCGGCCGGAAGTGCCGGTTGTCGCCACTTCCGCCTTATTCGCTCGATCGCGCAGTGACTCACGGATTCGGTGAGTCGAAGCCCTTCTGCGTTTTCCACGTGCCTCGATCGCGACATCTGCGGTTTCCCCTCCTTCGTTCGAGGAACGTTAGAAAATTACGAGAGATATTCCGACGCGAACTCGATAACGAACAATTTTTTTTCTTTTTTTTTTCAACGGAACTTCCTTACATCACCGTACGTCGTCAAAAGATATTACAAGATAATATCAAAACGTTTCATGTATATATTGGTTTGGCAACTAAATTGCGGATTCCTCGACAGATGGTATTATATTAAAAAGTCCGCAGTCACTTGGTTGCCAGCCCAATGGAACGACCCTTTCGTATCACCTTAACCTTAACGCAAATTTGTACATATAATAACCTTAAAAGCGCAACTTTGAACAGTGCAGGGGGAAAGAGAAAAAAAATAAAACTGGAACTCCGGCGTTTACATCGGCCGGGATTTGGGTGGACTTACTTGAAAGCTGCGCCGCAGATCTCCCCGGGAGGTTAGGGGACGGTGAAAGAGTCTCGGGTGCCTAGGGCAGGCTCGTCTCCATGTATAAAATGCCCTCGGGAAGTCGAGGAAGGCCAGGAACTCGGGACGTTCAAGATAGGGATCCGGAGAGGAGCGTCATCGTCTCCGCGGAGTCCGCGGTGGTCGTTCGGTTGACTTCGGCAACCCTCGGGGACGCTCGGCTCGGTCACGTGTACCGGGGGTGGGGGTGGGCCGGGAGTAGTCCGCTCGGCGCGAGTGGATTTCAGCGAAGGCGACGCTCGCGCGAAGGCGGCGTTTAAAGACTGAAGGGCTGCGGGCTGCTCGGCCGCGGTAGGACCCTGCCCGGGAAAACTCGGCCGACCGGTCGGCGAGGGCGAGACGGCCGCCGAAGTTCCACACTCTTTTCCACGCACGGGAACCCCCACCCCGGGAAACTGCACCGCGCGCGGCTGCACGCCACACCCGCACGAATTCTGAAAGGAGGTTGGACGAAACCGAAAACGCGGGCCCCTCTGCCCCCCTCTCCCTCCGCACTCCACCAAGATGGCGGCCGTGACTATCGTTGTCTAGGTCTAGGGCCGTTCGAGCCAGCATGCCCCTCGCTCTACGCGCGAGGGTAGATCGAAGCCTCGAATCGTCAAAATATGTTTCGCCATAAGGTGAAACTTCGATTCGGGAAAAGTTTCGCTATAAGGTGAAACTTTGATTCGGGAAAAGTTTCGCTATATGGTGAAACTTCGAGTCGGGAAAAGTTTCGCTATATGGTGAAACTTCGGGTGGTGAAGAGTTTCGCCGCATGGTGAAACTTCGAGTCGCGAAAAATTTCACCTCGTGGCGGTACCTCGATTTCCAGGATTATTCGTTACAGCTTTCCTGCGAACTGGCCCCTCCTTGGCGGGGAAGTTCGCCCAAGGTCCATGGAGTAAGGCGAGGGGTAGATGGCGGGTCGCCGCGTCGCGCACCCCTCGGGGAAGATCATCGACTCTGGAGCCTGATGGAATTCGGGGCCGAGGCGAGTGGCTGCCCTTTTCTCTGGGTTTTGGAGGTTAGGCTAGGTCCTGCACTCCCGTGGCTCACGGTCAATCTCGAGATGTAACTCGGAGGATTCTCTGGCGAGGGTTTCGAGTTTTCGACCGTTTTAACCGAACCGGGAAAAAGGGTTATTACGGAGTCGAGGGTCAGCCGATCTCTCGGGGATGATAAAGTGAGGTTGAGAGGTTTTCGGAATTGTTGGGACCCGAGAGAAAATCCTGGGGTCCGACGTCCAGCTGGAATCCAAGCCTGGGCCCGGCTCGCTCTCTCTCTCACTCCGATTCTCGTTGGTTAGGTTAGGTTGCGTCGCCAGAGCCGTTCTAGGTGGCCAATGGCAGCCGATGGCCCCGAAAAAGCGGAGTCGAGCGAAGTCACGGCTCTTGGGAGCAGAGGGGTGGACCGTCTTGCCTGGCTTTCCAATTCTTAGCCTTGGCCGAAACCGCGGAGCCTGATTTTACTTTGTTCTAGGGCCAGGGAGAGAAAATAGGCCAGGGTTTATCGCCTCCGCAGGAGGGTGGAACTCCTTCCCTCGAAGCCGCCATCTTGCCTCCTCGGCCGCACTTCTTTCTGCAACAGAGAACACCTTCGTATTCCGTACGACTTTCCCTGCCCGAAAACCTAATCCCAGATAATTAAATCATGTCCTTTCGAGTTTACAGCACCCCATAAATCACCCAACAATGCCGAAATACGTGCCCTCTAGCATCCTCACTTGTGCAGTGATATGCCCATCTCAAACCCCGCCGAAACAAAACAAAAAAAATATATATATAATGACAAAATAAAAGAATATATAAAAACGTATATATAATGACCCTTTCGTATTACCTTAAGAAAGTCGAATCGCATGGCTTTCGTCTAGGATGCGATAATAAAACCGATCGGCGTAAAGGCAGAGATTTAGGTCGATGCTCCGTAGCTAGGACGGACTCTTCGAGGCTCAAGGCCAAGCGCATACCCAGTTTTCCACGCGTGCATGCGCATAGACGCAGCGCGCATGTAGACTCACGACGCGCCCGCACCGCGGCGCACACAGACACGGCGAACTAGCTGCGCGACCATGTGGGCGCGCCGCGACTCACACATGCGAGCCGCGGCTCACGGACGCGTGCCGCGATACACATGCGGGCCGCGGCTCACGGACGCGCGCCGCGACTCACACATGCGCGCTACGTCTCATAGCGGTGCACGAATCCGCTCCCCTCCCGGAGGCCTCTGATTGGCCGGCGCGCGTTGCGCCTTTCTCGGTCCGTGCACTCTGCGCGGGAGGGAGTGGTGGAAACTCGTAGGCCAGCCACCCTTAGAACGACCTTGGATGCGTTCCATTGCCTTGCTTTTCTAGCTCCTCGATGCCTCGCACCGGGTATACATGCCGATTTTTACAACGCAGGATTCTACGAGTTTTTTTTTCCTCGACTCGCTTAAAATCCTTCGCGCTATTATAAACGATTTACAATACGACGTTAATATGGCGGTCATTAGGAAGAACCTGACCCCCATGAAATTTCAAAGTAAAAAAATGTCTATAAATATTTTTGACATTTTTTTATTATAAAATGAAATCTCATGAGTATCAGAACCTACGTAAGAGCTTTGATATTCACGTAATGAAGTTTTAAGCGATTTGGTACACCCAGTTAATTAGAAAAGTTTCATGAACGATTGGCCTTTCGGATGCCCTTGACGCTACTATAAATTAATATGTACACGTGTATATATACATATAGTAAAGGTACGGACAGTCAAAATGTGTAGATCGTCGAAATGAATGCCTCTGGAGAGCGTTTTAAGGGGTCTTCTGGGTTGCCAAGTGGGAAACGTCGGCTCGTTGAGGAAAATCGCCACCACGCCCTTCTTCGCTCGAGCGCGCCCGCCGATGGCGGTGTTAGTGACCATAGTCGTGACGATGGCATCGGCATCGTACTCGCTGGTATTGGTTAGGTTTATCGTCCGTGATCCTCGCCTTCTGTTGGCGTCACATGTGGTTCGAGGGACGCAGGGTGCGCCTTCTTGAAATCCGATGCCCGGGGAGATACCTAGCGCGGAGGATCGCGAAATGGCGGCGGCGACCGCCACGTAGGAGCCTCGTCTCGTTTATCCGTCTACAAACCGCCTTATCCATGGCGCGATACGCGGAAGATACCCGCCGCAAACATGGCCGCGCGCATAGATTACGGACGCGTATCGAAAGCGCGTAAACCCTATCCCGAAGTGGCGAGCGGGTCGCTCGATACGGCCGCGCGCGCCGCCATTTTGAATCCGGCTCGCCTCGGCCAATCTGTGGTTTTTAGATAGTAATAGGAAATTCAGGCGCCCCCCGACATAGGAAATATACCGATAATTAGATGCTTCCAGGTAGAGAGAAGCCACAAATGACGCAACGGACCCCCTCTGTCGCTCAACGAAAGGAACGTGAATTTTTTTCCGCGAGGCGGCACGTCGACTCTCGAGGAGCTCGAGCGCGCCGCCATCTTGTAAAGGGTTCGCGGCCTTCCAATCGATCTGCATTTCCACGAAATACGGTTACTAATTTAAACGCCCCCGAGTTTGGGAGGCTATCATCTAACCGCATTCCTCCCGGCAAACCGTACATTCCGACAACCCTGAAATTCGACTTAGAAACCATGAAGCATTGAATATCTACAGGGAGACGACCTGCCAATCCGCCATCTTGAAAACGCCCCGCGATCCAGAAATTCGCAAACGCGATTTCCTTCCAACAATTACTGAAAAGTCAATAAGAGGCTTAACAAAATACCTCTATGGTTCAATGCACTTTTCTTTTTTTCCCACGGTGAGAATGCAAACGTCTTCCTTCCCGTTTTTACAAGTAATCATTCGCGGGAAGGTAACGAAGTAACGAAATAAGTGTCGAGGCCCTAACATCGGAGAAACTCGAAAGTTGAGAGCCCACGCAAAAGGCAGCCCGTACGAGTCGTCGACGGAAAATCGCCACGACTTCCCCCTCGAGATGCATTTATCTGCGTCCGGATGAATTCCTGTGTAAATCGGTGTGTAAGTTTCGGCGTACTTGTGTGGGGAACTTTCGGGCTCGGGGCGGACGAGTGAGAGCGCTCACGTGTATACGTACGCGGGAGTGCATGCGCTCACGCGAGCGCGCTCACGTGTGTCCTCTCGCGCATCTACGCGTCCACTAATAGACGCGCCGCGTGTGTCGGTGGACGTCTAGGAGAGACGCAGAGAGGAGGAATGCCACGGTGGCAAGGTGAATCTTTGTCCCGTTGCGCCCTCCGAAAATTCCCTCTCCAAGCCGGATGGCCGATGCGGGTCTTCCCACGAACATTTTCTTTTTTCCTTTTCTCCTTCTTTTTTTTTCTCGTACCTCCCCCCAGCCCCTCGCCCCCGCCTAGCACCACCGATCTCGCGAACTAGGATCCTCTCGACTGCCTTTTCGGTTGATAACGCGGACTACGAGACGCTTTTTTAAGGGGGCGAATTCCTATTGACGATTTTAAAACATTCCGTTTTATATTGATGTGATTCATTGTAAGAACCTTGCGAGTACCTATTCCCTTTCATATGTACAAACTAAACAAGCACTACCGCCATAAGTTCTATTTTAAAACCACATTAAACAGTCTACTTAATGTACGACACCTGGTTTACTAAGACAATGCAGATGTGCGGAAAAAGAAAAGAAAAAAAAGAAAAAGACACGGTTTGCGTTTTAATCCCATTTGGGAAATGCGTTCTAGGAACAGGTGTTTCCGAGCAACGGTTCTCTCCTCATCCCTTTGAGAATCGCACCTGTTCCTGGGGATGCTGGGAAAAAGGACCCTGAATAGGTGCATCCTGTGACAAAGGAGAGGTGTCCCGGGTTTACAGAAAAATACCGGTTTTTCCGCGAAGACGCAATCTACGGGACGGAATTTTAGGTCTACCTCGGTACAATCGAATATCATTTCTCCGGTGGAGTGGCAGGCCGCATACGTGCCATCTTCCTCGGAGGAAAGATAGGAAAAACATGGGGAAGATATTTATAATCGTGAAACGGCACTATCGGGCTTAGCGATGGGTAAACATTCGGTTTCTCCGGTTCTTGGGCCCAAGATAATGTCCCACGTAGAATTTCGGGCCTTCCCTAACGCGTTTGCATTCTCACCGTTCGCCCATCCGTCCGCACAATTAAAAAAAAAAAAATAATTCCCAAGGATATTACATAAAAAAATGAGTTAGACTGCCTTCAGGAAATGTCAATACCTAAAAATGAGCTAATGAATTTCTTTTACGTAAATGATTTCCCTGTTTAAACGATTTAACCAGGGATAATGTCTTTTGCATAAATCATTTTGATGTGCAAAACCCTTAGACTGGAATTAATGTCGGGATGAAGTTTGCGAAATTTTGGAAACGCCTCTGCGTTGGTCTAGGGGCTAAAGAACGATTTAAAAATAGATTTCGGCCCTTTCGTTTTCGAGTTTTAACGAGCCAAGGACATTTGCTTTCGTCGAGCTGTGGCAACGCTGATTTAAGCGAACCGAGAGTCGTTTCGAAAATCCGAGGTTTCCTGCCATTTTCGAGGATTTCGTAATGGGTGTCCACACTAAAAAAAAAAGAAAAAATGTTATCGTTAATATTACTACAAGCATCTGGTTATGATTTCTGCAGTTGACGTTAACGCAAAACTCTTATTAACGTCACTAGAAAGTTCTGATTACAAAAGTCTGGTTGAATTTTACATAAATATATTTCTATGCTACCAAGCAATTATCCACTAATTCATTCAAGCGTAATTATGAGTAATGCTTGTTCTGCTTTTTTTTATTTGCAGTATTGTAGGTGTGTTATACATAAATATACGAGACTGCAATGACTACAGTCGATAAAAAAGGGAACGCTGGCACATTGTTAAATTTATATTATTAAGACGACTCACGATGGTCCACTTAAATGTACTATGGAAATTACTTCTTTTTTATTAACGTTTTAGGTTTGTTATTAGTTTAATATTTCATACAAAGCTTAGATTAATAAATACTATAGATCAGGTATTTAATGAATTTGTAGGTTAACCTTATTCCAAATCAGTCTGGACCGTTTTACTTTCCCTGGGTGGGTCCATATTCAGAGAGCCATACTTATTAGCGACGTTAATGATTTCTCTCAAAACGTTGTTCTCTTCCCTTAAACGGGACAATTCTTCCTTCTCTTTTAACTCGGACTCCTCGTCCATCGCTGCGGCAGCTTTCATTACCGCTGCCATTTCGTCGATTTTTTCAGCTTGTCTAGCGATAATCTGCATTAAAAGAATAAGAATATGTTGAAGTGTTCGTACCATCTTCTAAAGATTTTATTAACTATTTAACGATTCGCTTATGCCCTGCCATAAGTCTTACGTCTGTATATTTAGAGGCTTGTAACGCCGCAAAGTCTGTTTTACAATTTCGAATGGAGAAAGAAGCCTGTTGTCTATATTTCGTCATGACCAACTGTAAAACGTTCTGATGGTCCGTCAATACATTCTTTAACATCTTATTTTCGAGCTGTATTTCCCGCAGGTGTCGATTTTCCTGCTGTATTTCAGCAATTAAATGCGAGTGCGGTCTTTGCTTAGCCTCGGTATTCAATATTTCTATTTGGTCTTGATACTGAAATCGAGCAGTGGATATCCATTAATAAATCGAAGCAAAGTATAAGCTAAAGATGAGTACATTAATTCATCATTGATAATTATTTACTATACTTAATAATCTGCATCATATAGAAACGCTTTACTTACTTGTCTCATATTCTCGATCTTACTGTACACTGACTGTATCTCCGTGATTAAATTATCTGCAGTGCTTTCTTGGTCCGATATTCGACCTACCAGCTTTTTCGCATCAAGAATTATCTGCTGGAATGTCAGTGACATCTGGGAGCTGGCGTATTGTCCACCTAAGAATAATGTCCTCGTGGAATTGTTAATACTCGACAACAGTATCTTGGTACTTACACTTAAAAACAGTAATGTAATACTTACAGTAGATGTATTTAATGAATTTTTAGGTTACTTTTCGAAAATCCCTGAAGCGGGACGGATCAGTGCTGCAAACAAGTGTCTATACTGGTTTATACCTTTGGAATCTGAAAACTGGTGTCACGATCTGTTTAGAGCCTTGAAATAAGCGTTTCTTACCGGAAATAAAAAGCAGAGTTACTTATTAATTAACAGATCCCACTCGTCTCATCTTCAACTTAAAGCCAAATTTGTAAATACAGTATCATCGGATTTGTGACATTTACCAAACTTCAAGAAAGTAGACATGGCCGCCATTTTCCTTCGTCTCTCGTGCGCCATCTGAAGGGAAAAGTATACATTATGTGCACGACATTTATACAAATTTAAATACGAATGTTTAAATTATCCAAAATAGCATTACCACTAAAAATGTATAAATAAATTTTATTTTATTAACGCCGATTTAATTTTTCAGCGGCTTTCATGTAACCTTAAGTCTTACAAAGTAAATGCAAAGAAGATCACAATTACTTTAAATTTCCTTTCATCTCGCTATTAAATACTTTTATTACAAAACGTTACCATTAATTACTGCACGATTTACTTCAAATCCTTATTTACACATGTTTGTACGACGTACGTATAAATAGAAAACTTAGTAATACATTATTCGTTGTGCTCTTACTTTTCACTTTTCCTCGTAAGACAACTCTTAACTACGGAGATGATCTTTTTCTTCCAGTCGCCTTTAACACGTCTCAGAAGTAATCTCTTTGTAGAAATGTTGTGCAATGGCCCAAAGGCTAAAGCAACGGCTGTGCAGGCCAAACAAATCACATTATATGGCATACTAAAATCAGGAGTCGGTAGACTGATCAGTAGTGATTCGGTACGAAGTTGCACCAAGTAGCCATCACGAGATGCATTGAAGCTGCGACGAGGAAATTATTAAATCACTTTTAAATAGTTTCATCACAAGCTAATGAAAAATCATTTACCATGACGTAATGGTGCTTCCGTCTAAAGGTAAGGCGGTGTAATTTCTTGCAATCGGCAGCAGTGCTGTTATTATCGCAGGCCCCATGTAAAAACCATGGTTGGCGTCTGGTGGATATTCTTGCCATTTAAGGAAGGAATATTCGAGATCTATGGAAATCTTTGTTATCGAATGCGGAGGAAGTGAAACTATCAATTCAAGCTGATGTGGCCGCATTCTTTGCCTTCCAGGCACATATTTCTGAACCACTAGTAGGAAAAACAAATTAATTGTCATATTCAGTCATCTTTCCAAGATATTCTATTCAATTAATCAACATGGAATCAACCAATACTGAACTTACATGGCGAAAATGTTTTTCCATTGCATGTTATTTTCATGGTATGCATGTACACCGATAAATACCATGGGATGTTTTGCAGGATAACAACATGTAAAGGCTGCCAGTGATTATTATGTAGACTTGTGATGATACTTCCTTTTTCTTGTCCATAACCTCGGAAAAGAAATTCACAAAAATTTAACTATTTGTAATTTTGAATGATCGATGAATAGAATGCAAAGTATGTGACTATTACTTACCATTCAAGTATCTGTTAACGAACAGGATCGTAGGGATGTTTATAAGGCTCTCTCTTGGTGTATTGGATGAAAGAGCGACACTAAACATTCCTCTTCTGGAATGGAAATTGACATCGTAAACTACTATTTCATTCCGCTGTCCCCCTCTTAAGCTAATTATCGTTGTATTTGATGGGGGACTCAATGAATAAGTGTAACTGGTCCCATTTGTTGTTACATCTACGTAAACTTTACTAGAACTGGCGAGTGGGCATGCTCCCTTTATTCCCATACCGAAAAGTCTCCTGACCGACCAATCCTGAGAAGTGTAAGAAAAAGAATAGATTATTACATCCAATGACAAGTAGAAATTTATTCAGTCTCATTGTTTAACCTTTTAATTCAGAAAAAAAATTTTTAAATATTACCTGTGCAGTATCTGACATTGCATCGTATACAAGAGAGATAGTTTGACGTAGCTCTAGGGATGTACGAGTACAGCCGGAATTTTGACACACTGATCGGAAGTGAATCCCCAAAGAGTGATAATGAGTATTGTGAATGTGCACAGAATTCAATAGAGTTGCCAAACCTTTCTAAAACACAACCAAGTTAGGATAAAGGTGGAAGCTGTACCGTATCATTTAGATTTCTATATCTTAATGTTACCTTTGCATCACACGGCAGTAATTTTTTAAATGGAGTTAAATTTTCTGTGCACACTATTTCTCGAGGTAGGGAAGAGTATCGAAAGTGTGAAAAGTTTACTGTATCCTTAAGGGCACCAGTTGGGCTAAAAGTAAGCACTGGTGATATACTGTTTGAAGGGCCAACAAAATTCAGTGATGCACAGATCAATCCGGCCAATGCGTTTGTGAATGATTTCCATGAATCGTCGACACTACAAAAGAAATAAAAAAGAAACCTTTTTAAAAATCAAATATTTTATATATCTGAAAGACTCTCTAGGGAAATAATTTTTTTTATCATTGACTTTTGAAATTGTTTAACTTTACATGGTACGATAACCTCACTTACTTTGTAACGTTTTTATTAAACCAAGCAAATACTTCTGCTCCTGTACCTGCATCATAATGAGGATACCCCCACTTTTCATAATTCCACAATCCTTCGGTCAATGTAACATGCATTTCATCCACATCGTGACGTCCAATAATTTCACCCAGCGCTCGAGGAAATAAGTGTGTGTGCCGAACTGCAAGCGAAATAATTCAAGTCCACTGAATATTATATTAAAATAATGGCATGTACAAACAATGAACAATACTGCTTCATGTCAAGCTACTCAATACTTTCTTTATCGTAATTTAATTACTATTCGCCTACTTACGTGTATGCAATGAGGATTCTGTATCCCACAAAGTCGTGAATTGAAAATACGCATAAAGGTGTCCGCTAGTTAATGGCTTTAAAAAGAGCTCCTCGTAAAACGAATCTTTTTCTTTGGCATTACTTTGCGCAACATTAAACAATATTATTCCGAGAATTAAAGGCCATCGGAGTAATGAAAACATGGCTAACCTCAAATTCGATTAAAGGGACGCAGCCCAGCGCACTGGGTCCGGACTCAATAAATCCCGGATTTAAGAGTGCGATGTAGACCTAACCTATTTATTTCGTTGCTCTCGTTTCTTCCGTCTCGATTTAACCTGATTTAAGCCCGCCGAAAACGTCCACGGCGTGCTGGCCGATATAAATGCAAACGGGTGCGGAGATTCGCGCGGTACCGACGCTGTTTATTCGATGTTAAAGTTTTCCTCGGAGAATCTGCGAGTCCTTAAAGAGGAGACGTAAGGAAAGTAGAAAGAGAAACCGCTCGAGGCCGAAGAACAGAACGCTACGAGAATTAAAACTCCGAAGAGGACGTAAGTGATGAGCCCACTGAACAAGGGTCCGGTTTTGGGCTCGGGGATGCCCATGGGGGCCATGCGACTCCCATATCCACGATTTGGCGCGAGACCCCCGCCTCCAGGAATACACCCGAGAATGCCGCCACACGTCGCGGTGACGTTCGGCCCACCAAGCATGAGAATGTCTCCCCCGAGGCCTGGTGGCCCTTCGTGGTCTGGTGGCCCTCCGAGGCCTGGTGGCCCTCCGTGGTCTGGTGGCCCTCCGAGGCCTGGAGGTCCACCTCCTCCGTTCAGGGCCAGAAGCCGTGGCATCCCTCCACTGGTTCCACCGATGATGGACGTCAGGCCGATGGGCCCACGGGGAGTGCTCGTCAGGCCGATCAGGCCTGGCATGAGGGCCATGGTCGTTCCCCCGCATAATCTCCCCAGGGCGAGGCCAAGGTTCCCTCCGGCCAATGCTAGTCCCAAAGCCAAGAATGCCAACAAGGCAGCGATCGTGAACAAGCTCAAGGTGATCAAAAGATATAGACTAGATTCAAATTGTTGATTTAATGCAATGCGCAAGACGTGGAGAGATTTAATCGATGTTACTAAAAAGGAATTCTGATATACCGTCTAACCGATAGACTATTTGAAACTATGCATTATGGTATCAACATTTATATTTATGTTGTTCTTCTTTACCTTAACTTTCTAATCGACCATTATGACCCACAGGACCTGGAACTGAAGAAGCCCTGGATGACCGATGAGATACGAAATGAGATCCAGAAGAAGAATAAACTCTATGCCAAGGCCAAAAAGAACAAGGATGCTAAAGAGTGGGAGGAATTCAAAGATTTGCGCAATAAAGTGACGAGGATGATAAGGGATGCAAAGAATGAGTATCTCGCAAAACACCCTGAACAGGTATGTACATCTTCTTTCTAGTTTGGCTTAACAAAATGCCATTAGCGATGGCATAATTTTTCGAACGTTTACTTCCACTTGATCGTAAACAAGAATCATGTCTTAATTTACGGTAAAGAGTCTCGTACAGTTTTATGAAACGTACCACTGGGTGTACAGGTAGGTAAACGAGTGAGATTTAAAATCGACGAACTTTTTCACTTGATACGTTCATCTTAACTTCTAAGAAAGTTCTGGCGAAGCATTGCTCACATCAGTAAATGTTAGAAAGTTTATTTTAAATGCATTGCTAGTCAGGGTGAGAATTCGACGTCAAGCTCACGAGTGATTTAGTGCAAACGAATGACACGGTTGGATCGCTTTGGTTGCAGGCTGGTCAAAAGACGGGTGATAAGAGTACAGTCGAGTCCCAGGGTGTTCAAAACACTGAGAACTCTGCCGAGATAACAGAGCAAACTGAGAAACCCGAACAAACTGAGAATACTGAGAATACTGAGAGTACCGAGAATACCGAACAATCTGAGCAAACAAGGCAAGGGGAGCAAACGGAGCAAAAAGAGGAGACGCAGCCTTCCAGCGAACAGGCACAGTCTTAAGCTTCAGGCTACTCCTCCTTCGAGATTCTAACCATTCAAAAAGAGAAAAGGTTTCAAAAACTATTTCCAACTCTAACTCGACCTCGGATTTATTCTCTTTTTAAAGAGATCGATGAGTCATTTTTTCTACTTTTTCTCAATCTCAATTAACCTTTGTGAACATAATTTCTCATTAAGCATTTAGTAAGATGTAAGCGGTTGCATGCGACTTGAGCAATATCGATTCGAGTAACGGAAAAACAATCTCTTTGCCAGACACGTCTTGTTAAACAAATTGTTCCATGGAGCAAGGGTCTTCGACTTTAGATATCACTGTTTGTACATTATTACACAAGGAAGAACTTGCTGTCTATTGAATATATCAATAGACTAGTCCAATTGCTCTTGGTCAGTGTACAGTAATCGAAAGCTAGAAATTACTCACCCCTTGATTTTTCATATCAGAGATGGACCGCTCTCGAATGCTGGAAATGTCAAACGCACTTTTAGTTGCGAAGGGTTGAAAATTGTTTAGAGAGGCTACGGTAACAAAAACGACAAAAACGGTAATTACCTGACCTCTGTCTCTGCACATTCTGAATTGTACTCGATGACACTTCAGCGAAGTGAAAGTATACGTACAGAATGATCTATTCTCTGTATTTGTAAAATTGTGTTGATCACGTGTTTACCTGTGAATTTGTTGACTCGATAAGTACCTTATTAATTAGTGGATGCTTGATTAGTATTGCCTGCCTCGTAGCAGAGACAAAAAGTATTCGCCATGCAATTGGTCGTAGGCTGCCGGTGCATTTGATTTCAGGAAATATCGACAGTTGCCCATTTCTGCTTAGTATGTCTTACGTTCCGAATAATTGCATTAACTTCATGATCGTTTAATAAGCTTTAAGGAAACTTTAGTGCGTAATGTCGAGTCACGTTGATTTCTGTAATCGTGCACGGGGTAGCCAAAATTCTGTAGCTTAATCTTTTTCTATCGTTGTCTCTTTGCTTTTGTATCTAATTTGTATCTTGATCTCCCAATTTATATCAATTCCATTGGACGTGCTGAAACATAGAAATCCTCCCGATTGTGAATAAAATTGTATTTAAGACGTATTATATTGTAAAAATAAATCACATTTGTACAAATTCTAGTCGCGTTGTTTCCTGACGAGTTGCAACGTGTGAAATGTCAACGTACCTTTTAGCCTTTTAAATGCACCGATTTTTTATTCCCTTTCAGTTTGATTTAACGGACAACACAAACATCACTGAATTGTAATTATAACTCGCAGTTGGTAGGTTTTTTTATTTTAATAGGTTATACGACGGAACAGAACAAGATTTCACTATAAAACCAGGATAAATAAATAGAAACTGTTATTTATCCGGACTCGGATGAGGTAATGTACAACTCGGAGTAGGACGTAGCAGAGGTAAGATGTTTCTTTACCTCGACGTCTGTAATCGACACTTTCCCACGAAGAATCCGCACGAGCAACCCCTAACTTTAAAATACAGAATAAATGGATACCTTTAATTGGAATACCATTAAATGAAATAAACAAGAACATCAGAAAATATGAAATGAAATATTATCTTTCTTACTATAGGATTAAGATCGTTAAATAAGTTTTGGTTTTCAGGCTAACCAGTATCAGGATGACGAGAATACGTATTACTCGGAGGAAGACATGGACAGTGCCTCCGAAGAGGAAACCCCTCTATACTGTGAGGTCTGCGATCGAGACTTTCCTACACAGAATTTATTGGAACGGCACAAATCAACACACAAGATCTGTGGAATCGATGGCTGCACATTTTCTGCTCACCCTAAATTAGTGGAAAAGCATATAACAATGCAACATTGTACGGGACTCTACGATAAAATCAAGCACTTGAATACACCGGAGGATATTGAAAAATGGATCGCCGAAAGAAAAAGGTTAGCTTCTGCATATCATTGTTCTTTATCACTGATACATGTTATTCTTTTATGATTTAATAGAATCGCTGTGATATCCTGGCTGTAAAAAAATTGTGATTTTAATCGAATCATTTAAAAAAATTTAGAATAATAATTTAAATCGGCTCAATGATGTAAATGATATGTTCAACTTTTTCATACTCTTTTTTTATTCCATTTTGGTTAATTCTAGGAAATATCCCACTACAGCTAATATAGAATTAACAAAGAGTGCACAAGCCGAGAAGGTACAGCGAGGGGAGGTTGTGGAACGGAACAGCTCGATGAAGCGACAGAGGCTAAGAAAAGGTTTTAATAAAAATAAGAAGAAAAGTAATCCAAGGACAGAGAAAAGTATTCAGAGTGACGAACCAAATGAAGCAGTTCAACTTTATAGGGGTTTGCAAGAATTCGCAGGAACTAGTGCGTCTATTTTAATTACCTTGCTATAATTATTTCTTGTCTTTTTTTTTTTTTTCTAATTTAATACTGGATACAATTTTTAGCTAGTTTAGCTGAACTTGAGGAAGTCAATATAAGCGAAGGTCCTCCACCAGTTGAGGAGGAAACAAGAGTTGTAAGCAATGAGGATAGTATAAACGATACACACAAGGACATGATCTCTGACGAGGAAGAAGAATCGAGTAAACCTGTTGAACCTGTTGCTAGTAAAAACAAAAATATTTCCTTTCTACCGAGTTTGGTGGCAGATTATGGAAGTGACTCGGAAGGTATTGTGCATTATGCAGTTTCCAATTGTTCCTGTGTCGATTAAGTTAATATTTACATCATGGTTTCTTTTCTCTTTTTAGAGGATCAACCAGAAGAGATACCCATTGAGAGAGAGAAACCAGAAGAGATGTCCATCGAAAGGGTGAAACCAGAAGAGAAGCCCATCGAGAGGATAAAACCAGAAGAAATAAGTGTCAAGACTGACACGTGTAAAGAGAATAAATCACCGAGTCCTGAGAAAACCTCTAATAACAAGATTGATGAAGAGAGCGGTAAGACAGGGAAACGTTTGCCATATGGAAAGAAAAGGGGAAGAGAATTGGATCGGAACACCCTAGAAAATAAGTCTGATCATAATTTGAAGAAGAGAAACATAAAGGGCAACTATTCCCATCTACTGAGGAGTTTGCTATCCCGTTCGATACAACACGAGAGGAATCAGATTTATCAGTGTATAAAATACATTGCAGACAATAACTTCTTCGACTGACTCCCTAAAAGAAGCTATCGAAGCACCATGTAATATAATGCCATTATTATTAAACGTAGCAAAGAACAACGCAGGACTATCTTCTTATTTGTATGCACTTTTCTAACTCGTGTGAGGATTCTCACAAACGTGAAATAGTCTGTTTATTCGGTGCGTTGTCATCGATAAAAATTCAATGTACAAATCAGCGTTCCTTAGAGTGGAATTTTTTCCGTTTACCTTTTGTCGTTTTCTTTTCAAAATCCAAGGAATTACCATCAGTAGTTGGCCTCTTCTCGCCGCTTTTCACGGAGATTAAAGATTTGTTGCTTTTCCCCGAAAGGACACTATCCCATTCAGCTTCGGTACCCTTAATTGCATATTGCTCTAGATTCTCGTTCTTCAGCCTCTCGAGCTCCTTCTTCTGCTTGGCTTTCAGTTCCTATATAAGAAATACGTTTAACAATATTATATTAAACAAGAAGGTTTCCGTAGGTATTAAAATATCACGCAGAAAAAAATTATGAATAAAACTAACCTTAGCCGTAGCTTCCAATTCTTCGTGCATGCCTCTTCCTCTCTCCGAGTCGACCTTCATCTCCGTATTCGATTTAACATTGATCATTGTATTCTCCACAAAGTTTTCTGCAATTCCGTTCAAGTAACTAATCGCTTTTCTAATCACACGATTGAACAAGCCCAAAAGCTGCGAAGCAGGTAGACCCAAGTTCTCCGAGAGCTGGTTTATCGTCTTGTGTTGAAGACCGAGTCCCAATAGGATTGTCTGCAAAAATCAACGTTCAGGTTAACTTTTACATACAGTAATAAAGTTACACAGACATCAGGGTTGCCAATTTACTGAATTATACAGAAATTAACAATTTAAAGGACTTACACATTGTACAGGTGAGAAGTGCGTGTCACCCATGAGGTTCAAGAAGTACAAACGTGCCAACGTAGGCAGCAAATCCATGATTAAATGATAATCTGCCATGTTATTGCTGTAAATCTCCAGGCGTTTTAAATCGTACTTCGTAAAGTACACATCCAACACCTCTTTCGTCAGGACTGCAAAGAATGTCAACAGTATCGATACAGAAGCACCGAACATGTACATTGAAAACGAAGATTAAATTACGAGATTAAAAATTACTCACCCGAAGTACTTCCTGAGACAGCTTTATTTGACAAAATGCTTAGAGCCAAAGACGGGGAGAATTTGTTAAAAGAATATGAGAGCAGCGATATAAATCTACGTCTAAAGTCTTCCCAGTAAGCCTTCAACCATTCGGCGTCATTCTCTACGTCAGCATTTATTTTGCATATCATTATGCAAGAATATTCCCCCGTTATGTCGTTTACCGTTTGCCTGAAATTGTGGGGACATTTTTAAACAAAGATTTTGCCTGACTAAACCGATAAAAGAGAAAAAAATAACAATAAGATTAATGATTGCTTTTTCTGATATTACGTACCTTAGATAAACCATCACAAAGCGAGCTCGCTTCCAAAACTTCAAAAGTTGCTCCGTCAGTCCAAAAGACACCCCGATATAGTCCAAACGTTCTGGTCGCCTTTCGCTTAGTTTCATTAGCAAGGGTGGAAGGGACGATCGAGGCTCTGAAACGTTATTAAAATCTTGAAATTTTGTACGATGTTCATCGTAGAATAATCTTTCCACTTATCGTACCAATGGTCTCCTCCAAAAGGTTAATCTCTTCGTCATGGACCTTTGCTATTCCTGTCGCCATATCTGTTTCTGCTTTCTCATCGATATTAGGTATTTTCATTTCATAATACTGCTTTAGGAGTTCCAAGGCCCGAGAACCATATCCCATCTATTTAAAAAGGGAATAAATAAAAAAAAAGAGAATAGGAAAATTACATATTAACTGTTAATAGTATTTAACATACTCCGTAGTAATCAGGATGTGTGGCAATTCTGACTATTCTTGCTCCGGCCAGTGCTGGGAAGTCTTGGTCTTGATATTGCTGCGCCATGGTCCAAGGTACAAGATCTCCCGCAGCTCTGCGTCCTCTTTCCAATCCATCTGTGATACTATTTTTACTGATTTCTCCTTCCAAGCAGACCTATTTTAATAAGACTACAAAAGTATTTCTTGCACACTTAATTTTTAAGTTAGACAAGCTAGCAATAATTAATAAGCAATAGAACATCATTATGTAACAACTAACTTGTATCACAACTAATATCTCTGGTAGCGATTTTCTTTCGGCACTAACTGGACCCAAAAGGCAGAACAAGTGATGTGCCGGAGCATCGGACATCATTTGTAGATCATTCGGACTGTTCTGAAATGGACATCACTCAAGATTTAAATTTTCTCTCATCGGTCAAGAAAATGTATAAACAAGTTTAATGATGTATTTTAAAAAATGATGCTGAAGCAAAAGATCAGGAATCTCGTTACCTTGTAATGCGACGCTACGTACAATGCTACGAGCCTTTGTAGGAACAGCTCCGAAGCCTTGTGATACGAGAACAGGGTATCTCTGAAAAAAAAAAAAAAAAGAGATTAAAGAAGAGTTAGTATGCAGAAGATTCATGGAAAGAATATTTACGAACCTATTTATATAATACAGTTGACAGGTGTCAGGCGGTGGACATCCTGAAAGTATCGGTGCATGTATTGTGGCATCTAAACAAAGCAACTCGGTGAGCCACTGTTCAACGGAGTCTCCTGGCTTGTAACGAATCGACTCTTCCAGGGTTAATTCGTGCAATTGTCTACCCACAGGTCCTTCGTTACTCTCTTTCTCCGTTTTCTTATGACTATTTGGAGTAACGGTCTGAGTTCTCAATTCTTGCAGCAACTTCAACGACAGGGAACGCCCAGTCCCTTCGTATCTAAATTGAAGTTAGGATGGATTAAATTAACAGATGTTAAATAAACGGTTAACTCCTCAGATGCCACTTTCGTATTACTTTAAGAATATAACATTCTTATACAAACCCATTGATGGTCGACGAAAGAAAGACTAGATAGGGGCCCAGCATCGCTTTAACATATGGCAAGGGTATCGCAGCTGCTTCATCGATGACCAATAGTTCAGCTTGAGATAATTTATTCACATCGGTTGGATGAATATACTGTAACGTAAAAGAATTTGAGGTGATATGAAAGTGGCATCTGACATGACAAAGTTTAGCAAAGTATCGCAACGTACCTGAATTGTCTGCCGATGGTCTCTAAAAATATTTATTCGAACTGTGGCTTTATTGAACTCTGGGTTTGTCGACTGCACCAAACCATAGTCGATGTGTTCCTGATATTCCAACACATCGAAACCTGGAAATACATTTTCTCAATACAGAGAACAGAGAAAAGTTTATTTAAAGTAAGGTGTGTATAGAATTTACCTTTGAGAATAAATTCGAACAGTGTCTTTAAATTCTCCGGGCTTGGGCTTGAAATGTAAATATTTGAGTAGCCAAAGGCCACCGCTCCTGCAATAGCCAAACCTAACGTTGCTGATTTCCCTCGACCTCTTGCTGCAGTTAGAGACACAGTCGATCGCAGCGTTTTCTCCGAAATTGTTTCGATGAATTTAAGCAGCGCCTTTGCCTGCAGAACAGTTGAACATGTGTTAGTAAATTTATTTCACAGTACAACCGTCGCATAAATCGCTAGTGTTACTAAAACACACAGTGGAGATTTATGTCTACGCTACTTCATGCTCTTGCCCCACTGTGTGAATGATAAAACTTCAGCAATTGTACCTGGTCAACCGTCTTGCAGCATCCGATGAGTGCAGAAATTGGCTGTGTGTCTTGTAGACTCTCCTTCAGCTCGTTTAATTTAGTTTCATCATTTGATGATACCGACTTCCCCACAGGTTCAATCTTTAGGTTATGCGACGATAGGGGCAGAACGTTCAATTGATCGTCCACTACTAAGCAGCGTTTGCATGAAGCAACGGATAATAGGAATCTCTCATTGAAACGACATACTACATTCTGAAATAATTCTCATATTAATGTCGATTCCAATCCAGTTGACAGATTGAATTATCTACATAAACGCTACATTATTAGAATACCTGATGGGCTTCCGTTCTAAAACGTTGATGAACATCCATAGTGAGTGTATACAGCTGTTTTAAGGAACTGACAGACTGCAAAAGAAGTACAATGATGCCACCGCCTTCGACGGTTTCAATTGTACGTGCCAACAGATTTGGAGTCAGAGCCTCAAAGTCCTAAAACCAAGATTGATAAATGATTGAGAAATGAAATATTCAAAGTCCTTTCAGACAAATGCAACACTTTTTAAGAAGGGAATATGTAACGTATAATACCTGCAAAACGCACATCCCATACGTGTTTCCCAAAATCTTATGTGTTTCGTTGTAGTAACAGTAACGAATGTTTGTGGAAACAACAAAGAGCTCGAATGGATCGTCTTCGTTCACATTGAGCTTTCCCGATTTGACCTTCCGCTGTAGGGACTTCATTTTCTTTTTGCGATGACTGCTAAAACCTAATTCTTTCTTATAACACCATAACACAGATGGCCGTACTTTAACAACTGATTTTGATAACATATGATGAAGTAAAACAACCTGTAAAAACATCAAATTATAAAGATATTACATTTTGCAATCTATTACAATATCAATGATTAACATATAATTTAAATCTCAACGTGTATGTAAAATAGAATGACAATTACGATACATTGCGATAAAATTATAATTAAAAACATGTTGTCTTTTTATAGGTTAGAGCCCTTACCTGATCCCTTGCTTTATCTCCGATCACAATGAACAATGTTCTATGTCCCTCGGCAACTCCATTCTCTATTAAAACGCGAATGCGATTGTCTAATTTCTTTCGAACCATTTTTAAAATGAAACAATCCTCTTTAATTATTTATTATTTAGCCGCTGATACCGGTTAACCTCGAGTAACACCAGTGCAAAGCGGTGTTTACACGACGTCTAAACTAGTAGTTACAAAACCGGTATAAAATAGAACTTGTAAACGTGCTAACTGCCATCTAGTGGCGATGCACTATAACATCAACGGTAGAGGGAGATTTAAACAGTCGCGCATAATAAAATGCTTGCCTAGAAAAAAAATAATACATAGACCTACCGAAAATTACCCTGCGATCATATTGTAAGCAAAAGTAATAGTAAAATCCATTAAAAGATATAGCGAGAAAAGTGCCGTTTCGAGGCAAACATTTCAGGTAATAATTTTATTTACCTCTCCCTGTATAATAAATAAATATGTATATATATATTGACTATATATAAATTGTTCCGCAAAAATTGCTGGCGCAGACAAGATTATGAATTTTTTCTTTACGATGTACTATCACTATTTAAATAAATATATATATATACGTATGTATACGGGTATATTTTTGGAGTACGGAGCGCTAAGAGGAATGTGTGATTTTTGGAATCGGGTGGTTATTTCCCCAGCCATTCAGTCGATTGTCCATGCCCACCTTTAAGGTAACTGTTCGACGTAGTTCTTTGGAACCAGTCCTGTCTTTCCATTTAGTGTTCCCTCTAACCATCCTGGCTCAAATGATGGTTTTACTGCAAAGTACGAATGTAAGGAAAGATTTCAATACGTGATAATTATTAAATCAGCTAATAGAAAACAAAGGATTTCATATTTCAATAAAAAATATGTTTCCATTTACCATTTGTTATTATTTGATTTGGCTCGAATGACAGTTCTCCGTCATTTTCCGCCAAGCAGGCATACAGTGTGCGAACTCTCCTAAAAATTCAAAGTAATATATTACAGTAAGAGGATTAATTAATTTTTGTCTGCTTAGATATACATTTAAAATAAATCATGAGTTAACACGTCGAGTTGAGTCGACACTTACCAAATGCCAGGATTTTGGCCCGGGCTCGAACGACCACTGCTCGGTGAGGTATTCACCCTGAAGTGCATGAATCAATATTTATTAAATTATTATTCGGTATGAATAAATATGAATTAAATTATTATTCGGTAGAAATAGCACTCACCCTGATATAGAGCCGATGCCTTGCTGAATATATCCAGATGGATGGTGCAAACCAATTGTAGAGCCACGCTTCTGCTTGATTGGTATTTCCGATGTGTATGGGTGTGAATCGGAAGCGACTGATTCGCTAGAGCTACTGGTATGCCCACTTCCTGAAACTTGAATTAAAACAAGAATTAACTCTCACGCAAGTGTCAGCGATTTGTAGGTTATATTAAATATATTCACTTATTTACTTTCTAACGCAGTGCAGTACAGTGCACGTTACGATTGATATTCCAAGTAACAAATGCTTTACCTTTATCTGTAGAATGGTACATGAAGTTAGTGTCGGTGAGCTTCATCCGAGTTGTAGTTCGACCGTCGATGTACATTGGCATTCTATGCGAAGCATGGTCAAAATCTTCGTAGTCACCATTCTTCCTTTCATCGGTGCTCGCATTGGCTACAGACATTGGTCCATCAAAGTAAGACCTTGTCACGAACTGCGCAGAAGAAATATTAACGGATGAGCAATATTGGTTCCACAATCTCTAAACTTGACGAGTGTTTGAGGATGGGGAAGATAAAAACTGTCAATTTACATGAGCGTGCGACGTTGGAATGGCAGAGTGAACAGAGTATCTCGTTAGAAGGGCGTTTCCATTTCCAGTTGGAGCTGTTGTAGCTGTCGCACTCGCTGTCACTGGATTTTCCTCCAGACCAGTGTGCTGCAAATTTGTCGCAGGAATGGCAGGTTGCACCACCTGAGGTGGCAATTCCTGGGGAGGACCCCTGGATATTCTCTCACAATTTTCTATTAATATCTCTACGACGATATTATAGAACTTAATGTCCATTATAGAAGCGACGGTTTCTTCAACCGGTCGCAAAAGGGTTGGTCCGAAGCAAACCGCCAGGTTTCCAGTAGTCATTAAGTTTTTATCACTTTTCTCTGCGACTCTGAAAAGTCAAGTTAGCAGGAGTATTTTTACTAACTTCTAAAGAGCATTTCCGACCGTATTAATTAACTGAGCACTCACTTGCGAAGGTGATTGATAAGAAGAATGAGCATGTTGAAGTTTTGCTTGGGCAACCGATAAACGAGTAAGTGCACATCGTTTATTCGCATCTCTTTGGTTTCTTGTTCTGTAAGAGAAAAAAAAAAAAGTACATCGATTACATATTATAATATTTTCAGGTTACATCGAGTGAGGTTTATAAAAATATAATCTTGTCTCTCCTCAGCATTTTGGTTTAGGGCTGTTACTTCACCGTAACAATGTTATTTCTGTAGGCACGTTAATTGACTGAATCTAAAGAGATTTTCACCTCCGAGCCTCCAAATGTTATAAAATAATAATGCATGCCACGTGGTTAATGTCATTGACGTTTTGTAAAATAAGTTTACATTCTGCGAACATGCTAAAACGCTGTTAAATATGATTAACATCTGGCCTTTCGTTACAGTTGTTTTAGTCATTAAAATCCCTCACATGGGTCACCAGATAGTTACGACACGTAGAGTTACTCCGAAGCGCAAAACGAAGCGGCGACCGTCCAGGTGAAATGTACACTTACTAATTACACGTGCACGTAAAAAGACTAAATACGAGCCCCACAATCCTGAATTCTCAACCGCTTTGCATTTTTCATTATCCTTTTAGTGCAACGAAGATTCGCGTCCACGGAGTCAACTGTGGGAAGTATCCCCAATCGTAGGCAATAATACTTCGAACACGTTTATACTGGAAAAAAACTTTTCGTGTAAACTGCACATATTTTATGCAGCCAATTAACAAATCATTTACAGTTATGACAGGAAGATTAATTGATAACATCGATCAATAAAATGCATAAAAGGTGCACATGTATAAAAATTAAAATTGTACTCTAAAAAAAAGTATAAAATTAGTACTGTTTCTTGCATCTTGTAAAAAGACCTATATTTGACTGCCACTCATGATAAGATTATCGCAGATATGATAAAGATAGTCCATGTTGACAGCCTATCTAACCTAATCTAAAATTCCACTCATCAGCAGTTCAATGACTCATCAAAGTAATATACTTTTCACATAAAACGTTCCATTAATAATCTGTTTGCTCATCGAGGAACTTGCACTTGCTTTGCTTATTTCTTTTAACCTAATGCTTTTCAACTTCCACATTCTCACTTAATTTCTCATTCGATCACTGTTTCGCTTTCAACCTTTCCACCGATCTTGATAACTACCTTTGTACACCTTTCAGTTTAATGGAACAGATGTAACGACATACAGGCATAACTGTATCCATGTATTCAAAAAAATACCTATACGCACTCGCAGCTGATATGAAGTTGTCGTAGTACTGGAATGTCATCAGTGGCTCCGATAACGTTCTGAGGTATGTCTTTAGAGCACTAGTGATAGTTTTGCTCTCCCACTCGAACCTGTCGTCCAGATTCAATTTCTCCAGTTTCCTCCTGTCGAGCCCCATCGCAAGGAGTTTGTTAACTTTTGAAGCCACTCCAACGACTCTGTACAGACCCTGTTCCTCGAGGCCTTTGCAACGAGTAAACAATTGTCACCATAAATAAAACTTGTGGCATAATTATATAGGAGTTCCGAAACCCAACATACCTCTGTCTTCCAGAACTGCGATGCACTTCGAAACAAAAGCGAAACCTGCCTCATCGAGTACATTCTCTTCGGACTTCACTAGTGGTCCTTGCAGGGCGTATGTCTAGATTGTTGTTTCGATATAATAAATGTTAATAAAGAGAATATTTATTCAGCTAACAATTTCAACCCTTTTGTCACTTAGCACGAGATATCTTGTTCCAGGTGACGAAAGGGTTAAAGGTGGATCATTTGTTCTTACCGGTTCCTTGCCATCCATCGCATCCATCCACAGCTTTCTGTCTTGCTCAGAAAGTGCTTGAAAAGTATATATTATACCAGGCCTAGAAGCATAAAGAGCCATCAGGAAATTCGGTATATAATGTATGAATAAATAAGCCTCTAATGAATTAGACTTACTTATCTACAGCGGTGATATCAAAACAGAACCTTTTCTCTATCGTCTCTGACATTCGACGTACGCAAGATGCAACGATAAGTGTCTCCTTGTTGCTCTGACAAAAACGTTGAAACCACATTAACAAACACAGTGTTACAATTTACTTCACCGACGTAAAACATTTCATGGACTTACAAATTTCCCTGTAAGTTGATTATAAGGTATCATGGTGAATTCTTTCTTATCCTTTTGATATGTGCAATACTGCTTAGTCCACGTTGTTCCGAAGGCCTCTGAGAAAATATATTAACAGGTTAAAACCTTACTGTCTAAATAGGTTCAGGACCGTATCTTAAAAAAGGTCTTACTTTTCTCCATTAAAAATAAGTAGCCTTCGCGAGAGTTCAGCTTGCTCAAGCCAGTCTCGACTTCGGACTGCAATCAGGAAACAATAGTTAATTAGTTAATCAATCGCACGTAAAAATTAAAGCATTGTACTAAGGGCCAGTTAATCGCAACAAACTTAAACTTATTATTAGCGAGAATTAGAACCGAACGATGGCATCAAAATAAATAATTCTTTACACAATATTTCAGCTGAAATCTGTGCAATGGCTCCAGCACATTAAAACACTGTGCACTATTTAACAACAAGTCATCTTTGAATGGAGAACGTACCCTCTTTATTTCCTTCATTTTGTTCATTAGCGATTCCGTCTTATCTCGCGTGGCGAGGAAGTTCTCTCTAGTCTAAAAGAACACAGACGAGAAAATCACTATTAGTAAGGCATGCACTGCACATGCGATTAATTTCAATTAATCTTAAGATGATTTTAACAGTCTACAAAGCTATTACACAAAAATATTCCTAAGAGTATTGCTAACTAATTTTCATCTTGTGGTAGCAACGAGGTTCGTTCAAATACACCTTCAGTTAATCAATTAAAATTAATCATTGGTGAAAAAAAAAACTTTATCTCGATCGGGATTAAATGAACAAAAAAATCTACGTTGACAACAATGTTACACAAAGGAGGAAATTCATTATGAAATGATTGTCAAGGGGAAAACCACTAGCGATGACTTTTGATTGCCTTAGTTACCCAGGAAATAATCCTTCTGGTTGTTACGATGATTAATAACCTCGATTGGCATGCTGTACAAACGTGATAACTATTATTCCCTCCATATCGCGGATACTCTGAGGTAACATACTTTATTAATCATATTTTACATGCCGGGAAAAAATAAGGATTCTCCGTGCAATTAATTGAACAACAAAAGGGATACTGTGGAATCAATTTTAAGAAGTTATTCGTTGACAGCCAGAACGATTCGACTGACAAATATATTGTGCCAATGTATCTAGTCCTACAAAATATTTTGTCGCAATTGCATTCTTAGCTGGCATTGTACGCTCTGCTCCATACAATAAATTATTAGGTGGTGATTATTATAAATGTCGGATTACCTTCTGTATCTTCAGTTGCAACTCTGTCATGTACGGCTTGAAGTCTTTCGCAACCTCGTGACCCTGATGATAGAAGGTTAGCCAGCCAAACATGAATCCCAAAAGCTGTAACAACAGTGATTTCAGAATGACAAATTTCCTTGACAATGATATTGAGGCTTTGTGAAAGTGGCATCTCAGGAGTCGATTGTTCATGAAACTTTTCTCTGAATTGAATGTATCGAATTGTTTGACTCCCGAGATGTCATTTTTACATCACCGTATAACTTCCATGCACAACTAACCGTTTCAACAAATTCAAATTTCTTTCTCTCCTGAACTGCTTGCAGCAAGAAAACGTATTCCAGGCTCGCTCGGCAGAAGTGTCGTTCTGCCATATCCAACGTAGCATCAGCCTATTACAAAAAGCAAACACAATAATGTAAACATTAATTTATAATAGATCTTTTTTAATTTAATGTTTCAATGACAATCTATTATTTAAAGAAACTATGAATAATTTCTTGCAATTATTAATACTGTAAAAGTTGTACCTCTTGAAGAACATTGTCCTGCTTCTTCGTGGAGAGGTTTAGATAACGCTCTTGGCTTTGACAGAACTTATTTGTCTGTTTCTCAAACCTCTTCTTTCCTTCCTATGAAATACAAGAAAACACACAATTAAAAAACGATTTGATGGTTGTAAATGAATACCACGATAAGGTTCCATTGCTTCACCTTAACACCTCCGATGTGCTCCTTTCGGAAGTTCTCCAATGGCAGTATTATTTGGTCGTAGGCACGCTCCAACTGTCAAAATAAATTTACCAATTAGGTACTTTTTTTATATATGCAATATTTACAATTCTAAAGTATAAACTCGTTGGCTACGAGAGAAACACCACTCAAAGCAATAAGAAAATATGAAAGTAACTAAGACAAATGACCCGTTTGAAAAATGGAATGTTTTAACACCGTCAATATGTACGAGCCCCCATAAAGTTGAATGCAAAAAGGTACACTTGAGATAGCTGACTCATTATAAAAAAAAAAAAGAATTGTAAAACGAATGTGACTTTAGCAGTGACGATGAAAGATGGTAATTCTAAAACTGCAGACACACTGTTTGCAAGAGAGTCTAATTCTACAGATTGGATGTGTGAATTTGAAGAGTGCACTTTTATCTACCAGCTTTTAATATTGAGATTATTCCATAATTATACTAATTCTCATCTTTCTTCTTTTTTTCACACACTTCCTGCAATTATAGAATTCTCTAAACAGCAGTGTGGGGTTCGTGCCACAATCCCATTGACCATCTCCATGCCAAACGCCATGTAATTTGCCGGAGCAAGAGAAACATCCAGAAATTGGCCTATCCTTAAAGAAATCACAATTTTTATCGACCTTGTCCACCATCTCCCTTGCTCCAACAAATTATCTACAGGGCGATATCTACGAGAAGGCTATCTACAAGGTTACATCGTAACTCGGGGAGTAACACCACAGTTGTAAAACTCCATGCTTAATCGTTCTGTTAAAACTCACGTCGAACTTAGAGAGTACGATTGCATACCATGCGGTCTCGTTCGTCCTCTATCGACGCGATGAGTTTACCAAATTCCTTCAGACTTTGTGATATGTGCGTCTCATCTTCAGTTTGCGTTTCGCCGATGCATTCGAAGCTGAAGTTCTGCAGTGTCTTTGAAAACGTCCTTTGAGCTCGGGACAGGTCTGAAATTATTAATCATTAAGTGTCATTCAAAATCTTAAGTCTTATTTGATCGGAGCTCTCCGTACTCTAAGTGGGAGCACCTGGAGTACGTACGATCCCTGCCAACTTACTTTTGGCAGCCAGAAGCAGGTCCTTAACCTCCTTGATGAGTCGTTTGATCTGCTGGCTGGTCTTCTCCAACTCGCTCTCGTGGTAGTGCAAATTCTCGCGGAAATACGGGCTGTCCGTGAGGCAGTCGGTGAACTCGAGCGGCTTGAGACCGACACCCATGGTGTCGACTGGAACGAAGGGCTGCGGTCGAAGGTGCGTAGGCGGGTCTAGGTGCACCTCTTGGTCCGTCAAGGTCGTTCAATGCGCGGTGCTCGTCAACCCAACCGTGGGGCGACGACGACGCGAGACGGGAAACCGAGCGGGCCGCGGCCGATCGACCGCCTCGTCGGTGACATTCCGGACGATTCCGGATCTTTCCGTCAATATAACCTCCTCCCTCCGGCCCTAGCCACTCGGAGTTTTCAAAAGAACACGAACAAATTCAATAGATTAGGTTAGACCGGGTTAGACCGACCCGACCTAGAGGGCAAAGCGCACTGCACGAGACTCGGGAACGCCGTCACCACTTGACATTCCGAATTTGACTTTCGCTCGGGAGGCTCGCACGACGTGCGCGTGTGTGCGCTCACGCGAGAGCACTCACACGTAAGAATCGAGTGAGGCGAGCGAACTCACTTTTTAGGTATCTCGATATCCATACGGAATAGGACCTCGAGGATAGCGCACTCGATCCTTGAGGGATGGGGTACACGTTAATACGTGGAAGCGATAATTATCGATTTACGCTGGAGACACTTGTCGCACGATTATCACAAGACGTTAAATAACAGCAAATAGCACGGGTGCAAGTCCGTTCCGCGCAAGATCGTTCCGATTAGGTGGGTGTGTTTGATAAGGAAGATAGGAGATGTGTGGTGCAGAATGGGTCGTAGGTTCGAACAAGTGCTGCCGTACCTTTAAGACGGGACTTGACGTAAGCATCGAGAAATCGATAATAATCGATTGTCGCTGTTTTACCGATAAGAGCCACCTGCGATTGTTCTAAACGCGGTAAATTACGACAGGAATTGAGAATTTAAATATTTGCGATGAAATAAATGAGATAATTCGGAATTCTTCCCTCGAAACGGACTTGCACTTATAAAATTATAACAAAGGAATTCTTCGCACAATATTTGGAATGTGTTATAAACGCAACCGGCCATATTTTTATTATCCGAAGAAAAGTCTACAGTAAGACGTGACATAAGGCCGGTGACGTAATTGTATAAACAATCCTTACAACATCGTGACACTGAAATTCACTGCAACCTTGTAATTAGATCAGACAGATGAATAACTTCAAAGATTCAGTACTCTCCATCATGAGAATAATTCCATATTAAATATGTTTTTACTTCCTAGGTACAGCGAATTTCGTACCACTAAATTTACATTTACGTCCAATGAACTTCATTTGTATTAATTCATAGACATAGGTATAAAATACATTAACGCAAGAATAATTTATAATTTATACTATAACTGTATGACGGCAATTTTGTTTCGTGTGCACAGGTCAACGACATGAACATTCAACGAGGACAATTATAATTACGATATACATTACAAAGTAATCTATTAAAAATGTAAGATTTAAATACGTAAAATAAAAAAGTTTCCATCAGTTGTATAAAATCTCAATTATTTCAGAGATTTTTTTAGCACTGTACTTTCAAGTGTCACTATCATAGGTATTAATTTCTGAACAATTCTATATTCACTTTTAATCTACCGCTTTCCTTGAATCAGTTGCGATGATCCATCAGAGATTCGTGTTACACACATTATTTAAATGCATTGCACATACAAACAAGGCAATCACAGGTAGAAAACACTTTATAGAAAATCTGAGTTATTGTGTACATTGTGCACATATTTTAAGATATCAGAGGTCGAGAGACGTATCGGAGCCAAATTGATGTTCTTCGCCTAACAGGGACTGATGTTCCACCACCATTTGAGCTGTGAACAAAACTCTTCATGCATTCCATCGAACAAGTAACATTCTCCGATACACATTTGATAACACCTATGACATCCTAACCACTCGAAGCAATTAAAAATAAGCTAAACATTCAGACTTTGATGCACATCAGACACACATTTCCAGTTTGGCATTCTTCACTGTAAAGCATTTTAGCAAGCTATCGATAAGTACAAGGTTATACCATCACTTGAGAATACAAATTCTTACACCACTTTGAAATTATCGATTAACCGTGCACTGTTTTTTGTACTTTTCTTTAAAGGAGACTTCACAATCCCTATGTCAAGCAGAAAGCATGCAAAAGAAGTTTCAGACGTACCAGAAGATGCATGTTGACTGCGATAACATATGTCTAGCAATACATAAAATAGTCTAAAACCAAGTAAGGTTACGATAATCAGAGAATTGAAATAAACGGTGTCTTTATGTTTAACTTTCATCTCTACTTCAAAGAAATAGCCCAACAACGTTATAAATTTCCAGAAACTGAGAATCTGAAATTCCGTCTAAGATTCCATTATCTCCCAGCGGATTAAGAAACATGAAGAATTTAGTGACGTCAATCCAATACTCGAGACTCCTGTACTATGAATAAGTATATACACATGTTTAACGACCATCGGAGGTATACAAGATTTATTTGAAACTCCAGCGAAGCTGCTAATTCTTACGGATGACCATTTCTATACATTGTATACACTGTCCTTTCCTTTTGTTTGTACATTTAGTAATAAAAAGTGACGGCAGTCGACGAATGGGCGAACACCTCTAAGTATGTTCGAGCGACAAGTGTATTTCTCCAGTTCTTAATGCTAATTGGATAGGAAGTGAGTGTAAAGTAACGTGATAGTGAATGCATTGTGCTATATGATTTCTGTACATCCTTAAAAGTATTTGCACGGCAGCAAAACATTTTTCTTATCACACCGACCCGCAACCACCTAGGCATCGGGTCAATGGCACAGCACATTCATTATCACTAACCAATCTTAGTGGTGCTTTTTTAGCAACCTGTTACGTTGAGATCTGTTAGTACCATTCTTTTCGTTAGCGATGGAAGACTGTGTCGAGCCAACACGTTGGTTGCCCGTAGGTATCCTGAACAGCATTATCTTCAAATGATCACAAATCTCATGGCAGATTTGGACACTGTAGCGTAGCAAATCCAAAGTTACCCAAATCTAAAAACAATCGCACAATTAACTTCTTCATAAGAATTTTGTTAACCATCCTTTATATCTTCTTCGACTCCGATTAAACTTGAGTTTATTTTAATTTTTCTTTTTAACCTCTTTGACGCGTTTTAATTACTTAAATTCTCTAGATATAAAAGTGATCCTATATTTCTTGGCATTTCACTTTCACATGGAAGACGGAGCTCCTTACGCTGCTTCATGAATTTTATACCGCAGCAATCCTAAACTTAAAAGTTACGGACAGAGAATAATTCAAACAACTTACAAAGCAGCCCCAAAGGACGTAATACTCTTTGATGAAGAAGTTAAAGTACTGATTGAGGAACAACATTGCCGGGCCTATGAGCGAACTGTCGAGATACTGCATTTCATTTTTCGTCATATGAGCCACCTATGAAAAGTAATTCATCGAATATATCACTGCAAAGACCACTCCGTCAAGGTGATATGACCCTTTCATATCACCTTAAATATTTAAAAAATAAATACATACCACTAATCGATTTGTAACTTTTGCAGCAACCATCCCAAATGCGAGTATATACAATGCAGGATGATTTTCATATACGTGCTCGGCACTTTTCCTGTATATTATAAAGGCAGGCACCACGACGAAACTAAACGGGATGATCGGTGATAAAACCGAGGTTCCCTGAAACAATGAAACTGTTCTGCAATAATCGTCAATAATTCGCTGCAAAGTGTGAGAATAATAATAAACCAAAGTGACATTTTTCGTTAGGCATCACCTTTAAACCTTCTGACTCGTTAATGCAATCGAAAACAATTATCCCTTGCTAATAGTTTAAGAATAGAAACATTAATTTAAAAACCAAAAAAGAAAAGAAGATCTGTTAATTACCACGCCTTGTACAAGCCGAAATTAAAACATGCGTAAGCTCTGTTCAACATGCTCGTTATAATAAATAATACACCATCCCCTTTCGCATGCCAAAGGAAGGGAATTGTTAATTAAGACAGTATTTCAATCTGTGCGAAAAGTAGAGCTTGGAAACTCAGTGGAAAGAAATAAAGAGGACAAAATAAGGAAATTGCGACAGATGAACTGAAATGGACCAGAGCGTGTCAGGGATATCCGATGCCAACAGTCATGTATAAAAAATAGTCTTTCGAGATCTAGGCCCACTTGCAAAATCATACTGTCGAGAGGAAAACGACTAGAAGCCATAACATTTCTAATAAACCAACGGACAATGTCGCAGAATTTAGAAATAATTAAATTAACGAATTTTTACACGCCATAGGAATATTAAATTCTTGCTGTGTTTTGTTTAGGAATTACGCCAACAATTAATAATCCCGTAAAACGATATCTACATGTTTATTGCTACATTGCTAAATTTCTTCGCTCCTGTGAATTTAATTTTGTAAGAATCCTGTGTTGTAACCCAAATGATAGTTAAGGTGATGTGAAAGTATCGTCAGAGTTCTCGTTCATGATACTTATCATCGGAATGGATGCACCGAATTGTTTCAAACTTGACAATGTGTATATAGAGGGTATAAGAAAAATCCTAACACCAATAAGATTTCAATGTTTTAAAAATTTGTCTATAGACAATCTCAAAATCTATTACATAAGCCTCCACATTCACGCTGTAAAGTTTTTAACGAATCGGTACACTAGTTAGGAGAAAAGTTTCATAAACTTGCCCTGTTTACATTTAAATGTGTCATCCCCAGGTGTGTATACTTCTCATGGGCCTAAATCAAGTCGGAGGGGTGTGTTGTGCACTACAAATTCGACTTACTAGGTCTGAAACGGAACCTGACTTACTGCGACGGTGGAGCCATTTTTTCCGACACCACCTGCAAGAATGACGGACATACTGCTCTGTGCGAATAAAATAGCAACGCCGACTGCAGCCCACAATGGAAACACCTTGACCTCTGTACCAGTGTATGGCAACTGGATAATTGGAATATGAAACACATCCTTCGATTAGTAGAGGGCACGAATGGGTCTCGGTGGCGATTATCTTTAACTAGGATTAAATTTAATCCTAAATGTTGGATCCCTTAAAGCACAGACAAGAGGTATCATTGCTTCGCCCTTCTTTCTATGAATTATCAACACGAATGAACACTTATTTGAGGTTGGAATACATTTTCCGTATGGAGGTCCTTCTTCTGTTCGCCAAACAAACACACCTGGCAACTGACATGCACGTTGCTTATATATATATATTCCAAGACAGAAACTTAACATAAGATTAAGAGATACAATAGGCACAGTGTAGGATAAACAATAGATATAACGAACAGAGTTACCACACACCGCACCAATTAAGGTTACAATTAGAGAAGCGTTTCGAATCGAACCGTCCAGATTTCTTTCATTTTTTGATAGTAACTTACTGCAATCGTAGAACCATTCTTTCCAATCCCACCGGATTCAAAGACTTTACAGAACTGAAGGAACACATGAATGTAGCCAGCGTAAAATATCCCCGCTATGAAGTTATTGAGTGTGCCTACACCAAGGATGGGGATCTAAACAGATGCAGGAAAATCTTTTTGTTTACAATGATTGTTCAACATGGCATAACATTAAACGAGTGGCTGACAGGACTTCGATGACATAATCATGTAATTTCTTATACATAAACACACTCTTCCCGATGAACCGATTTATCTCCTATTTCCATACGTTGAAAGTAAAACGGGTTTATCAATTATTATTATTAGAGAAGACGATGCAACTTCTGAAAGTCAAACGGTCACAATTTGTAACGGTTCGAGCACAATGGAAAGGTGGCCACCTCATCAGACTTATCGTTAGATGAAAAACTCGAAAGTTGAAGAAGGATTTTGAGATCAAAAGAAGACACGCGAGAGTGGAGAGTTTCGGAGAAATCGAAGGATCTACGTTGGAGCAGTTCTTTACGTGGCAGTAGAATAAACAGATTAGAGGTTACCACCGGAAGAAGGAAACTCATGAGATCGACGATGGCACCGAAAGTGGAAGATGTACAGAAACTGGGAGTAAAGTTCTGTCCATGAAGTAGCGTAAGGAGTTCCCATTTACAAATAAAAGTAAAGCTACGTGTTCACCTGCTGCAAAACTGAACTGCTAGTGTTAAAATCGTCCAACTTAGAATGGAAATTCATTACGCCACTTCAGGGTTCCGTCAGTACGATAGGATTGTAAGTTATTATCAGCCCGATCCTCATGCCATGCAGCATGTTCTCTACACTTTCTGCACCTTCGCTCGGAGAAAAAAAAAACTAACTCTAGCCAACTTACAGCCACGGTCGAGCCATTTTTGCCCACTCCTCCGGTGAATATCACCGAAAATATCGAATACAAGTTTGCCAACGCGCATGCAAGCGTCAATATCCCTAGCAAATACCTAAGCTCAAAACCATCTATGAACGGTATCTGGAAGAAACGAACTCATTAGGCTCGAGAAATGCAACTTAAGGGGGGTTCATTCCTACTGATGGTGTTAAAACAACTTTTTCCTATTAATCTCTGATACTCCTTTTTGTTTATTTATTCGACGATGATCGTTATCTTGAATGTTCAATTTGAAAGACCGTTCGAAAATCTTCTCGTAAGATCTTAGAAAATGAAAATATAATGCAGTCTCTCAGACACAGACATTGACTATGAACTTAAAAAGAAAAAGAAAAATGAGAACTGATGAAAATGGCGTCTACATAGACATTTTAGAACAAAACAAGGATTGCACGAGTGAATTTTGGAATTTTTATCCCTCTGCCCCATGAAATCTGTGCTTCAGAAATTTGTCGATTCGGCAGGACAACTTATGAGAAAACGGCAGTAGTCTAAAGATCGAGTACTACGTAATATTTCAAACCGTAGTATTTTTTGAATTTCCAACATTTTGCGAAAAATAAGTACTGCGAAGGGACAAAAGTAAATTAAAGCAAGTACAACCTCCGTCATCCATATGCTGGGACCAAAGATGGCAGAGATGAGATGAATCCCAATAATCGTAAACTGAGCTTCCGTTACATCCAATTTCCCAAATCGCAGACAACCTGCGAACAGATCAAATTATTATAAGACACTGCAGCTTTTAATAAACTTGGGAAAAAAAGAATTAACGTCAGGAAAACGTTACTATTCCATACAATCTTTACTTCCTGGCATTAGTTTCTCTAAATGAAAAGCTTGTTTTTGTTTTCCAGAAATAACTGTATATATATATTACAAGAAATATGTTTATCTGTACTTCATTTCCCTTACCTGAGACATATGTTTGCCAGTGAGCGCAGTAAAAAAGTGTTATAGCACAAAAACACTGGAAAAACATCCACGTAGGATAGTATCCCAGCTGTACAGATATGCACGCCGACAAAGCAACGAACACTGTAAAATTAAAGTCAATACTTTATATCGACTTCTCTCACTGTTAACATTAAATTGAGCCCCCTACTTTCATAACACCTTAAGTATCGTTGTTAATTTTATTCTATATGTAAAATTAAGAGAAAAATATATTTAACGTCCCAGTGAATGGTACAATGACATGCCATGTCCCAATGCTGACATAATGGAACATTACCTGTAGATATTGAATCACATCCATGGTCAAACAGTTCACCCAAAGGAGTAGAAGTACCAGTCCTTCTGGCCTGTTTGCCATCGATAGCATCTAAGGTCTGATATACAAACAATCCCAGTGCACAAGCAAAACAAGCCCATCGTGGCGCCTACAGAAGAAAAGTGGGATTAGACAAGTACTTGTTTTATTAATTCTTCACAGTATTGTACTCCACGTCTTAAATGAACCAATAAGTGATTGCGTCGCCATGTTGATTTCACGACCCATAGTAATTGGATTACGGCAAAGCACAATAGCTCACATATCCCATATCACAGCTTACATTCTTTAAATTCTATTCTTATCAATCCTTGATTTCAGATTGAAATTACAATCCCTGTATAACACTAAAGTATCTAACTAACAAGAATTAATCCATACTCTAATAAATTGTCTTTACCCTTTCTCATATACTCTGAGACAATAAATTATAACAGCAACATATACTTTATGATAAAATGTTGACTAATCCTGACAAAAAGCCAACAATTTCGATGACTTCACCCTACATTTTTTCGACAAAGATACCTTAAACCAAAGAGCACACGATTTTAGATAATGAACTTCGGAGCATGACTTCCACGAATGACAAGCAAATGCCAGTGCAAAGGCTACAGTTTCCTATTGCCCTGCTTAGTTGCGTTTATTGTATCAATTTACACCGAGTATTCTCTCTTTCTTGCATAGTTACGATTTTTCGCATGAATTCACTCCAAATTATCTCTTCCCCTTCCTCGATACAAATACCTAACTTAACCTAACCTAACCTAGAATGGCACGACGTTTCGCAAGACAGGCGAAGGCGCAATTTTCCGTGAAAAGGTTTTAGGTTATGAGAAAACGTAGGTCAGTGGTTGGGATTACCTCAGCCTTGGCGTCCGGACTGTAATATATGAGAATCAACGTCGTGAAGATGTTGACGAGGAGGCCGAGGATGGTGATAAGGTTCGGCGCGAGCCAGAGCGGGACCTTGTCAACGAGCCAGTCCCACCAGAATTGCAGGAGACCGTCGAAAAGACTGTGGCTGGTACAACTGTACTTGTGCTCGCTGAGCCGTTTGAGCTGACCTGGCGAGAGTAGTCTCTCCTTGTACAGCTGCATCCTGCAGGGCTCAAATTCCGTTAACAGGGTCTAGGAGAGCGCGACGCACATCGACGCCCCGGTTGAGCGCGATTGCGCGACTGAGAAAGGCCACCTCGGGGTAACCCTGGAACGACGAGGAACCTGTCGGCACCTACGGGACCGAACAAACCTTCGACGCGACTCCACGCGAGTCTTTCACGATTCGGCGAACTTGACGCGAGATATCCTTCGATCTTCGCGAGGACATGGAAGTTGCACTCGAGTGCCGAATCGCGAACCCGATTGGGCAGTTTCCAGAGCAACTGGCGATCCGCCGGCCGGGCCGCAATCCCAGGCCGTGATTGGACGACGTCGCCGGCCCAATCACGGTCGCAATCCCCGGCCAAGACCGACTCTGTGATTGGACGACGTCGACGGCCCAATCACGGTTCATCACCGACCCGATAATGGACCGTGATTGGGCCGGTGATGGACCCTGCCTGTGAGCCCTCTCAACTCATTTCTGGTGTTGACCGTGTTGATTGTCAAACGTTGAAAATTGACAAAATACCAGCAAGATGGAATTGATACAATTACCAAAGGTTAGTAGTATTAGGATTAACGATCCTACAATAATTGTTAAAGGTAGAGAAATTATTATAAGATGTCTCCGATCTATTGTGTCGATTTTATGAATGCAGCTACCAAGTGACAGCGGTGTGGTTATGTCAAATTAAATGTTGGTCTGATTTAGGAGTTTGTCAAAATTATTCTAATGGAGCTGGATGGTAGTATCTCGCTACGATTAAATTAATTAATATTGTGATGCAGATATTAGCTTTAGAATAGGAAGAAAATAATTATTCTGGATACGTTAAGTTGCGTTTAGGATATCACCCATAACAACGGTATTTATAAAGCATCGGACTTTATTTCAGGTTGCAAATGTGCAAATGTTAGATAAATATAACAGTCATCATTCCAAAGGGACGCTCTTCTTGCTAGTTACACATTTGGTGTTTGCGGATTCATCTGAAAAAAAAGAAATATGGGTAATTCATTCAAATTCAAGACAAAAATAAATTGTATAGTTATTGGGTCTAATTTGTTAATCATTTTATCCACCCAGGTTTTGCATACTCATATCGCCAGTGTAGAAAAGTTGCCATTGACTACGACTGGTTCACCACTGCTTGTCAAATGTAAGCATTTCCTTGTAGCAACGTTTGTTATACCGAAGGAACGAGATTGCCACGAAATTTATTTAACGTTACTGAAGTTGTCATCACCTGGTAAGTAACTAAACGTGAATAACAAATGCATTACATATAGCTTATAAAGTTTGAGATCATTTATTTCATAAAGTTGAGGAATCATTGAAGAATAATCAATTGCTTCTTGTGACGTGAATTCTTGCAGCACGAACGGAAGACCTATATTGCTTCAGTTACCGTCCTAAGAAAGACACGTTTCCACGACACTTAGGGTGGAATTTTTTCGATATTCGAAGTGAATTTCAGAGACTAGGTGTGCCAAACGAGAAATGGTCTCTTTCGTATCTAAACACAAACTATGAAGTAAGTTTAGACGCAATATGTCTTTATAAACCTCACTCAACCAGAAAATTTAGTTTCTCAAATATATGTTTAATATGCACTTTATTATTTCACAAAATATTTAATTAACCCTCTGTAACATTAAATTTTGCCGGAAACTTCAAACGAGACAATTATCTATATCCTCATTGAATTTCTTTCCAGCTCTGTGATACTTATCCAAGATACTTGATCGTCCCCAGTACCTGTGCAAATAATATCTTGAAAGGAAGTGCTAAATTTCGGAGCAGAGGCCGACTACCAGTATTAACCTATCTCCATTCAAACATGGTACTTTCATCGTTAAAATCCTAATAGAGAATTTCGTATGGGATAAAAGAGTCCTATTTCAGGCTGCCATATGCCGATGCAGCCAACCACTTTCTGGATTCAATGCAAGGTGTCCCGAAGATGAGCAGATGCTGTACAATATCCTGCGCACTAATCTCAACTCTAAGTACGTCTACGTTGTAGACACTCGACCTCGTGTAAGTCTAAACCTTGTTTTAACTCCTGTTGAACTTCTATCCTTTGTTTAGATTTTCCTGGCTTTATCACACTAAGTACAAATGTTTTTTACTTACAGATAAATGCAATGGCTAACAGAGCCGCTGGCAAGGGCTATGAAAATGAAAACTTCTACGACAACATAAAGTTTCACTTCTTCGGCATCGAGAACATTCACGTGATGAGGTCCAGTTTAAACAAATTGCTGGAGCGTAAGTCTACATTTGTTGGAATATGTTTCGGAAGTCTCCTTAGTAATTGAATTTCGTGGGTTGTATAGTGCAACGGAGCACCACAATGAATGGATTTTTGAGTGGTCTGGAAAGCAGCGGATGGTTAAAGCACATTCGGTCCATACTCGAGACTGCATGGTTCATAGCGAATGCAGTGTCCAATGGTATTACGGTTGTTGTTCACTGTAGTGATGGATGGGATCGAACTGCACAAGTTTGTTCTTTGGCTGCTATGATGCTGGACCCATTTTACAGAACGATACAAGGATTCCAAGTAAGATATAAATTATCAAAAATATTGTACATGGCCAATAAATTGGGCAATCGCTGATTCTTATCAAATTGTTAAATTGCATGTAAGTTGCTTCACAAAAATAACGGATTTGTCTCGTTACCAGATTTTGATCGAAAAGGATTGGCTCGCCTTTGGGCACAAGTTTAGTGACCGTTGTGGTCACATCAGCAGCGATGGCAAGGAAATCTCTCCAATTTTTACGCAGTTTATCGACTGCACGTATCAACTTCTGCAGCAATATCCGTATGCGTTTCAATTCAATGAACATTTCCTTCTAACCCTTCACGATCACGTACACAGCTGTCGGTACGGAACGTTCATCGGCAATTGTGAGAAGGATCGACAGACGTTAAGGTAAATTCATTTTTGAACATCTTTGGATATCTTTTAATGTAATCCAGACAACAATCTATTAGTTTTTGATTTATTTTCGTGAATTCATTTTCTCAATTGCTTGTTTTCTTATTTTATCTATTATTTCGTTCCTAGGTTATGGGAAAGGACGTACTCCTTGTGGGGTTACGTATCGACTTACACCAATGAATATTTAAATCCACTCTATACATGTAATCGTAATAAAAAGAACGACATTGCAATCCTGCAGCCCAAACTTTCTCCACAAAGCATTCGGTGAGTTTATAAATTTCATACGTGATGTAAATTACATGAATATGGGATTTTGTTAACACTGTTCCTATTCCTGATATGCTTAAAAACCGTTCTTCTCTTTTAGGTTTTGGAGAGCGTTTTATTGCAGATTCGACGACGGTGTACAACCTCGAGAGACTAGTGAGAATTTTATCCTGTCCATTTACGGACATATAATTTCGATGGAAGATCACGTCAAGCTGCTAATCAAGGTAAACCTTCTGTTGTGACAAGTTACATCTCAATTATATCCATTCACTTTGAATCGATGGAACAAGTTGCCTAGAAAAATCCACACTCGATCGAAGACATTTCATTTGCAGAGAGTCAATGAAATAGGGCATCCACTAGTAGGAAATAAAACGCAGATGGATTTTCAAGATAAATACGACAGATTTGATATGAAGTACAATAAAAACTGTCTGTCGGAGAAAATCATCGAGAACTCGGCCAACGAAGAGGAAATGGATAATAAGATGTTAAAGGCGAGCCAACTTGACGAGGAAATGAAAACCATCGCATTGGAATGGAAATCATCTCGTGACATGGAGGAATGCGTGTGTTCTACACCATTTAGCGCGTTTAACAAAAAGGTACAAGATGTTTTGTAAGTGTTGTGACGGTTTAGTTTCTTGAGCCGTATGTTCTCGTTTCAGTACCACTGCTGGTCGTGTGGAAATGTATTGTGTACAAGATGCATGGGACCACCCTGTGCCTTACGAGGACACTTCACTAAACGTGCAGTTCCTGTATGTAAATGGTGCTTTCGAAGGTTCTCAGGCTCATCACCGACTGCTTCGTAATGGGTGATAATAATTTACCCATCGCTCTGTGACACCGATAAGTACTTTCATGCAGTATTTCAATTTGTACATAAAAGAATATTCATTGTGTATATATTATATATATATATATGTCGAGTCGATATTTGCGTTTTGGTAAATATATTGCATTTCGTAAATGCGGTTTGAAATTTTAACCTCACTTACATAATTGGAAAGTTGAGGGATAAGCGAACTACCAACAATAGGAAATAGTTTCTTTTATAGGAGTTATAATTAAATCATTATATTTATATTATAAATAACAGGTTATCAAAGGACGAGGGGAGGTGTACAGATTCTCTCTATTGAATGAAAGTGTTAAATATGGCGAATGAATTTAGATCTACCTGAAATTATCGAAAACACCTAATCCGACTCGGAATCATTATGATGAAGCTGCTGCTTCGGCAATTCACTTTGTAACTCTAAGACGTGCTCCAGTGGTTTCGGCTTGCCATCCTCTCCTACCCGACATGGCTGCACAACACCGTCCCTTAGATCATAAATAAGTGTTGAAATGTAGCCTTATAACAATGTTGTTAAGTAGTATAATTAGAAGTAATACTTAAGGTGAAGGGAAACTTATCGAAAAACTTAATACCTTTAAAAAGAGTTTTATTTAAATCGACAATTTTGAGGTAGGTTTCCCTTCACCTTCAACATCACGATATTAATAAGGTACCATTTACCTCGTCAACTTATCCATAAGATTGACGAGCTGCAATGCCTCGTATTCTTTCTGCTCTTCGGTCATTCCTTCCAGAGGATTTGGCTTAGGACTCTCATAGCAACCTGTCACTGGATTGATTCTAATTCCAAAAATCAAATAGGCGTTAATAAATTGTCAATATAATCAAGTAACAGTATGAATAGTTCGATCCGCTATACCTTTCTTTATGTTTGATGTACTCTTCGGTATCGCTGTCTTCTGAATCTGAAGAGTACTCATTGTCTGGTTGTCGACGACCAAGCAATCCTTTGTTCGCGAACATTCCTGCTGCATTGCCATATCCAGTGTACTTGATCATACGTTCCACTAATTATCCGAGACATGGAATACAAACGGAATTAGAACCTGACCATACAATTTAAAAAAAATCAGGGTTGATACACTCTGATAAAAATAATCATGTCAAAAAGTTTGTTCTACCGTTCTCCTTGCACAGCACGAAAAGGAACTCTGCAACAAGATCACGAAGTTCTGTATATGGAGTTGTTAACAATTTACACAGCTTAGCTCTAAGCGACGTTCCCTCTTCGGGTCGTTTCATTACGTCTTTTAGAGGTGGTAGAACCTGCAGAAAAGTAGAACAGGGCTAATGTTGTTGTGTACAAACATTTTGTCATAATCTTAAATCCTAATACCATTTTAAATTTTGTAATTTGTTGTAGATCCTGAGTACGGTACATATTAGTATTACCTGCATTCGACAGTACTTGCGTATTAATTTCTCTGCTTTCACCAAGCGAATTAAAGCTGTCACGACAGGGCATATGTTTTCTACTAAATTTGTTTCGATGTCAAGTTTTTGATTCAGAAAAATTAGCAGCAAGGAAATTGCCGTCATGTCCATATTTCTGTAGACAGCTGTGCACTCGGTGCTTTGAATCGGTTGAACGATTTGAGAACAATAGTCCACCGGAATCACAGTCAGCAAATTTATGATGTTGCTGAAAAGAATGTTAGAATAGATTACATGGAATATATCGCAGTAATTGTGAAATTGACATATTGTTTCTGCCTAGACTGTTCTATTTTATTCCAGTTTAATCTGGATAAAACTATTATTTACCTGTGAAGAGTTTCCTGTTGTGGTCCGTTCTCATTTAAGAGAAGTTCATTTAATACGTGCACCAATTCATTATACTTCTTGCAATCTTCTACAGAAACTTCGTCGGAGTGCATGTACAAATTGAAAAGTATTTTTAAAATTTCAGAGGCTAACTTGCAATTTTCTTCCTGTAATACATTTATTAGTTAGAAATTGTTTACCTCATTGTTCATTACATTGCATTTGACTATTTCATGTATTTATTGGTGAGATCTCTATTAGCTTGTCTTTTGAAAAGAAATCATGATTTTTTTAATCCTGTATTACCTGTTTCTCACTATCGTCCGGTGAAGGATGTCTAGAAATATCTTTTAACATATTCACAAGATGAACGTCACCAGAAAAATTATCCTTCACATTTTTCCTTGCAGCTACATCTAATGCAGTTATTAAAAATAAGATTCTCAGATCAAATAGTTTCATATCAGTCGGAGTAGCATCGCTGTAGCATTGAATGCGCTTTATCAAGCATGATAGCCATGACGTATCGCTCAATAACATTTGCAATACTGCAGTGCTATTGAACAATAAATTGCACAGCAGCTTCAAAGATTCTATTATAACTGGAAGCAAAAGATAATAATTTAAATTAGTAGAAAACATTATACATAAAACTAAAATCATTAAACTTACTCTTCGAGTCTGTCAAATCATTTTGATCATGTAAATGCGTTAACCTAGCAAACTTCAGTACTGTTTGCAATCGTTCTGTTGTAACTAATTTGCTTAATCTCGTATTGTCACGACTGTAAAATCAATGTTAATATTAAGGAATTGATGCCAAGGATCAGTTAATGTTACATACTCATATATTTTTCAGATTACAATAATCTGAAGGTACAGTTAAATACTTACCTGAAAATTCTCAAAGCCGTTAAACAGCGATCATGAATTAAAGAATAATCCAAATCCGATAGGTAACTAAATAATGCTTTCCATACATCCTCGAGTAGACCGCTTGCATACAATTCATCGAATTGCATTTTACTTCCATACTAAACACATAAAAATGTCATCGATAGACATACATCTTCAAAGACCAAAAAGTATTGTCACTATTTACTTACATTCTCCGAAAAAAGTGTTAGACTGGATGATACTTTTTCATAATTTCCAGAAATTATAGTATGAACGAGATCCTCTAAATTATTCATCGAAGAAACAATTAATAGAAAGCGGTACTATTTACAAAATAATCTCTCCTTTTTCTATCATTACATTTTCAAACACTGTCACAAAGGCGTATAATTGCAATTACTTTTTAAAATATTTTTATTTGTCACTTTGGGATAATAATTACACTAACTTCAGAGTTGCCAGTTGTTAACAAATTACATTACTAGAATTGGTACAATTGGATAGAATAAATCACTAAATCGGAAAAAAGATTCTGCTTGGCTGCAGAGAAATAACGAAATAGGGAAATTTTCGCCATGCCATCTTTGGAGCCATTGAAAATCTTTTATTCGCGCTTCCTTGCTCCGCCGCTTGTCGCCACAATACACGTGAAATATCAGCGCTACTCTGTGTCCATCTATGCCTAACCTCACATCAATAGTTGAATTTGCCGCCATCATGGCCGTTATGTTTTACGCTACTCCGTGAAATCATTTTTTCGATTGTTTGCACAAACGAAAGAAAGTGCGCAATTAATCAAGATCTAATTAAAGGTTAGAAAGAAAAGATTCTTTTTGTTTGCATCGGCAACGCTTCAAAGAAAATGTCGGGACCAATGGTGTTATGTCAACTATGGATGGGAGGTGTGAGTAAATTCCTTGGTTATTAATTATGCTAAGTATAAATGCAACATGTTACTTAATAAAAATTGTACACTCCATCGTGGAAAACTGTCGAAAATGTCTAGATTAAGAAAATGTATACATCAAACCTGTAATATCAGTTAGGTGCGACTTCCGATATCCCTAACCTCTTAATGCGGCTTTACATACGTATCAGCTTAGATTGTTCTTCATTGTAATGTGTTTGTATATGTAGCTTTCTATTTAAATTTGATAGATCAATTGAAAATGAATTTATCTAAAGTTCGATGATATTAGAATTGTACAATTTACAAATGATTGCGTCCTATATTCTTTCCAGCTGGAACCGTATATGACGGAAAGTTTTATTATGAATGCATTTAATAAAATGGGAGAACAGCCTCAAACTGTTAAAGTTATGAGAAATCGGTACACTGGGGAGCCAGCTGGTTATTGCTTTGTTCATTTTCAAACGGATGAAATGGCACTTGACGCAATGCATAAGCTAAATGGCAAAGTTATACCGGGATCGAATCCTGTAAGTCCTTGTGAACTTTTTTTAGAACAGACGACCACAAATGGAGCATTAATAAATTAGTTGCAGAGAAAATTAAGGAATTTCTATTCGCTGTGAAAGAACATAGGATTAAGAAAACCAATTCAACTAGCTTGTGATATTTTTTACTCTTTGTTGTCCGTCTCTCATGAAGTAGATGCTTCATTTGTGGGTAACCGTGAGCAGGATTCTACATTTTGTTTCCTCGGTTTCATCAGATTTCCTCTGATTAGATTGGGCATGACTTTTACGTAGATATTTCCTTGGGATATCATCGGAATTTAATTTTCCCTGTCCAATTTATTTATGTACTGCTATAAAACTTGCACCGATAAATTCCCCTTGTCAATAAAATGAAACTAAATTTGAATGAACTCTTCGGTTATTAATTCATCATTTTGAAATGGTCTCCCATTTTCTTTTTTCAGGCGGTAAGATTTCGTTTAAATCATGCTAGCACGACTGGTAAACCTGCAGCTGACCGAGAGTTTAGCATTTGGGTAGGCGATTTGTCAACGGACGTCGACGACTACTCACTGTACAGAGCGTTCGCTGCAAAGTACAATTCTATCAGAACCGCCAAAGTAATACTAGACAGTTCGGGTTTTAGTAAAGGTTACGGATTTGTTAGATTCGCCAACGAAGAGGAGCAAAAGAATAGTTTGGTCGCTATGAATGGATACCGGGGGCTCGGCACGAAGACTCTTAAAATCTGCAACGCCGTTCCAAGGCCTTGGAATAAATTATCAGGGTACGTGTATATTTTATGCAAATTGATCCCCACTGAAGCAAGCATGAAGTACCATAAGGAGCTCCTATTTTCCAAAAAAAAATTAATCTAATATTTTCATGTTACATTTATTATAGTTCAACGCCCCCTCAGTCATCTTCTGAATATTCCTCAACAAACATGAACTCGGATACCTACAATTACTACGACACCTCATCTTACTGGAATAGTTACAGTGCTTGGCAGCAAGGCTATTACGAAAGCGAACCTACCTCCGATGCATACAGCAATTACGTCTCTGATCAGAAGCTTGAAGAGGATGAACTAGAGTTGATCGGTAGGTGTTCAGAAAAATTTGACTGTTTTACTTTAATTGGAACATTTTATTCGTTACATGATCCAAATTCAATTTTCCTTGACAGAACATTCAGTTCCAGTGGACATCGACAAGTCTAACCGAGATGTGATCGAGCAGGATTACAACATGTGGGACGCCTTAGAAAGTTCAAAGTGGATCCCTTGCGATACATTAGAACTGTGCTACTGAAACCAACGCACCATTCCTTCAGGAAGTTCCGTAACATTGAACGTACGTCAACTTAACTTACGTTCTAAGTAATCGGTGGGAATTGTTTTTTTATACTGTACAGTGAGCTTATGTAGAATATGGTTAATGAGGTGAAGCGATAAAAGTGTACAGCGGACACGAATAGAAGAGTAGAAGAGCCGAAGAAACATCATGCTCGAATACTGGATCGATCGATCCTAACAAAGAGCATAAATTAAATTATATTTAAGCTCTCCATTTCACGAAATACACGCTCATATTTCTTTACATAGCCGGACCTCATGTAAATGAATTCAGGTTATGTACAAGATATAGTATAATACCGATATAACTCGACCCAGCTATCGATATATGTACGAACGTTGGTAGCGTAGGCATTTAACCAATCCTTTTTACCAACGTCCATTAAATTTCCGACGTGTTAAAATGACACGTCGGTACGCTCTGTAGGTATTCGAGTTATCGATGTTTAGTTTCGACATCGATACAGCAGCGACCTCCCGCCATTTGTTTCTTTATGAGAAACCAAGATGGCGCCGCGACCGTCACACGGCACGCATTCGAATCAAGATCCACATCCTCCAACGGACTTTGTATTTCTTCGGTAATTAGTCCGCTTCTAGATATTTCTGTTTATATAAAATAAGGCTGCGCGTTGTTTAGACTACTTCTCGGTATCGAGTTAAAGAGACAAAGGGAAATTACGCGTCGGTGAGCCCCTTGGGAAAACGAGAAAAGGGGAGGGGATGGAGCGCCCTCAATTAAGCGCTCGATCCCTCCGAACGTGAGCACGCCTCGTTTCGGTAGGTCGATTTCGATGAATGGATTTTCGAAAATACGGCCCATACCTGCCGCCGGGAGTGGTTAATGGAGGTTAGGAATCGGGGGAGCCTCGGCGGAGGCTCGGAGACGGCCGAGATCCAGCGGACGCTGCCGAGCGGGAAGAGAGGTTAGGGTCAACTAGAGGCATGGGTACATCGATCAAATCGCTCCTCTAGCAGCCACTAGGATTGGGTAATTATCTGGAAAAATGGGTTTTCTGCCCCGCACGGTGGAAAACCACGTCGCCCGTCCATTGATACAGCGATTCCTTTATTGCCCCTCGGGAAACTTCGGGACTCTCGCCCCCTCCCCCATAACCTCAAAGAACGTTTATTCGGCACCACGCGACTCATCCTTCATCTCTTAAATCCCAATAAATGTGGGACTTTATCCTCGACGTTACCCCTGAATTTCTCGTTTTTCACGAAAATAGTTGATCCGAGGCTTTTTAGGGGGAGCCGGCGATTCGAGCTGCTTTTAGAATTAGGCGAGGAAAGATAAATCGAATGAAAAAACAGCTCCGGTGAGAGAAAAGACAAACTTATCCGAGACGCTTCTGCGGTACTTGATGCATTCGCCGGAGGTTTTTGGGGGCATGGGAAAGGGATCTTTTGTAGGGACTTTTTATCCGGGGCACTTATTACGAATTTCAAACGTAGATTTCCCGATGGGGAATAGAATCGAAGGTTCGGCTCTTTTATACGAATTACCCATATATACGAAATTAAATGATAAATAACATGGAGCGAATTTCTCCATCCATTTCCCAATCGGGAACAGCCGGAATCGATGGTTCGGTAGGCAATCGAAGGGGCATCTGCGCCGATCGAAGATTTTTCGGACGAGCGGGCACTACTCGGACGTTCGCCGGCATTATGTCGGTATCGCGGGTCGTCCGGATCGTCCGGATGACCGAACAAGCGGAGAAGCTTCACGGATGAAGCTAAGGCTAGATCCGCACGTTAATCCACCTCCGACTACCCAATAGACCCTGCAGAGACGTATACAGGGTGGTCCCTTAATCTCGAGCGGCGTAAATCTAGCTCCTCGATTATTCCTTCCGGAAGGAGGGCGAAAACCTCACCCCTTTAATTATCCTTATTGTCTCGGCTTACCGCACTCTCTCCGAGGCGGGTTCGATCCTCCTCTAAGGAGATTTCACCTCCGAGCTCGATTTTACTAGGAGAACCCGTGGACATTAAGGCGATATGAAAGGGTCATTCTATATGTACAAAACGTCAAAATATTCTTTCTTGTGATTTCTAGGTCCGTAAGGAGGCTCTCGGAGGCCCTTGGAAGCGTTTAGGGTCCCCAGCTCTGGCAACGCCGCCGGTCTTGCGATGAACCGAGCCTTAGCGAGCGGCTGCTCGCCGCGTGCCGGCTGTTTGCATCTGCTACCGATTCACCGCCCTTTAAAGCCTATCCAGGTCCAATGTCTCCTCGGCGAAACCTCCCATCGAATTCCGAGCAGCTCGATTCGCCCCGATGGCGCCGTAGGAATTTCCACCGGATCCCGCTCTCCCCCGGATTCGTACGATTTACTAAATTCTATTATTTATTAAATCCCTTACCCAAGAACAATTACCAGATGCGCCTGGTTAACCCTTCGAGGCACGGAATTTGAGAAAAATAATACGGCCCACGTGGCACGGAAATTAAAAAAAAATAAAAAGGCCCACGTGGCACGGAAATTTTTTTTTCCCTTTAAATTCAACAAAGTTGGTTTATTCTTATTAATAAAGGAGTAAGGTGATGTAAAAATGTGAGAGAATAATAATTCTATTAAGTTTGTTTGCATAAGGTGGGACACTTTTAATACCACCGTGCCTCGAAGAGTTGAAAGATATCCGGTTATCGTAATGGCGGTAATAGGGAATTCTTAAAGGAGATTTTAGTGATACGTGTGGGTCGTTCTATCCTTAAGAAAAGCGGGAAATAATTCAAGGTAATAAGCCTTCGAATGACCCGAAGTTCTACCTTCTCGGGAAGGTCCGCGACCTCGGCGCCGAGGACGAAACGCTTCGGTAGACCTCAAAGGATCGACGCTCCTTTCTTCGAGGCACGATCAAATGCCCCCGAGTAAATGAACGACGCCAAAACCAGAAGAGGAAGATCCCGAAATTCCAGAAACTCCGAACTTCGTCAAGCGGAAGAGAAGAGGAAGCAATAAAGTATACTTAAGGACGTCCCGAGGGAAGAGAGGATATTGTCTCGACGGAAACTGCGACAGGGGAGCTACCTCGCAGCCTGCTCGGAATATATTCATTAGATTTATACAATTTCAATGTACAAGCGGTATGAAACATCTTAAACGAACGATACTTATGTCTAAGTAGGGTATTGTATTGCTTTTCAACTTATAGTACCCGCGAAATGATGCTCGACGGGATGCGGAGCTTCATGAGGATATATTTATCGATGATAGTAAATATCGCCGGATTAAGAGTTCACTCGCGGTGTCGGAACTGGATTAATCTTCTTTCCCCCCGGGTTAATCTCTGGTTAGGAAGAAATTCCTGCAAGCCATTAACCTTTCGAGTTGCGAGCGCTCAGGAGATAAGCGATCGGTATGGACGACACGCAACTTGCGCTGACAATATCGCTATATATGTTTATATATATACACGCGTATATACATACAAGGACGGGATATTCCTTTTCCGCCTTTTTCGCCACACGCGCATCGTGCGGATTCATAGTCTGTGGCGATAACGTTTGCCGGTCGCTTCTGCAAAAGCTAATGGATGATTAATAATTAACGTGAGATTCTTTTCTACCTGAGACAGGTGATATGAATTAGTGTTAGTGAAAATGATAGTATGGTACAGATGATAGCGATGAAACGTTCCACTTCGACGGCGGTAATCATTCGCAGGACCTCGCGTCTGCGTCCACGGTACTCGAAGGGTTAAAGCAACGGACCCTGACGGGAATAATTCCGCAAAAGCTCTCGCGATCCTCGCCGGCACTTTCACTCGGCGCCGGTCTGCCGGTGCAAACCGACGTTTACAATGTATTAACCCGGACAAAGTGCGCAAAAAAGAGGGAAATACCCGAGTTGCAGGGTCGCTCCCTTGTACTTATGAACTACCGCTCGTATCGCTCGATCCCTGATGCTATCGATCGCCATTATCCGCAGTTTTGTATCTCGCAATTGCCATGAATTCATTTTTATTCAACATAGATCATGGGGTCATCAGACTAGGGAACATCTTAAATAATTCCTTCCCTCTGTGATCGACATCGTGGTACCTAAATTTCATGGGTGGGTTTTCATTTTAACGCCTTCTCTTTATTATCGGCATTGCTAATATATAGATGTTTTTTTTTTTTTTCGTCCGCCCTAACCCCGGCAGGATGTGCCGCGTCCAGAGAGTGGCGAGCGCGTGCAGCAGGGCAGGCGTCGTCTGACTGTCACCCAATATGGCGGTATCTCTCGAGCGCGCTCGAAGTTTGAAAAACCGGGCCATCTGTCCCCTACACCTGCGCCCCTACGCCTATACTCTCGCCATGCGGAAGTGTAGGTTAGCTCGCAGCCGTGGAGATACAGTGCGTATCTCGATCGGTCTCGCGTTCGCCACGCGGCGACCTGGAGCGCCGACTGGAGCGAGCGAGAACGATACTCGAGAGTTTGAATCGAGAAATTGGAGCGCGTGTCGGGCCGCTCCGATCTTTCCCGAGCGCGCCCGAGGGGGGCCGAAGCGCGGCTCGCCGGAGCCGAGCGCTGTGGCGCGAGGGAGGGGGAGACGGCTGGCGAGGAGGATGGTGGAAGAAGCGCGCGGGGCAGGGGGGGCAGGGGGGCGCCAAAGAGACTCGTATTTACCGTGAATCGAGTCAATCCGGCGTGGGGGGTGACTTCTGCTCTTCTTTCACCGTAGAACTACGTCTTTCTCCGACGTAGGTATAGGGGTAAGTCGAATGGAAAAAGAATGTCACGAAAAATTGTTGCGAAAGTTTCGAGTGATTCGGTGCACGCAGTTTGGAGAATGGTATTACCGATACTTTTACGGTTCACGTGGACATGTGTATGAAGAACGACCCTCTTTCGTTCACCTTAAGTAGCGTACGATAAGGCGGCTTATCTCCCCTTACGTCGATTTTTTTTTTATGTTTGCGGGAGTAGCGCCCCGATCGCGGCGACCTCTCCATTCATGACTCGCGGCTCGCTACCACGTGACCCCTGCCCGAGCGGTGGACCAATCAGGACGCGCCCCTCGGAGCGCCGCGTCCGCGCACGTCTCGGCACGTGCCGTACGAGATATCGAATCCGTTCGATTAGCGTGCCGAAGGACTGCAATCGGCGGTCCGGTCGTGGCTAGGCGATTCGGCGGCGCGTTACGCGCGGATCGGCGGAGAAAGTTCGAGGAAGAGGGTTACGCGCATCGGTTATTTTTTAGCGGCGGGATACCGGAGTGCCGGCGGAGGTCTCTCAGCGGGAGGAGTGGGGAGACCGATGCGGCGGCGGCGCGCGCGGTCGCTGGTGGGCAGGTCGGCCGCGGCCGCGCGGCTCGCGAGCAGTCGACGCTCGGCCGTTCGCCCGGTGGTCTCGCGTCCAGGGAACCGGAGTGCGCGCGCGAGGGAAGCCGAGGTCTCGGGGGGGCACGCGTCTCCTGCGATGGCCACGTAGTCGGGGCCAGTCGCCATCGAGGTGCCGCGGAGAGTCGCGTGGTGCCCTCTGGGTCGGGGCCGGCGGGTGCGTCTCTCTCGGCGCGGCGCATCCTGCCTGGTCGAGGAGCCTTGGGCCTCGATCCGGCGTCCGGCCGTTGCACGGGGTGGGTGGGTGGGGGGGGCAGACTCGAGAAGGAAGCTCGGCTCGGCCGGGCGAGCGAGAGAGCGAGGAGGGGCGCGGCGCGCGGCAGACGGCAGTCGGCAGTCGGAGGAGGCGGCAGCCGAAAAGCGGCCGCGCGAGGGAGACCGACGCACGCAGCCTCCGCGCGCGCGCGGGGCCGGGCGAGAGACACGGCCAGCCTCCGAGGGGGAGGGAGAGAGACCGCCGCCGCGCCAGTCGGCCGCGAGCGAGCGAGGCCGCCGCCCGAGCTAGGTTAGGTTGGGGCGCGCGTCACCGCGGCTCCCAGGTGTCTCGGCGCGACGGAGCGGGGGGGGAGTGCGGCGAGCGAGGCGAGGACCAGCCGAGGACCGAGAGACGGCGGAACGGGACCGGAACGACCGGAACCGATGCCCGTGCCGATCGACGCGCCCACCCTCGACGTCGCTGGACCTGTCCCCGGCGAGGCCGCCCGACCCCGCGGCCCGACCACCGAGCACGACGCTGCCATGCTTCCCTTCCTCCAGAGGCTTTCAGGTTAGAATACCCCCGGGCCCGACCCTCGACAGGGAAGGCTGCCGAATCACCTAAATCGGTTCTCTGCTCGTATGCTTTTATTGACGGTTTACCTAGGTGACGTCTGGTAATGCGCGGTGATACGCGGGTATGAGTTTTAAATCCTAGGATGGACATTTTTAGGTGGTCGGTATTCATTTCATCGGGTTACTCGATTTAGGTTAGGCTGATGGTTGTATTGTTTTTTTTTTTTAGTACTTTTTTACTCTGGGAGACTTTACTACGAGTTCGCTGTATTTAGAGGGGATGCTGCTTGGTTGGTCAGAAGAGGAATAGAAACCAGTCGAAGAGGATTTTTGTGCAGTCGAGGCAGGGTAGTGATTTGGAGAACGTTCCGATGTGGACAAAGGGTTAGGAGTACAGACTCAGGGGACCGATGTAGATATAGTTGTATGTTTAATTTCTTTAGGGGGATCGGTGACTCAAATTTAGTCCCTTTATAGAAGTTGCAGCAACATTTGTTTTATGTATAAAGGTTAAAGCCTAAGAATGTCGAGGTTTAGCGTTCGATGTGCTCGAGGTCAGTTTGCGTGGGCACAGTACTAGAAATATTAAAGATCCAAAGAAACTTAGGGAAGGAACAGATCAACGGATCGTTCCTTGATAGAGGTTAGGAAAATTGCGAGTTCTCTTCTTACCAAGCGATGCTTCCTCTCGGTCTCTCCATTTTGCTTCCCTCCCCCAAAGTATTATTTTATAACGACGATAGAACTGGTAGAAACTTTTTTATACAAGTAACGTGCACATACAATTTATATCAGTATTAATTCTTATGCAGTTACATAACGCTATTATAAAACATAATGTAGCATACCGTGTCAAGTATTGGGATCATATATTATTTCTACCAAAGGTGTGAAGAGACACCTTTAAAAATTTTAACTTGATATTATTTTCAAAGTTTAATAATTTTTTCTCAATTAATCTTTGGAGTTTTCGTATAATAATTGTTAAGTTTATTTAGCGGTATCATTTTCCTCCAGCTTTTGGTCGAAATAGGTATACATAAAATCCTGGTAGAAATAGTGATGTACAACATATTTATATCGCCCCTTAACCATCCCCGTGGGAAATGGGAAATCCGTGAAGTTGGCACGTAGGACCGCCGACTGAGCACCCCTGGGTTCGCCTCGGAACTTCACGGTCGATTCTCGAACACCGCGGCCGGAAGGGACTCGTGACAAATCCTGACAAATTCACGGGTCTAACCTGTCGAAACGGCGGAGATCATTCGCGTAAGGAATTCCGTGAGAGAATCGTCCTTTAAACTGCAACAGGTCAGAACCCACCGCGGAGGCTGAGCTAAAGAGCCGAGGGGTCCTTCTCTCTCTCTCTTTCTACGTTCCATTCGTGGCCGGGGCCTCAAAATGTCGCCCTCTCGGGGAGGCGGTTCCACTTTGAGCCCCCGAAACCGTTTAGGCGGCCATTATCGCCAAATAATTGCCCCGCGGGGGTAGAAACGGACGATTTCCGAATTTCTCGGCCCCCTTTTTGCAGACTTCCTCGGATTAGGAGAGATTACACGGCAATTACGCCACTATGAAGTTACGAGGTGGCGGGATCTAACTTCGACCGCCATTTTGTCCCCTTACGATACTTTATACTAGAGAGATCTTAGTTTCCGGGAAAATCCGCCGAGTGGCGCTGCTCCCTTCTTTCTGTATTTTTTTTTGTTTTTCCCTTCTCGTCTTCGTCGCGCACAGGAAAGAGACGCGTCTTGCATCTTCTTTTTTTTTTCTTCTTTTTTCCCCTCTTTCGTTTCGCATCTTCCCTTTTTAACGTCGCTCGTCGCTTAGGGAGGAGCGTCGGGATGAGTTTCCCACCGTGCGGACGAAGTCTAAAATCCGAAGCCGTCCCGGCCGAGCACTTTTCGAGGTTACGTTCTCCCGGGAGGACGACGGTATTCGCGAGGCTGTTAATTTGCCGGGGTTTGCCGGGATTCACAGGCTGTTAATTTGCCTGGCCTTATCTAGATCCGCCGGCGGGTTCGCTCTTTCCGGATTTTGCCACCTTTTATAAATATATTCCTGTTGTTTTTTCCTTTTTTCTTTTTCGAACTCGGGAGAACGGAGAATCCCACGATCGATGAACCGGCCGAGCGGCGGCCCGATCGCTGCGCGCGCATCCAAGATGGCGGCCCGACTCGTTTCTCACCTGCGATATGTTTAAATCGTTATTATGCGCTTGGGACCCTTCCGAAGGAAAATTAATAACACCCGGACATGTTAACGCCGTGAGAGTTTACGAGAAATTTGCCGGAGGTCGATTACGATCGAAATTGGGCGCGTCATTTGTAGTTTCTTGACCTCGACGCGACTTTAATCGCTTGTATTATTTTTTTTCCTTTCTTCTCTTCGCTTATCTCCCTACGCATTCGATAAGAATGAATGTCGTTTTGTGCGCTCTTTATGATATCGTACTGTAATTGTTTAAGGCAGATACCGGACGCGAGACATGAATTTGCCGACGCCGGCTCTCGTATGCTTCTCCTCTTCCTTTCTTTCCTTTTTTTTTTTAGTTTTCTCTCTTTAGACGCGATGAATGAATCTTTTGTAGCTCGTCGCGGGGATTATCGGGCTTCGCGATTTCGGGGTGGTTTTTTTCGGGAAGCGCGTTTAAGGCCGCGATTGTCGCTTATCTGGCCGTGGGGCCGCATGCGGAGAACTCGCGGAGACAGGTGCGGCCCTTGGCCGAGATAAATCGAGGAGAGTTGCGACAGGTGGCGGTGATATCGGGTGATAAGAGAGACCATCTCGAGATCGGAGTCGCAGAGTTTGTAGAAATGGATAGGGCACTGTTCACTGTTCATTGGACCTCCCTTATAGTCTCCCTATTCACGTTGCAAAGTTTCAAGCCACTCGGTTAATCGAGTTGGGAGAAAAGCTTTATAAAGAAAACCTCTTCGATGCCACTTTCACGTCACCTTAATGGTAGTTTCAAAACGGTCGGCTCGAAAGTAGTATATATACAGTGCCGACGCGGACTGCGGGCCTGAAACTAGGTTAGGACGTTTGCGCGAAGGTGCCGACTCGGCTACGGTCGAAGTCTCGAGATCGATTATTAAAAGCCGCCACCCGCAGACCCTTGGCCGAATTGCGATAGCACGCGACTCAACTTTTTTTTTTCCCCCCTTTTCCTCCTATTTGCCTCTATTTCCAGTTTTCATACACTCGTGTGAGTCCCTAACGAACCGAGCTCGCCATGCGAAATTAATATTAATTATATCATCATATACAAGTCTCATATATATATGTGAAAATATTCCTTAGATGGAGGTGGTTTATATTTTGACGTTTTCAATTTCCTTGGGGGGGAATCGAGGCTCTTACGATCGATTCGTTGGTGTCGCCTATGCGGGGGAGGGAAAAAAAAGAAGGGAAAGAAAAAAAGAACCGAGTTCTCCGAGAAGGAGAATCGGAATCGCCTTGGGTGGTTCCCAAGGTCCGTAGACCAGCCGTGCATGTCAGGTTAGATCGCGTCTTCCATTACTCGGGCTCCGCAGGCGCCACCTGGCGGATCCTCTTCCAAGTTATTAACTGCGAACAAATTATGTTTTCCTCTCGATTATTGGCGATTAAATCCCGCTATTCCCAGTGTCGCTTTACCTTGATTAAAAGGTAAATTCGGCCCAAATAAGTTGCCATTCCGTGCGAAACGTTGCGTCCGATTTATTCGCCTCTTATTATTTATTAGGCTTTTTTTAAATTATTTATAGGAATTTTTTTTGTTTATTATTTCGCCTAAGCTCGTCGATCGCCCTTGCGCGTCCACCGTGGCGCCGCCATCGGCGAGTCCGACAACTTTGGCGACTTCGCCGGCTTCGTGACGGATAGTAATCGGACTTCCTTGATATTATTCAACGGGCCTGGGAGGATCTCGTTAAATCCGCGATACCCGTAATATCCTAATGCACGAAACCCGGAGGTTTTTACCACGGCCTCTGGGCACGAGACCCGCGGAATCCGTGAATTATTTATGCAAATCGTCGCGCCTCCCCGCCGGGGGAGTAAAGTCACTCGGAGAGGAAACGCCGACCTACCCCAACATTCCCTAATATATCCCCTCCCGATAAGCCGCTATACGTATATAATGATACGTCAACGTGTAACCATCGGAGGGCTTTCTTAAGAAAAGAAAAATTATTGCTAAATTGGCATTGTTAAACCGTGACCGTCGAGGGATGGTAATTAGGACGTTCTTCCACAATTAAGGGCTTCTTTAGACATCGCTTTGTGCGGGGTGAAAAAAATTGTTTTTTTGGATTGACTAAATATTTCTTTGGTAGAATGAACCTTTTTTCTTTGTTTTCCTCGGTGTAGGAAATATTGAGGTACAAAGTGTCTATTGTAATACCGCGTAGGACAATGAATGACTTCCCTGCGGATATGGTGCAATCATGGTCGCACATACCGGTCTAGGAATTTTTTTTTTTTCTTTCTATTTTCAGATTTACGTGGAGGGAGGCGATCGCTCACCGATACCGTTCTTATTTTTCAAAGCTGTCCTCGCTTCGACGACGTGATAGGGTGAGCGCATTGTCAGACATAACCTCGAAAGACCGTCTTCCGCGTGCACTGAGATCGCACATTAATTTCCATTAATGTGCAATGAAAATATCTAGACACTTTTTATCTTATCGGTATTTTCAAATTCACGGAAAATAATGTACGTAGAAGAATGGCGAGATATTTCCCTTGTACGGCCCCGGGTGATTTCGCAAGCGCTTCCCAGTACGCGTATCGAATCGGTTGGTCAACTCGGCATTGGTCCTCGGCACCAATCCCGGCGTGCTCGACTCTAACCTCCTTAAGGCGCAATCTTCCTCCATTAACCCTTTGAACGCGGGGCCATCTCGACATACGGGCGAAATTCGTATGACCGGGCGGGCGATATTGGACCAAACGTCGGCCCCCTTTAGGCGCTCTTAGTAGCCACGGGGTTAAAGCTCGTACCCACTGCCCTGCCACGATAAAAGTCCTAACAGAAGTTAATTAGAAAGATCGATCGTTTAAGACGATACGAAAGGTGCTCAGAAATTTAATTGATGAACCTTTTGAACGCGGGGCCATCTCGACGTACGGGCGAAATTCGTATGACCGTGCGGGCGATATTGGACCAAACGTCGGCCGCCTTTAGGCGCTCTTAGTAGCCAAAAGGCTAAAGCTTCTATCCACGATAAAAATCCTAACAGAAGTTAATTAGAAAGATCGAATAATGAAATCTCCTGAGTTTCAGGACCTCCGTTTATTTTATGGAGGCGTTATTTACATGTGATATACGTTTTTATACGTGTATATAGAATGGACCTTTCGTCTCGCCTTAATCCTGACGTTAATCGAATTAATTAGATCATCTTGTCTTTATATTTATTTAACGGGGAGACGTTATTAACTAATGATTTCGCCGGGAGACGCCGACGAGCGAGACGGAGGATCTCTCTTGGCGTTTTCTTTTGGAGGGAGAGAGAGAGATATCGATTGGCCGTCAACTCGAAACAGATACGGAAGCCGGATGAATGTCGGAATTTTCTTCCACCCGGTGCGGCCAGAACCTGCGGAGGATCGGTGCCGGAATTATACTCCGCCGAGCAATGACTATTGCACCCGGGGACGATTCGTCGACACCTAGTTTTTAGTAACTATCGGCTATCGTTAAACGAATTAGTTAAGGCGATACGAAAGGGTTATTCTATACATACAGAGCGTGAAAATATATATATATAAAATTTTTCTCTAAATTGGGTGCACCGAGTAGTTTGAAATTTTACACCATGAACGTGGAGTCTATAAGGAGCCCTCGGGAAATTTCAATATTTATAGGAAATATTAATAATACCTATAAAGAAATTATTTAAAGGATTGAAATTTAATGAGTTTCGGGACCTTCCTTATGGTCTCTCGCTACGACGGGTGAGTATAGTTGCCGTACTTTTGGTCCAATATTGCCTGCACGGTCAGACGAATTTCGCCCGTATGTCGAAAAGGCTCCGAGTTCGAAGGGCTAACGAAACCTTTCCACGTCCCTTTAAGGTGACACGAAAGTGACGTATACTCGTCTTTTTTGAAGTCGGGTAAAAAGGAAGCTAAAAGAGGGTCGTGGGATTCGTCGGTGGAGGGGATCGGGAGGATCCGAGAAGACGTTCGATAGGGAATCGGGGGAGGTGGGATGCGACGCGAAGAGGAAGATCGATTCCCAGCGACGTCGATCGCGGAGTCGTTAAACTCCCTTGAAATGCAGGAAAGGTTCGCCGAAGCCTGGAGATAACGGGTTTCGGGTGTGCAACCAACGTGTTAACCACTGAGCCACGGCGAACCACGGCCTCGTCGGTTCCTTCCGATCCCCGGTTAAGGTGAAGTGAAACACGTCGAGGAGCTTATCCGTTTATCTACCTTGCCTTCGCATTCAAAAAATCTCCCAAGATATCAAAATCCTGGAATCCCCGGATAAATTGATCTGGTCTCGAAAATGAGATATCCTGGTCTCGGCGCCTTCGAAAACTTTACACTTTTTACGCACATATGTGCCCATAATTATGAAAGTGGTCTAAGTCAAAATTAAAAAAAGAAAAAAAAAATGAGTATCAGTTATTTCACGCCATATTATTTCAAACGAAATTAATTCAATGTAATTTCGAAACAAGAAATATATGAGTTAGACCACTTTCGTAATTATGGGCACATATGTCGGGTGTAAAAAATCGGAGTTTTCCCGGTCGATCGCGATCGATGACCTTCGGATGGATCGGATACCCGGGAAGAGGGGGGGGGACGGGGAGCGTTCCCGTAATGAGGGTCTTTCGGTAATGAGAGATGGAGGGAGGGGCAGGGAGGGCGGGGGGAAACCGAGAGATCGCGAAGGAAGCCCAGAGACACGGACACGGATTTAGACGAGCAGAACGCGCGACTAACGAGCGCCGCATATATTTTTACCCCGCCTAGACTCCAGGGATCCTCACCTTAACGCGGCCTCCCCATTGGCTTACCTTAACTTTTTAATTTAGGACTTGCAGGTAACTCGGCTCGCCTCCGCGTGTGCAACTTAGTCTTCGGCATTGTCCGCGAACCCCGCGGTTACTTTTACTTTTAATTTTAACTTAACCCTTTGCATCTCCGAGACGCTTAAGTACGTCCGACGTTTGGTCCAGTATCGCTTGCACGCTTTGATCAATTTCGCCCGTATGGTGAAAGGACTCCGCGCGCAAAGGGTTAAGGCGACACGAAAGCGACACTTTCCTATCATCCGGGTGTACCGAATAGCGTCAAACTTTACAACGTGAATGTTGAGGGTGTAAAGAAGCTTCATTTCTTATACACATTTTTTAAAATATGTATATAGAAATTTTTAGAAATTTGAAATCTCACGAGGGTCGAGACCTTACTCTTATACTCTTTATATTCACATTGTCGAGTTTGAAACGATGTGGAAGAAAAGTTTCGTATATACAACGTAAATATAAATATCGCGATTATCCAAAATCCATCACCGTGGAAAATTGTACACGGATGAAATTCACTTTCTCGACGTCGATGTACACGTTATGGCACTTTGGTAACACCTTAAGGTAGGTCCTGAATCACCTTTAGGTGCGCCTTTCGGCTTTGCCCTTCTCACCGGGAGTTCCATTCTGAGGACCTCTCTTTCCTCGCCGTACGTGCTCGGGCCTCCTTTTCGATTTTTCGCATTTTTCGGACCTCTTAGGACCCCCCTCCCACCTTTTTCTCCCGGCCATTCACGGGCCCCACGCTTCCGGGAAAATCCTCGACTTCTCCGGGAAGTCCTCCTCGACGGGGATATCTTCTAAGTCCCGGAATGCCCACCTGAATTATTCGGGCCTTTTCGGCTTTCGGACCGAACGTGTGCCGTTTCCGCTTTCCTACGAATTTCTGGAAGATCCTCTTCTCCTCGGTACTTCGATCGTTTCGTCGATGACGAGACGAGAAGTTCGGCTTATCATCGACTAAGATGACTTTGCCGGCCGTCCCGATTAGATAGGCCGCAAATACATACTCGGACAGGTACGCTGTTAACGATAAATCGATTTGATAACGTTTTCTACGTACTATGGTTAACGAAAGTGGAGGGCCAAGAGTTGTTCGAAAAAGTGCCTCGGGGAAATGTATATGAAATATACTCTATATTTAATGAAACATTAATATTAGTGCCGGGGTGGCCGTACTAGGTTTGAGTGGTTCGATGGAGGAATCTTGGATTCGTTCCTCGTCTCACGGGAAGCACTCGGAGGTCTCGAAACTAGCAAAAACCTCCTCTCCGAGATGTCTGGCTTTACTTTATCCCGTAATTAGGAGGGAAATGACCAATTGCCGGAAGGATCGCACGTGGGACGAAGGCATGCAACCTCTTCTCTATCTCACCTAGTTCATCGCCACGTCCGTACTTCTGACAGAAACGTCTAGGGAAACTTGGATGTATAATCCCATTAAAATGCCTTCAAAAATGTACAGACCCTTTGAAAGGCCTTTTAAGGTGATTTTAAACGGTCATTCTATATACCATCATTTGAACGTTTCTCGTAGATGTGGAAGAGAAAGAGAGAGGAAAAAAAAAGGATAAAGATTGGCTCGCTTTCTTTTCCGTGGGCGGATTTTGAAACGGGTCAGTCGGGCCGAGGGGATTTCGAGAGATTCCTTGGAAATCCCTCGGAAAGACGTTCGAGACGCTTTTAGATAACTCTACGGTACGACCCTGCGAATTTTTTCAAGGATAAGAGATATCGCACCGACCCTCCGCAACGTGCCGCAGAATTCGCGCAAAGATTAAGCGGAGGAGATTGCCGGTTCCCGGGGGTAAAGATTAATTAATTGCCACGGTAATCCGCGCGCCACGGCTGCTTAATCATCATAGACCCCCTTTTTTTCCCCTTATATCTCGTTTTTTCTCCCTCGGTATGAGGCGGAAAAAAATCCACCGCGGAATTGCCGCAGCGAAATGTCTAGCCCTTAACAGCCAATGTGAATCTCTCTTAGAGGTAAATAGGTGGACTCTCATTGGCTATTGACGCTATTGCGCATGCGCTTTGCACGTTTAGTTTGAGGTAATATACCTCGTGGCTGCTTAGAAAACTACTATATTTTGCCATTTTTTTTTTTTAAATTGTATTATACGTTGCAATATACGCGTAGAAAAGCACGTATATTACTTTACGTATTATACTTACCTAACCTGATTTTTGTTTGCAGGGAGGAGACGACACGCGCGGCGGTGCTGCCCCTCGTGGCAAGGTGGAGGACTATGCGCCTCGGGAGGATCCTCGGCCCCGTCGGAGGGACAGCAGACCGAATTAGAGGCCGCGGGAATCCGAGAAACTAGGGCGGAAATGAGGGTGGAGGGGGACGAGACCGAGGGTGGCGCCGCCCTGGAGCGCGGCGCCTCCGGGAACCAGGTGGCGGGCCGCGGGGGCAAGATGGCGCCCGGCTGGAAGGAGCAGGAGTACCAGCGGTACCACCACCCCGGCTACCACGCGCCTAGCCGGCACCGGCAATGCCATCTACCGCGGCACTACCGGTACCACCATCGGCGTCACCGTCGCCGGTGTCGCGAGTGCCCCCACGACTGCAACCACCATCACCAGCGCTACGAGCTGGAACGACAGGATAGACGCGAGGAGGACGACCCCTGCCGGGTCGCGGCCGACGAGGGGCCCGCCATCTTGCGGGCGACAGGCGAACCTTGCGCGCTCTCCGGATGCGCGACCACCAGCCCTGTCCCGAGGAGGTGTAAGATCCCGTCGTACCTCACGACGCTACTCATTATCTCCTACACCATCCTCGGAGTGGCAGGTGAGTCCTTTACAGTGATAACAGACTTTTCTTTGCCCTTATCTCGTTTAAATGCGAGTTTCCCGATTACCAGAGTGCTCCAAATCGTTGTACTAGGGTCCCGGCACCTTAGTGACTTAAACGTAAATGTCGGTAACTGGACGTGCCAGCCTGTTTTACCGCTTGACTATTCTATACGGCATTACAACCGGAATAGATGAATTTTATTTTATCGGCTATATCTATCGGCGGATTTCGTATCCTTTTAATACCTGGGTTCCTTTTAGATGCCTGCTCGTCGAGGTCGACGCCGAAACCCCGGCCGCCATCCCCGACGCCCCGACCTAATATCACATTCCATATGTACGAGTGTCCACCTGACTACGCGGAGTGGTACTGCCTTAATGGAGCTACCTGCTTCACCGTGAAAATCGTCGACTCGCTCCTCTATAACTGCTTGTGAGTACACCTCCTGGAAGAAAGGGTTGGATTGCATTAATTTAAAAGAGCCGATAGCGATTTTCCTTATTTAAAGTACACCCAGAACTCGGTTGTGGTTAAAATGAAAATTTCCTCTTTCATACCCGGTACTTCTTTCTCCGAAGATGTGCCAACGGATACATTGGGCAGAGGTGCGAGTTCAAAGATCTGGATGGTTCCTATTTGCGTAAGTAATCGTTACACGCTCTTATTATGGCTAATTGATATCACGTTACGTAGGTGGATACGCGGTTTATTTTTTAAACCGGCGAGGAGTAACGTTTGCGAAATTCAATGTTTGCTTTCAGCGTCGAGGCAGCGAGTAATGTTGGAAACTGCCAGCATCGCCGGCGGTGCCACGATAGCAGTATTTCTTGTCGTAATCATCTGCATTGCGGCGTACATTCACTGTAAACGCAAGCAAAAGGAACTGCGGACGAGGTAATTATCGAGATTCGTCATAGAGTATGTCTTAGAGCGTTGGAGGAATTTTTTGATCCTAATCGCTAATTTATTCCGTGGAACAATCATTATTGCTTCTTAGCAGCACTTGCGTCGATGCAGTCGACGGACCTAGCCGAGACCCGGAGTTGAGGCCATTCAGCAGCCGTAGCCGTTCATTTACGATGTTCATGGCCAAGAGTTCAAAGAATGCGGTAAGGATTCGAAGAGAAGCGCCCTTTAACGCATAATGGGAAACCGGGAAGAAGTCCCAAAGTTCCAGCGCGACCTCAGCGCCACTTGCCTAGAGCTAAAAGGAATTGTACCGATAGTTATGAATGAGCTCCACGAGGGGGGCATCGGGAATTCTAAAGAAAGCGATCCCTGGCAAAATTTTGTACGTCCAGGGTACAACGATCATGTAAATGCATCGGTAGACAAATGCGTGAAAAAGTGGCCGAAGAAGGGAATTAACGAGCTTGTTATCTTGTCGACAGGCGCCCAGTCCGTCCATAGAGCAAACGAGAATGCCTGCGTGGAACTATCCACACTCGGAGTCGACCAGGATGTCGTCCATCAACGAGAGCAGGCACTCATCCCAGTAGAGAGGAAGAGAGAGAGAGAGACACCGGCCTGGAGAGTTCACGGTTCGCTAGAATCTAGACATTCTTCTTACTTCCCTTCTTCCCTTTCTGTCGATCCCTCGTACCGCGCGTCATCGCGATGGCCATTGCGCATGCACGCGCGCGCAGCGTCGAGGTGCGAAGAGGACGCTCCCGGAAGATGCGCCCCACGTCGTCGAGAGGGGACCCCAAAAGGCGCGGTCTGAGGAAATGTCCACGTCAGAGATCCCAGAGGGAGCGCCGAAAGGAAGAAGTGGTGTCCATGGAACGGAAGACCCTCCAGAGGAAGCTGTTGCAGTGCATATCCTAAGGGACTATCCTGGTGAGCAAGCCTTCAGGACTACGATCACGTTGTAGTTCGTGCCGTGAAGGAGACACGCTCGAAAGTGGGCACGCACGGCTTCGAAGTACAATTTGAACGTTCTCGAACGGTTCTGAACTCCATATAGCAACGTGGAAATCCTAGATGACGTTGTGGTTCATCTCGCGTGGGGGACACTCCAGAGGGCGCTGCCCACAGACTTTACGAGAGACCGTGAACGTTATCCTTCCTCTTCTTTCTTTCGTTTATCTTCTCTCCCTGGGCTCCTGGTATATCTTGCTCTCCTCGAACCTTGCCCAATCCTTCGGGACGACCCGGAGGCGTCGCTCTTCGCATCTTTTTTTTTTTTTCTCTATTTCTTCACGGGAGAATCTCAAAGTCAGATATATTTAATATCGATCCTTTACTCGGGAGTATCTGGATCTATGGGGGGAAATTTAAACCTCGAACCCATTACGACGATCGTTTTTTCTTTTTTCTTTTTTCTTTTTTTACCTTTCATATCTTACTATTCCTCACGCTGAAATTCGAGTCAGCCTCGTCTTGCTCTTCTTCTGCTGAGACGCTTCTTTTTTTATTTTATTTTTTTTGGAAGAAATAGTAAAGGGCTATGAAAGTTAGGAAATCCCGGTGAAACTTTTCGGGTGAATATTCCAATTTAGTGGAATCGATGAGTCCCTTGATTAAATCGCGGGAATAAATTAGGGTGGATTTTATTCAGCGCGGGAATAAAAGTATCAAAATGGAGGAAGGAAACGATTCGCTCTTGCGTCGGGTATTCATGAATCGAAGTATTTGTTTCTTTCGTAAATTATTAATACGCTACATTCCCCGGCTATACGGCGGCCCTAGAGGAGGGTGCGCGTCGTAGGTCTGACTTTTGATAATTTTTGTATTTATAAATCGGATAAAGAAAAAAAAAAAAAAGAGTATATCTATAACTCATTGACGCATCGGAAGACCGTAATTAGGTTCTCGCGTTTCATGTTATTTCCGGCGTAATTCAGCGTCTAGTTTCCCCTTCTCCTAAGCCAAACTTAACCGGTGAAATAACGCGATAAAGTATAGTAAATTCTATGTAAACCTCGAAGAACACGCGGGGAAATGAAACGTAGAAGTTTCTTTTTTCCCTTTTCTCTTCCGTCAAATTGTAATCACTTATCAGATTCTTTTGAGACTTATCAGTCTTTTTTTGCATATCGAGGGGAGCAAGAGAAGGAGAAAACGGGAAAGGGACGTCGCCGGGACTTAGAAGAAGATCCCGTCGACGTTCGACCTTTTTTTTTTCCCCGACAATGAGAACCAAAAGAAAAGAAAAGAAAAAGACTAAAATAGAACTAAAGAGAAGAGAGCAAAACAGCCTTCGTGTCGATCGTATTGGGATCTATGAATAGCCTAACTAAATAGGACTCTATTACGCCTTTATTAATTAATTCTCATCATACTTTACACTTGTACTTGGTTCCTAACTTATTATTATCATTGATTACTAGTAATTATTACATTAATATTATTAATTATTATCACAATCATTTTCTTATTACGTCATCACGATTAGTTTATTATCTCTCATGATTATCCCTCGTAATTATTAACGCTATTATTATTAATTATTATTAATTATTATAGTTGTCGTAATTAGCGGTCACCCTAATCGTTACTGCTATAACGTTTCTCTCGAGGAGTGCGAAGACCTTAGTTAGAATTCTTTTTTGACCTGGTGGTGAGAAAATCCGCGATAGTGAAAAGTGTCCGTCTTAGGGACGAGGATTTGAATTTCGCGCGCGTTGCGGCCGCCCCACGCGCTATTGTTACGTGGGCGTTGTAATTTGTTCTTACGGTGCAAGGTTGTAAAAGTGGAGATCAGGGAGTGAAAAGATAGTTTGGTTCGATGAGAACTCGATAGATAGCGCTGAAGTCAAAGCAGAGAGGGATTTCCGTTGGAGCCAACGAAATACATAGTAACCTGGAACGCGTGGCCCGCTTTTGTACAGTTCAATTAACAATTAAGTTTGGCCCTACCACTGCATGATGCCAATTTGCGAATGATACTAAGTTTTACTTATGGACGGTACAAACGGTGGGAAATTCCCGCTACTAGGATGCAGGGACATCCAAATTTATCTCTTTCGTCGGCTGGGCAACGACGGCTCCAACGGAAAGTTCCACTTTGCGCGTAACCTCGGAAAGAGAAATAATTCCTGGATCAATCGAGGTTACAGGGCAGTCACGATTGTCGAGCGCAAACGCAAGAATGAAATTATTCCAACATATGTCATTTAATTAGACAAGTCACGATGGCTTCGAACCCGCGCTCACTTTTTGAATTTTCCGCCCCGGTTGTTAGTTTCACATCTAAACCTTGCACTTTGGAAAAACATTGGTAGAATTGGATCGCGATATTCCGAACGTTTAATTGCTCTTGGACACAAGTGTCCATATTCGAGTTACTCGTGGAACGCATCAAAGTGCGTTTGCGTTCGTCAGCGTGACCGATCCCTTAGGCCCGGTTCCATGACTCGAGTTAACCGGAGTTTAAGCCCCGGTTAACGCGAGTTCCGTGACCGGCCCTTAGTAGGGTGGCTGCAACGAGCTTATTTACGTGACCTCCCAGAATATTCCGAGCGTTTTCTGTCACAAGCGTTGTGTTTCTGCGCGCGTTCTGTCTTTTGTGTCGAGCGTTCTCGGTGGCGGTCCGCCATCTTGCGACACCTCGGTCACGTGACCCGGGGACGACCAATCACGGACGCGCGTCGACCAAAATGGCGGACCGACGCCACCGGCCGCGAAACTTGAGAAGCGTAACTCACGGTGGCCTTTCTTCGTTCTGTCTAGCCAACGTCGGACCTTCGTGGCGCGTTATCGGTGGTAGATCGTTTCAACGAAAAGTCTTTCCGTTGAACGATAACTTAAAATCGATCGTGCCCACGGATGTTAGGCTTCGTATTAAAGGTCGATTCACATTGGACGAGAGAAGTCGCTCGAACGCGGCTCGTCGTGGTGACTTTTCAAAAGAGAGCTTCTCCATCCACGGGGATCGACCGTAGATGCGCTCGTTGCCAACGAAGTCAAACACGCATGGAGCGTTTCTATTTATTTTCTCTTACCCATGCCGAATTCAAGCTGCGTGACGTTGTGGACGTTTCGGACCTTGAATTTGCCTTCCGTGTCATTTCGTCCAAATGAAAAGCCCGTCTTGGAAAACTTGGAACGTGGAGGGTAGGTCGTGGAATTGGTTGTGAACTACTGTGCTGGTTGCAGCGCCGCGCGGCGGACGACGGTCGAACTAGATGTCCAAATGCGCGTCGACAAGCTCGCAGCGACCGGTTCGGTCCGCGTGAGAAGCTCTGAAAACTATTTATTTATTGTTATTTATGAAATTGTACTCGTCCCACTGTCGTGTCTTCTGTAAATATCGACTTAATAATTTAATTTAAACGTGATCCGGAATTGTCCGCCGTGCGGATGGTTCTCAGCCGGAATTCCCACGGTTGCCCGACCTCAGTTGAACTTTATGCTACCGCGAGAAATACTTCGGACTTTCTTCCGCGGTTAAGGGCGACACTCGAGGCTAAAGTTGAACTTTCGCGAGTGAAAAAAGGGTTTCGAATGCTTTCCATTGTTTGACTTCGCTGGCCGTTGCTTCGTCGGGCGAACGCGAGAAAAAATGACCGACCTAGCAACGTATAGCCTGTGACGTTAGTGCGTTAGAGCGGACTTGTAAATATTGGATGGGATTTTAGCACTTCAGACAGCGCCGTGGAGACTCCGGAGCGGGGAAAGGAGGAAGGCGGGCGGGACCGTTAACGCTTTTCCCTTCCGATAGCCTATAAATCCCTATTTATGTATCTCGAACTACCACGGTCCATCTTATATGGACCCTCCCTCTTTCCTTCCGTTTTTACGCGAAACAGGGAAAGAGGGAGAGGATAGCGACCCCAATTTTCCTATTTCGGATTCGCTGCGTTTAATATCATCGGCATTGAACATTCCTCTGATAAATTCGGAGAAAGAAACACGATTACCTTATCCCCGTAATTTCCATTGTTTCTACCGGGATCTTGGATTTCCACTAGACAAGCCTCGTTCTTAACCTGGAAATCCTCTCGTTTCTCGGTCCTTAGAAGTTCCGATAGAAAGAAATTCCCCGTTGAAAATTTCCGCCACCCACGTAGACGGGAATCCAAGATGGCGTCTTTCGCGGCGGGAGGCAAAATGGCGGAGCGTCCGCGCTCGGTCCTTGGCCTCCCTTTAGTCCTCCTCGTAGATCTTTCCCGCTTTCCTCGTTTCTCGAGACGACGTCGCCCCGGTTTCTCCTCTTCCCCGGGATTTTCGAAAAAGGATGTCCTCCGTGACGGCGGATGGTGGGTACCTCGTCCGATATACCAAATTTCTCCGCACAACCTGCCCCCGCCAACGGAAACGGGTCCAACGGAAATCGAGCCGATCCAAGATGGCGGAAAGTTTTCCCGGTTAGCGCAATCCGATAACTCTCGATATTGTTACTCGTATTCCTACAATGACGATATCGATAGCTATCGAATTGCCGTACGGAATATCGACTTTGGCTCGATTCGAGTTTCTCGCGTTTCCTTTGCCCGCGGCGGGCACGCTGTCCCTTGTAAATGGTACCAAAGACACGATGTCATTTAAATAATTGATAATCGATAAAACAGCTAGCGATTAGGTATGATATCACTCCAAAGGAAGCCGCTAAGTATTGCTTAGCCAGAGGGAATTACCGGTCAGCAATGTTCCATCGAGACATTGTTAATTATTTTTGTAAAGAGAGTATTTACATGCATTAACTAGCGTGCTTTGCGTATCGAAGCTTATCACTACGTTGTTTATTATTATTATTATTATTATTATTATTATTATTATTATTATTATTATTATTATTATATTGAAAAAATAAACGACAATTTGTAATCTTGTTTCCCATATTAGCATAAACAATTGAAACTACAGTGCTTTGGAGAGGTGTCATTATTCCCCTGTTCCAAGTAGTAGAGGTTATATGAAAGGGTTATTCTATGTATATATGATGTTAATATATTTATAAAACTTTTCTTCTAACAGGATGCACCGAATCATTGGAAATTTTAGCATGTGATGATTTTTTGGGACCTCCATAATCACGTGCTGAAGTTTCAAATGATTCGGTGCACCCAGTTTGGAGAAAAGTTTTATAAATATTTTGACGTTTAAGTTTGTAGAATAATATTTTCATATCACCTTAAAGTGCTTATCTAGACTAGTTTAGGTCTAATGAAATGAGTTTTCATGGAATTAGTTGGTGCTTCACAATCGTAACTTTGGTATTTCGGTAGTTTCTGGTACGAATCAAAATGTCAATTGTTATGAGATTTGTTTTCACAATTTCTGTTTTCCTTCAAGGGGCAATTTATGCAATCTGCTTTTTCTGTGAATATGGTTCGAGTGGGATTTTGTAGGCTGATATTACCAACGTTTTAGGGTATAGTGAGGACTTTCATCGGTTGGCACTGTCACATTTGGAAGGTATACCTTCTGAACAGTTTTCAATTCAATGTGCATAGTTTCAGGTCTGGTTGCCATAGAAACTCAAAGTTGTTGTGTAAACAAATCTTACTTGAGGTTATGTACCACAACGAGAGCGAATTAAAAGGTTGTAAAAGCGAGATTTGTGTCATGCTCGTTAATTCCCCTTTACAATTTCAGAAAAACTATGTCTGTGGAGACTGTGAGTTTTATAACCGGAACGAGAAGGAATTCTCGCAATGGAGGTGGGAGCAGTATCGACTTGCAGTATTCTTATCCAGAGGTACTAGAAATCCTTAAAGACAACCCGATTATTTCGCACGAACGCAAAGATTGGAGGAAATCATGCATCACCGAACAACTCGCAGATGATGGCCTTTATGTGTACTCCGATAATATATTGACTAGTAACGTAGTTAAACCGTACCATCTAACAGGTCTCGATACAAGCAGCAATGCATCCACGAAGAAGAACAAAATTTTTGGGATTGTCATTCGAGAAGTTACGATCCATCCTGACAATACTGCTACATCTCGTCCGATTCAAATTACATGTGTCTCGATTTTGTTCAATGAAAAAGCAGTATGTAAAGCCACGGCTCCATTTGCTAAGCAATTATACAAATTCGTTATCAGAAACTCTTCGGAGATGAGTCGCTTCTCTATACGAGTCGAAGCCCAAGGAGGAATATACAGCACATTGCCGTTACCTTTGCCAAAGTATTGTGTCTGTGATAACAAGCTCGACATCGACTTCTCGATAGTTGACAGTTCTGGAATGATGCACGCTGGAACAGTGAAGTGTAGCGTAATGCTAACTGCAGAGTTTCGAGAAGGCCCAAAGTCAGGAGAAGAGCATTTGTCGCACTTGCACTCGACAACGAATGATCCAAATGATCCACAGAACAGTGCATCTGCATTGCTGTACAAGAAACGTGATGTGAAGAAGCAAAAGGGATACTTTCTGTTAGAAGACCCAGCATTGAGGTTCATTACGAATGGTGACACAGTAGACAATACACGCAGCCCAAAGGAGAGTCAGCAACTCGGAGAAGAACCAAAGTTGCAGATTAACTCGGTGATAGAGCAACCAATGTTCTCCTGGCTAAATTTTTCTGTGAAAGATTGGCTCGAAGCAAGGACTCCGTCATCCGGTGCCTTTGCACACAAGCATCCAGGAAGAAAGGAAACCTTAAGTATAACTATCTTACGTGGAGTCGAGGTGCCGGTGAGAGAAGAGTCAGCACTTGTGCAGCCTCTCCTTGAAATAGAATGGGCCGATGTGGTGCAAACAACGTCTGTTTCCAATGGTCCTGCTCCGATCTGGCAGGAAACCGTGTGCTTCGAAGTCCCCAGACAGAGCGGAGAACAGTTTGTGAAGCTGAGACTTTACGATCGACATCCTGTGTGGGGCTTGCAGTGGCTCGGCGAAGCCAGGATCCCTGTAGAGAATCGCTATGGCTACCAGGAGCTCGAACGATGGATAAGTCTCTCTCCGCTCTGCAGCCCAGTGCTTCTATTAGGTTATGTGCAGGCAAGTCCAGGCTACTCCTGCACCAGGATCTATGTTCTAATGAGAATGGAATTACCTGGAGCCACCGAAGCTGTACCCAATGATTCTGTCGACACGTTATCAAAGGCTATTCAAAGGTGTATGGCAGTGCCTTATAAGATATCAGGAATAGAGACGATCGAAGATGCAGCCAGACTGACGATGCTGCTGGCTTCCCTGCCAGCTCACTATGGACCGTTGACTCCGAGGCAAGCTCTGAGTTTGAACAAGATCGATCACTTTGGTCGAGCTGCGTTGCTTGCCACGTTGCTACAGGGTTTTGGCACTGAGACTTACGTAGTATTAGGTATGAATGTTTCTACATAAATACTGGCCACATCTTCGTTCTTTCATAACACTTTAATTGTACCCACTTATTTCAGGAACGTCACAAATGCGAAAGTGGGCTGCTTTCGTGTTGACTATCACCGATAATGACACGTATACCTTGTGGGACTCTGAGAACGGAGATCACTACGATCACGGTGTCAATCGCTGCCCATTGATTAAAATATCGCGAATAATAAATCATCAAAGCGTGAGTATTCTCCGAGAGGCTATTCACTCATAATCAGTGAAAACGATTCCCTTCTCTGAGAACAGATTTCATATCACCTTAAAATCCATGATTCCATCGCAGATCTGGGGAAACTTGCAAAAGACGTCGACTCCCTCGAAGATGAGATTCAACGTGAGGACGGGTAGAGATTGGCAGCTACTCAGCAGTAATTCTATTTTATCCGATAATCGAACCCCTCAGATGTTGGATCTGAAACGTACACCTGACGACCAAGACGAAGAAAGGAAAGCTGAAACATTGGAACAGAACTTACGAGAAAAACTTGCTGAATGGAGAAGTGGAATCGGTTTGACTACCTTGTTCAACCGCCACGCAGTGTCCATTGCTAGAAGACTTTTATCCAAGGCTGAGAATTCCACAATCCAACCGGAAAAGAATGAATTGCGACAATTGTACAGGGCTTACCACACACATGGCTTTTTACTTAACCTGCGACAAACCAGTATCGATGATTTGAGTAAACAGTTGTTTTCTACCAAGGTCCACGAAGTTACTGGTCCTGTAGAATTTGCTTTGGTTTGCCATATCCAGAGATACGTTGGTAATATTTATTCCACGTGGTTGGCTGTATTAGTTCTTCAGGGTAGAAAGTAATGATAGATGGAGAGTGAAGTGATGTTCGAAGAAAGGACTCCGCACAAAATGCATTGGAAGGTCTCGGTGGATTCTTTCGTTTCAAGATATCTTGTAGGGTGTAATATCAAGGCGATATGAAACTGATGTCTTTCAGGGTCATCATTATTTAGCAGCACCGATAATGAAATACATACACTCAGTACAGTTTAAATAAAGAATTGTGTAAATATTCATACAACAGAGGCGTATCAACGCTTTGGAAACGCGTAACTCCTCGTTTTTATCTCCACATTCGCGAGATAAGTCCAATTGCATCAATGACTTTTAACGAGTTTACCACCCTGCCTCGTTATTGACATAAGAGCATAGACATAAGCATTGAACGAGTTCGCATCTTCATTTCACGGTATCTTGCAAGTATCAAATAAATTAAGGAACGTCTTAAAATTGAACCGTGATATCAATGTGATTATAACATTTATTTACAGGAGAAATTTAAAATGGCTTTCGCTCCGTGAAAAAGTTCTTAAGAACGAATACTTGGCCGATGCTGATGACGAGGATTGTGATGGTTTCTAAAACTGACCACCATAACACCTGTTCGTTAAGATCTTCGGCCCTCTTACGACCTTGCGCCTCGCGTAACCTATGATGTGTTTGATAATCGAGTATGCTAATTAGATTTTTATGTACTTCTTGAGCGGAAGATTCCATCTAGAAAAAGAATGTAGGTCATAAAATCAAAGCAAAGAGAATTAGTAATAGGGTTGTGAATAAAACAAAACAATTACCTGTGTCATTACCGTAACACGTTCCTCAAGACCTGGCAGTGGAGGTTCATCACCAACTTGGAAATCCATGTAAATGAGTTTATGCGAAAACGTGGAAAATTTGTTGCTAAAGCAGACCTTGTACTCTCCCGTTATAGTTGGCAGAAACGTGTACGAATCGAACTGTGTTTTGAATTGCTGATAAATGATCTCTTTGTTAGGGTTTTCTAAACTGACGTCGACGTCGTACTGTCCACCCGTGACGACCTACCAGCCAAAGTATAAATTAAAATTGGTTAAAACCATTGTTCATACAACAGAGTATAAGAATTCTTAGAAGGAGTATAACCGATAAAGACGATCCGAGGTGGAGATTCTTTCGATCTTGAGTACTGAGTAATAGAGGAGATAGAAGTGAAATTGTCGAAGTTATAATTCTATACCTGAAACTCAAGAGTGGACGACACATTTTTTTCGATTTCTTGGTAAAAGCACTCCTTAGCATTGTCGGGCAGCTCGAAGGAGAGCTCCACTCCAGCCGCGTTGAAGGAAGTGCCAAGTAGAGAGAACAACAGGAGCAATTTTAAGGATTCGTCGTACATCATTCTCTAAGTACTGGTTACTGTGCGTTATCTCACGTTTCGATGCAACCAATTACATCTAAGCGGCTAGTTACGTCGTGCTCCTTTTCAACGTCCTTATCATTCCTGTCCACGAATTCAAATACTACGTCTAACCTCTTAAAATCCACCTTCTCAAGGATAGCAAAAATCTCGATCCGGCGCCACGAAAACTACTTTCATTGGTTTATTTCCGCCCATCTAAATCACGTGAATAAATTCACCCCAATCGATAAAGCTACTTCGCATTTTGTCCAGATCCACTTACTACGTTTACGCGGTCCGTTTTACACCGGTTTTATTGTTACTAATTTTGTGTAAACGGCGTATTAATCCGGTTTTACCGGTAATACCGACGTAAACTGGCGTTTATACGTTGGCGGTCATGAATGGCAGAACACGAGCTCGATTACTTATGTACTTGCGGTACCTGATGTATAATAAACTGTAAAATAATTAATGTAATAAAGTAACTTATTGAACGATAACAATGAATACGTTTAATTAGACGAGCATGTCTAGCAAACCCTCTAATCGCCTATGCCTGATCCTTGAAAATCACTCGTAGATTTAAGGCACGAAATTCGGTGCCACCTTCTCGGTTGTTCTATGATCCTGTTAGAAATCGAAAATTTCAACCCCTAAAATTTTTGCCCGGGAGGAGCTCTGTGCCACCTCCTCGATTATCCTGTTATCCTGTTCCACCTCTGGCGATTTCTAACAGTTCTTCATTCTATAATCAGAGATGAGCAGGCTGCTCATCTCTGGTATAGTATAGTTCAATTGCGATTCACTACTACTTCGAGGCGCCACCTTCGCGATTCGAAGCTCCCCCACCTAGTGTCCGTTTCCCCTTCTATCCTCAATGCCGCATGTTACGGTGTGACCTCGGGTTTCGAATATTTAGCTGGTTTACTCTTGCTCGCGAGGGGGTGACGAGTTGCGTAAATCCGGTGCCCTCGCGAGCTCTATCGACCGTCAATCCGTCAACAAAAAGGTCGGCCAACTAACGTACGGGTCTTCGTGTTCCAATTCGCTCGATAATGCACTCAAACCGTGGCTACGCGCGAATCGAAAAGGCAATCCTCTTAAAAACCGAGATTCAACATGGCAGTGGTGGCTTTTCCCGAGCGAGAGCTTAAATTTACGTAAACATGCGCCCCGCACGGGTCTAAGGTAAGCCAAGGCAGAAGCAATTTTTTCATTCCATGGTACAACGGTTTCTGGAAGTGCCATTTTCGCGTCTTCGGCGAACGATTCGTGTCCCTTCGTGCGCATCGCGTCCGTGTTTCTCGTGTCCGCCATGTTGGAGGGGTAGGAATGACGTGATTGGTCAATGTCCCTGTAGCCAGTCTGCGATTGGTCGCTTTCCCCTGAGCCGACCAATCAGGTGCGCGCATACCCTTCCAAGATGGCCGATCTGGCAACTATGAATTTCGTTCCCTCTATAGCGCGTCTGCTAGCTCTGTCGTTCGTTATTGCCGAAGTGTTTTGTCTTTTTGCGCCGATAATGGCGTCTTCGGGAGCCGTCTCGAGGGATTGCGAGTCGACTGTAGTTCTCCTCGGTTCCAGGCCTTGCGGAGATCGTCAGAAGGTTCGTTTTAGTCTCTACATGTGGGGACTGTAAATACTGGGACTAAGCCAGAGTGCCACATAACCTTCGGGAAGCTCGGAAGAACACTGCCAGACAGAGACGGTTGGAATCGCTATCGGTAAAACCACATGGAAAGCATGGCTTCCTCAACGGTTATGGCTCCGTCCAATTCCGTGGCTACTACCAATGGTGTAAGCTCCAGTGAGGATTCGGAGACAAACGATGCGTTCTCGGGCCGGAATGGCGGCGTCTTGGAGAGAGGCGTAGTGGATGGTTATACCAACGGGAACCCTGGTGACGCTTTGGAAGAGATCGGAAGAGAAGGTGGCCAAGCGAAGGATCAGGAGTGCACTCTGTGTAACAGTAACCTCTACACTCCACGGGTACTCTCGTGCTTACACGTTTATTGCGAAGTTTGCCTCGATAAACGCTTGATCGACGAGGCTGGCGACTCCAAACAAGGGTCGGTGTTGAAGTGCCCGCAGTGCCAGCAGCACACGCTCGTGGGGCCGAAAGGCGCGACTTCTCTTCCTTGTGACTATGTTTTGACTAATATATTGGATATGGCTGCCATTGAAAACATGGCTGTGCTCTGCACCTCCTGCAAAGCCAAGGAGAAGGCTGTCGCCAGGTGCTCCGACTGCGCCAACTTCCTCTGTCCGAATTGCAACATCGCGCATGAGTTCATGCGGTGCTTCGAGAATCACAAGGTCGTCTCTTTCAATAAGCTGAAACGTTCCGACGAAACCATTCCCATACACAAGCCTATCTTCTGCGAGTATCACCCTGCGGAGAACCTTAAGTTTTACTGCTATCCATGCCAGGTAATGGAGCAATTTTTGAGCATCATTTCAATTGAATTAGCCTTGGTGACTTGTCACCTGCCTTCTTGTATTTTACTTGTATCTTTCTATTTTCAGGAACCTATCTGCAACGAATGTTTGCTCTCCGAACACAAAGCCCCGGAGCATCAGTACGAGAGGTTGGCGGATGCAGAGCCACGTCAGAGGGAGGAACTAGCTAGTCTAATGGCCGAGAGTAAGGCCCGAATCTCCGACTATGACCAGGCCTCCTCGCAGCTGGAAAATGCGCTGAGTGAACTGCAAGTACAACACGATCAAGCCAAAGACTTGATCAACGAGACCTTCCAGAGTTATAAAGCACTCCTGGAGAAATACCGGGATAACGCCCTAGTCGAGCTGGAAAGATTGCATTCTGGTCGAGAACTCGAGATCATGGACAACTTCTTCAGGTAACCGATCCATTTCGGCGAAAAGTTTTCTAAACGATTTGCCTCTTAAAGGTCACATTCCTGTCGCTTTAATATTTTAGACAGTCCATCCGATGACATTTTCTTATGAGTTCTGCTTCGATGTTAACAGTGTGGAGCAGACAGTGGACAGGATAGAGGATGCCTGTCGATTCACATCGAGGCTCTTGGAGCATGGTGATGCAGCTGAAATTCTGGCTCTGAGACGCGTCGTCGGGACGCAGTTACTCAACCTGATCAAGAACACGCCGAAGCTCAATGTCCCCTGTTCCATTGAGTTCCGAACAGACTACGACCATTTTGAAAAGACTGTGAAGGTAAAGAAATGAAGGAATTTTGAAAATAACGAAATTTTGTACGTCATATTTGATGACTATCGATAGCTAATTTTAATAGAATAGTTTAAATCAGTCGGACCTCGAGAGGTCTCTGTCTAACCGAAAGAACTAATTCATGGCAGGAGGCGTTTGGCAAGTTCCACACAGAGAACAGTGCTCCGGTGAATTCTGCCCCGGAAGTGATTCCAGCCCATTCCGGAGCGCCCAACCAGCAGATGGTCCACGTCTCCATTGGATGTCCAAGCTCTAACAGCACCAGCTCTCCGATCTCCCTGTCTGCCTCGATGCAATCCTCCTTTGAAGGTGAACTCTCCTTCGTCATCCCTCCTTCAACTAGTCCCCAGAACGGTCCTCCTCCAGCGCCCCCGGTCTCCCTGCCTCCAGGTCCTATCCAGGGTCTCACCAGCATCCAGGAGTACAACCTGCAGCAGCTGGCGAGCCTCGCGGAGAAGGTCGACATGGTGGGAGACTCCGGAGTGGTCCCAGGTGGGGTCTCAACTGGAGTACCTGCTGGAGTTTCCGCTGGGGTTGTCGGGCCCAGCTCCAACCCCAGTCCAACGCCTTCGTTCACCCTGGCTGACCTCTTCGCCGGGGACCTCAGCTCTACCAGTCATGCCATTAATAATCTCCAGGCCCTCGCCAAGCTGGGGAATTCTTTGGGGAATTCGTTGGGAAATCAAGGTAATTACTCTCTTGCACATCTTTCCATGGATGGATGTGTTATTTATTGGACGAAGGACTATGCCTTTCTCGATTGTTTATATGGGTAGATCTGAAAAATGATTACCCAGACAAAGTTTTGTTTTAAATCTGTCTACTAAGTGAGTTTGCACGGATAGTCAACTCATGGGCCGTGTGGAATTCAACCTTTTATCATAAACTCTGCTCTTCACTTATGACAATCGCAAATAAAAAACATGATAAACAAGTCCCACCTTTAGATATGCTCCCTTGTTTTTGAGGCGTGATTTTACGCTGTCGTTACGTAAGAAGTTTCGTTTAGACAGTGCTAATTGTAATAAACAAATGTACTAAAGTTCCTGGTTTGAAATTAGACTTGAGCAACGCAACTCTAAAAGGCAGCGGTGGCCTTGTCTTAGGTCGTGGTCCTTCACCGAGCATCGTCAACCCACCGAACCTTGATCCGTTGACAGCGAACAGCATTCTCAACAGCGGATTTCAGCCTCTCTCTTCGTCTACCTCGCCGATACTCTCGCAATCCACTGGTAAATCGATTTAACTCATGCATGCATGTATTAGTATTTTACGCGAAACTCTACCCAGTGTTCTCTGCTTAAAAATGGAAATTTAAAAGGACGCGTTGCATTTCCAGAGGAACTGATGGGCGAGTCGATGCACAATATGCCTGTGGGGGTTGGCGGCACCGTCGGGAACCTTCCTGGTTCCGGGAGTGCCAACTACGTGCGTCTCCGGTCAACCAATCCGAAGCTCACTCCCATGCAAGTGCGTAGCAAGTTTGGCCAGCTCGGCCCCAGCAAAGGTCAATTTAATTCGCCCCACGGCTTCTGTCTTGGCACGGACGAGGACATCATCGTCGCGGATACCAACAATCATCGGATCCAGGTAACGAGCCCCGTAGTAAACGAATTATTACATTCACACGAGCTACCTTACGCCAGTTTTATTACTAACGAGTACCGACAATTTACTTCCCGGTTCTTTCAGATATTCGAGAAGACGGGCACGTTCAAGTTCCACTTCGGTTGTCCTGGGAAGGAGGAGGGCCAGCTTTGGTACCCGCGTAAGGTCGCCGTTATGCGGAACAACGGGAAGTTCGTCGTCTGCGACCGGGGCAACGAGCGCTCCAGGATGCAGATATTCACGAAAAACGGACACTTCGTTAAGAAGATCGCCATCCGTTATATAGACATCGTCGCCGGCCTCGCGGTGACCAGCCTCGGCCACATCGTCGCCGTCGACAGCGTCTCCCCCACTGTATTCGTCATCAGCGACACCGGCGACCTGATTCGGTGGTTCGACTGCAGCGACTACATGCGCGAGCCCAGCGACATCGCAATCAGTGGTAATTCTCTTTCCTCTCGTTTATGATACTTTTTTTTTTTCCACACTCGGTGCACCGGATAATTTGAAATTTTAACTTTAAGACCTTCATACGCGTCGAAGTTCCAAATTATTCGGTGCATACAGTTTGGAGAATAGTTTTATAAGTATCTTGACTATCTGGTATACATATATGATACTTTTATTAAACGCTTTGAGGTTATTTATTTCTGTTGTATGTAGGCAAGGAGTACTTCGTCTGCGACTTCAAGGGTCACTGTGTCGTCGTGTTCACCGAGGAGGGCAAGTTCCTGCGGCGAATTGGCTACGAGAACGTGACCAACTTCCCGAACGGCATCGACATCAGCGACGCCGGCGACGTACTAATCGGCGACTCGCATGGGAATCGCTTCCACGTGGCCGTCTTCTCGCGAGGCGGTTCCTTGATCTCGGAGTTCGAGTGTCCCTACGTCAAGGTACTTGAAAAATAAGTAACTAAATAAATGAAAATTGTGCGCCTAGCGAAATGTGCCTCGCATTAATGTTAATAATTGTCTGCTTCAAGGTGTCTCGTTGCTGCGGCTTGAAGATCACCTCGGAAGGCTACATAGTGACCCTGGCGAAGAACAACCACCACGTCCTCGTCCTGAACACGCTCTACATATTATGAGGTGAGGCTAGGCCGGTAGCCGTGTCCTAACTTTGCTACAAAAACGAAAAAACGAAAAAAAGGAGAAAAAAAAACGTGAAAAAAAAAACGGAGAAAAAACAAATGGGAGAGAGGAGGGAAATGTTTGCGCGAGGACGGGGCTTGTTTCCGCGTTTCGGGTCGTCGGTAAGGTTGTCGCGACGCCTAGGGAGACGCGAGCGTCCTGGACGGCGACGCCCGGAAACGCCCGTCGAGGTTTCTCGGGCCTATAGCAATAGGATAAAAAATGGAGACCCGTAAGGGAACCAGGAGCAAAAAGTGAGAGAGAAAGAAATCGACAGGCTTCGGTAGTCCCTCGATATTTCGTCTGGTCGTCCTGGGGAAATGCGAGCCCAGTCGAGCAGACGGGAGGGAGAGTCCGGTCTAGGGGAGAGTCACTAGGGCGTTTCGAGAGCGGACCGAGGCTGGTAGGCCCAGAAAATATTTAAAATGGCCGACGAGCCAGCCGAGGTCTGGAAAAGGGCTCCAATGGCTTCCATCTTTCCTTGTCGTTCGCGAAATCTCGAGAAAAGGCGTAGCTTAATCCTTGGAACGATGATTTAATTTTTTTTTCTTTCGAGTACTCGACGAGGTCGGGCCTCTTCCTCTGCCTCGCCTTTAAGGGAGGACTTAAGCGTGGGGCTTTCTTTTTTGCGGTTTCCCCTGTTCCTTTTTTTTCCCCATTTTGAAAGAAGAGCTTGCACCCTCTCTACTAGTTTCCCGGTGTATAACGCGACGGTCTTTCGTCGCCGGGGGAAGTATCCTTTAGAGGAGGTTTCGCACTATACGCGGCAAGTTTGAGAACCTAAACTTTACTCGAATCTTTGTCTTAAGAAGGTGGAAAAGGGAGGCGGAGAGAGATCGACGGAGAGTCGTCGATGGTAACGGGACGTAAGAAGTGCAACGTAAAAACGTATACACACAAAAGTACAATAAACGTGCATAACGCGACCATTTAAAAAGCGCTGGGGCGTTGGCGAGCGTCCGGATAAAATCTAGATACTGCCATTAGAGAGTAAAGAAACCGCCTTTTCTCGATGTTTAACGAACGACGGGGGAGAGGAGAGCGTCGAGTCGACGCGATAACTATCTAAGGTGCGGCCAGGTGGCGCGGCGAGCGGAGCGCGGACTTGCTCTACCTGGCGACTTCCGTCCTCCATATTGAGGGAACCAGAGGGAGTAGAGAAAAAAAGCTCCGGGGAAAGTCGAAAGCTCGCCGGTGAACCTTTCTCTATGCGGAGTTTGGGCTTCGAAGAGCTCCGTTTGGCCGGTTTACGGAGGTTTCGAAGCCTCGGAGGTTTCCCTCCGCTCGGCTGGCGCTATTTTGCCGAGGCCGCGCCACAGTCCGCGGGGTTTGAGGGGTTTTGAGACGTTGCACAGTTGAGGGGGCGAACTAGTTTTATTAACGTGACCCGAGGGTGACAGAGATGGGCGGGGGGAGGTAGGAGCCGGGTTTTTCAGGCTAGCCGATCCTCTCGCTGGCTCCGAATTCCAGTTGGCAACCCCCTGCGGGGTGGCTAGAGTCACGGGGAATATGGAGAAAGATTCGTAAATGGTTACAATATTTACTCAGGATGCTTTATTATGGTCCACCATATGAATTATATACATATATAAATATATCCGTGTTTGACATTTTCTGGGGTTCGGTGGTGCTAGGCGAGCCGAAACGAAGAAACAAAAAAAACGGGGGAGGCCGAATGGCCGGGGGAACCGACGGAAACAGACTATTATCCGATTATAATCTTGTAAATGTATTTGTTATCGAGAGACGCGCGGAGGACACAACTCGCACCCGGTTTCGCGGACTTTTACAAGTGTTTTACTATAAACTATATGAGAACCGTCGTATACACATAGAAATATTTAATGCAGATATATGTATATACATACAGACACATATATATACATATACGCGTACTAAGGTATACTCGATAGGCGTTTAGGGTTTAACTAAGTCATCTATGGCATTCAAAGATCTCGTTCGAGTCGCGTCCGAAGAATTTGCGAGCGAGTCCGGTCGGTAAAAAAAAGTTCTCTGCCGCGCCGCCGGAAAATTCAGGAGAGCAACGTAGAGAGCAAAAACGCAAAAGAAAGAAAGAAACCGAGATAACAGCTTGTTGTACGACTTATCTGTATCTATTGTACATATGCAACAACTATATTCGGATAATTTGGAGGCCGATGAGAGGGACAAAGTCAACAGCGTGAGGGGGTGAGGGGAAGACAAAACGAGAGGGGGGGGGAGCGGTAGGAGGGACAGATCTACACGGGAGATTACATAACTATATAGAAACACATATTTTTAGGGTTGTTTACACGATCAGCCTTAAGATTTGATTAAATAACTAATGACGCCGCGCGCGTGCGCGCGTTTAACCCGTAAGCGACGCGCGCCCGATATAATATATTATATACACCACACAGACACACATACACACACGTACATACATATTAATGATATTCGGCGACTCGCCACGTTACCTTATCGTCTAACAATAATACTTATATATTACCTTACAAAATACTTTCTTGCCATACCAAATGCTAGGTAGAGTACGTCGGTAATGTGGGTGCCTGTCTTGTGCGTGTGAGTGTTTTCCGACTGTTGCGCCGGTGTCGAGAAAGTAGAGATCCGCTCGCGAGAGGCATGTCTAAGTAGTAATAACTGACACAAAAGGGAAAAAGAAAAAAAAGATAAGTAAGACGATATGTAGCTTCGCCATGGTTATGTTGCGCGCGCCGCCATTGCAGTCCGGAAGAAGGGATGGGGGGAGGGGGAGTGGATTTGACACGGTGACGCGGGGGCGCGAAATTTCAATCCGGGCCAGGAGTCCTCCACGATTCGGCGGGATTGCGGGTTTAATGGCATAGCGATGTGACGACGCTAAATCGTATTCGAAGGGATCGGGGGTTGGATTGCAGGTTCCTGTAAATCGCGCGCGCGAAGATTCCTGTCATTTTCCTTTTCCCGGGGGAGGAGGCCGCGATTAATCTCGAATGTCGCGTCGATCCCCGAGTCCGCCATATTGGATTCGCGCGAACACAGGGAAATACTTGGAATACGTGAAACACATGATATATGAGGTATACATATATTTAAAAAACAATATATATATACACACATCGTTCGAGCCGTCGATGACGTCAGGCGCGCGAGGGGAGGGTGGAAAGAGCGGGAGGGGAAATCGGCGCGAAGGGCGGCGTCAAGCCTACTTAATATACACACCTAAGCTTAACGAGAGTGGGAGGAAGGGGGGTGGAGAGTGATTACAAAGAATAAGGAGAGCAAGGGAGACAACGCGATCCTCTAAGCGGACGAGCGAGAAAGGCCGAGTCATAACGATGCTATTTCTCTCTACGCTTACATACATGTATATCTACATACATATATGTATATATCAGGCTTTCGCTGGAGGATTTAATTTTATATGCGCAAGTATTGCGGGAAGGGGTGGGTGGGTGGGTTACAGTTGACCTCGGGGTATATATTTAACGAGAGGGCAAAACGGCGCGGGCAAAAACGCGGGTGGGAGAGGGGTTAGAGAAAAGCGGGAGATTGTGAAAAATACGAAAGAGGCAAAAAAAAAAACAAGGAATGAAAAAAAGGAAGAAAATCGCGAACAGCAGCAAGGAAAAAGGCGCAGAGTTAAATAGTCAGGAAGTAGCGGAGATGGTAAAATATAATTAATGCCTGTGATAATAGTATCGTCGGGATATAAGTTGTGCCCTTAAGAGAGTCTCTGATGTTGTTGCTAGGTAAATATTAATTATAGACGGTGGGGCGAGGGGAGGGAGTAATGTTGGACGATCGCAGGGTCGATGCCTAGTTCCAGAGAGGGGGAGGGGCGTGTTCAAGTCTTAATGCACAACGACGACACCGACACACGTGGCGCCACCGTCGCGGCTCTCCGAACGGTACCCTAAGGGAAGAGAAAGAAAAAAGGAAAAAAAAAAATAATAGTATATCGAGAGACTGGAGAGGGAGCGGTCCCCATAGTCCGTGGACGAACCGAGACGGAAGAAAAGGACGACAACGTATATAATATTAAAAAAAAGAAAGAAAGAGATAAGANACAAAGATATATACAAGCGAGGATTAATTGTTACGTAACCTAGTGTTTGTGATAGATTTTTTGATGATTTTTACAATCTCAACTCTTATTATATCCTAATATCTATAGAGTTACGATGATATATATATATTAATATACTATTCTCTAACGAAATAGACTATACTCCGCTTAGGCTATTTAAATGGAGACCGATAGAGGGCCAGCCAGGGGGCAAATGGGGGAGAAAAAACGTTTTGCAACGCGCGCGTTCTCCCTCATCTTCTTCTTATTCTTCGTCTTCTTCGTCTTTCTTTCTTTGTGCATCGCCGTAAGCGCGTGCACGAGCGAGCGTACTCGTATTTACGGGATCCGTTTACTTGCTCCGCTTGGGTGTATTAATCGCCCTGTAGACGCCACATATCCCCCGCCTCGTCCCGAGGGGTCGCTTCCCTCGTACGACTCGATTAAGTAATTATATTAGGCGATTAGCTGGTTACTGTTCGGCCTGCTTTGTAATCGGCTGCTTGGTGTTCGCGCTTAAAGCGGGCCCGGCTATTTCGGAGACGCTTTTCCGCTCGATCTATGAATTTCTCGCTCAAGTAGGCCGCGGACCGAGTCGTTCGCTGCGGGAGACGATTCCTCGTAGAAAATCGAAGGGATTTTGTCTGGACGCGATCGTCGTAGGTAGAGCCGTTCTCGAGATATCCTGTTTTGAAATTGCCGCTCTAACTGAAGGCGCGGCGCTTTCCGTTGGAGCCGCCGCGCGCGATCCAGCGGAAAGCGCGAACTTTCCGTTGGAGCCGCCGCGCGCGATCCAACGGAAAGTGCGACACTTGACTACCTGCTTCGTGTCGTCTAGTTCGTTGAAATTATCCAAAGATTTTTCACCCGACCTTAAGTCGCCCGAGAGAGCTTTATATATCGTAAGGGAGAGCCACTTCTTTCCAACCTCGCCCACCTCTTACTGTTCTTGTTATATCCGTTTCCCCGAGGTTTCGCATCTCAGACTATTGAACTATCGATAACGGTGAAAACAGAGGAAAGAAAAAAAAAGAAACAGATATATCGGCAGCAATAATCACTTCCGCGGTGAGTACACCAAGTACGTAATATCAAAAAAATATATATATACGTATATATCTATATATCTATATATATAGTGAAATTAAAATTCATATTTGCGTATAGATTTTTGGAACTCGAGATTTTTTCGAAATAGGAAAAATGCCTCTNGAAGAAAATATATATATATATATTTAATGGACATTGACGACTGAGAGTCTAAGGCTCCGTATATCGAATTTCGACTTTTCCCGTCCGACTCGAAACACATGGAAAGTGGAACTTTGACGGAAGCTCAGCCGCGAATTTGACAACTCTTATCTAGACCTTGATATCGGATTTTTCAACACCTCCGACCACGTTTTTATCATCCCTCCTATTTTTTCTCTCCCCCCAAGAATTCTCGAGACTCAAAAATCGATTGGGAAGATTAATCGACGAGTAGCCTGGAATTAGATCGATCATAATTCAATTGTCACATTCAAGTTTCCCGCCTCCTCTCTTACTTTGACTTTCCATTGAAACCCGCGATCGAATTTAGAGGTTATGTCTCTGATATTGTTTAGTGCTAAGTTCGAATCGAGCGCCACTGCCGTCCCCGCGCGTTTCTTCACGGACGAGATACACTTCTCCGGGGAAGAAAAATCCTGCAGACCAAAGAACGATTCCTAGAGGGCTGTAAAAAATCCCGTGCACTCTGCACACTTAGGAGGTAATTGAAAAAAATTATACGCGAGTATGGTTACTCTAACCTTGCGGGGAAATAAATATTAACAATCGCGCCACCGGGCCTTGTTGAACATCGCTCGAATCCGGCCTGTCCTTCGTTAGACGATTCCGAAACGCGTAGAAAGAAAATCCTGGCGTCTGTCGAAGAAAGTAAAAGATCTATAAGAGGGTAGGAAAGGAAAAAGGACCGCGCCAAAAAAAAAAACAATAAAAAAATAAAATAAAATCGTTAAAGCTGGCCGATCTGCCGCGACAATTTTTTATATAGATATTTACGAGGACACATCCTGCCGGTTAAACTATCGAATTTTCATAACTCCCAAGGAGCGTCAGTTCCATCCACATTCTGTAGTGAAAAGAAACAAGGGAAACATTGTTTTCCGTGTTAATGTTAGAGGAGAAAAGCAAATCAACACGTGCAATGCCTGAACTATATATATATATATATATCGACGGGGCCCGTCTCTTTGTGATAATTCTATCGAAATAATTATTGAGCACCGCTATAGTGTTCGCGTGGTACTTTGTAAAAGACAAAAAAAGAAACGAGAGGGAGAGGGAAGCAATTGAAACTGTTAGTAACGCCATAAACAATGGGAAAAGTTAATGCAACGTGCCCCGAAAGTGTTCTGAAAATGGGCTTTCCTTTGTTTTCTGTTTTCTTTGTTTCTTTTTTTTGTCTATGTTAATTTATTCTCTCTCTCTCCCCCTCTCGCAATATCTACGAAATCCCGACGAATTAAGTAGATGTATAAATTACGAGTATCTAGCCATCCGATATTTAAATATATATATTATACAAGAACAGTTAATGATCCTTTGTAGAGGAGGGAAAATCGGGAAAAATCGCGAAAGGCCTGGCCGAGCAGTGGCGCTCATTGGTACTCTGTACTTAACTTTTCTCGGATTCTATTCCCCCTTTTTCTTTATCTTCTTATGGTCGTGGGTGCGAAAACATCTCCCCCGAATTTTCGGAAATGACAGGCGGTTTAGTTAACACCCTTACGTGAAAATGATTAATAATAAAAAATGATAATCGGTTCCCGTGAAGAGGCGCGCCTATCGTGAGCAGAGGGTTCCTTATTAACGCATTTCTACAAGTTATGGCTTATTAAGGCGATACGGAAGTTTCATTAAATATACACAAAACGTTAAGATATTGATAAAACTTCTCTTTAAACCGGGTGCATCGAATCGTTTGAAACATCAGGTGATTATGAAAGCCTTAGGGCTAGGGAAGAACTCCAGGCTTATGAAATCTCATTTTTTAACAATAACGTGCCCTTGGTTCTAGTCTGGGATAAATGAAATCACTTTTGTTTATAAAAATGAAATTTCACGGGCATCGGGTTTTTTCTCTTGGGACCTCTGTTATCGTGTGCCGATGTTTAAAATAATAAGATGCACCCAGGATAAGAGTTTCATTAATGAAACCCCTTTGTCGGCACTTTCGTATCGCCTTAAAGTTCCTCCTGGATGATGGCTTGTCGGTTTCCCCGTTTTGCCGAATCCTAATTTGTTAAACAACGAGCACCTCTCGAATCGACCAAACGGGCCCTAAGATAGACTCGACACCTTGACTTACTAAGTTTTATTTATCCGGACTAGAGTTAATCGTTTCCAGTGTATTTATATTAGTATTTACGTTAATCGTAGGATGTTGTGCGCAACGCAGTCGTCGAATTAATCGTAGATCGCTCTCAAGACGGCAGAAGTGCAGTTGTGGATTTTCCCCACTTTTCTTCGACCGAGGCATTAAGAACAGTTTTTTTCTTTCTTACGTTTTATTTTTCTCTCCATTTTCGAAGATCCTTCGGTATAAATGCCCTCCGATTAAACGTCGATTAAGCTGCACTTCCTCGTCTCGAGTTTGGTTATCTTGTATTTGTTTTCCTTTTTTTTTCCCCTTCTCGACGCTTGTGTGGATGTTTTGTTTTTTTTGTACGTTTTGCGTTTTTATACTCAAAAGTTAAGCGAGAGAGAGGGAGAAAGTGCGACCTTTTTTTTTTTTTTTGTCGCGTATATTAATCGTATACTGCCTCGTACTGGGACGAGCCTGGTGGAGGCGCCGGTCGCGTCGTTAATTCCGGGTTTCCGCTTAACCGGGACGTTTTAGAAAAAAGTCTCTCGGGAGAAAGGTGTGCCCGTGATAGCGGTCTACGAGATTTATTCGAAACTTTTTTCCATATCGCTCACGGTTTAGCCGGAAAACGCGAATGTCGATGTTTAAGGCGGTGCCTTACCCGAAGGCTCGTCCCGCAAACAAAGAAAGAAGAACAAAGAACGTTACACCGTAGCTCCCGTTGTGTGCGTTAACGCATTCCGTAATTCAGGGGTAATCGCGAGGTGCTGATAATAATTTGCTAGTAAGGATATATCCAAGTTTGTCGGGGGCCGATCAGAGGGATTTACCTTATGGAGAGGTTAGGTTACGCGCGGTGTTAACACTGCTCATAGTCCCGCTTAGTTTTTCCTCGTTTAGCGGCATGTCGCGTAATATATATATATACATATAGATGGTCAACGTAGGTTATTGCGTCCACTACTTTACATATATACACACATACACACACACATCTATATCTATCTATATTTATATATATACATATATACACTCGTAGGCACGCGCCACACGCCGTCTCCCTTTCGCGGTTCTCTTTTTCTTCCGATTTCTTTTATTAATTCCTCCTCGGCGGTTCGCTTCCGTAGCCCTGACACCTTGGAGGTTATGTCGACATAACCTCTTTTAGTGCCAAACGAGATGAATGTTCTTTACCTCGGGTTTACTCGGGTTTACTCGGTAGGCTGCACGACGATTCGCTGCGATTAGTTTCGTCTCGCTTGTATCGAGCGCTGCAGTACATACATATTGATATACACATACATATATATATATACACACATATAATGACATTCTTTAGTGCCAAACGAGATATCCATATTTATATATATAGAGGAGAGGTTAGGCGTTAGGTGGACGCGCGCCGATTCGTTTCGATTTGTTTCGTCTTCGCTTATCCACGCGGTTCGGTTGACCCTTAAGGCGGCGCGAAACCCCGCAAGACAATCTATTCGGAAAAGAAAAAGCACATTTATCTGAAACTATCCCACCGATCTGGATGAAATTCTGCAAGGTTACTCAGAAGCACTTGAGGTATGTCCGGACACTTTGGAAATCCCGAACTTCCAAAAGGAACTTCAGTTAGACCTAGGTTT